TTATTTATACGGTGCTTAAACTAACAAATAGCAATTTGATTCGAATGTTATGCAAAAATAGATATAAAATTATGAGGTTACAAAAGGTAGCTTCTTTGATATTTTTTTTGCACACACATACAATATGACAAATTAAAAATACTTCCTGAACCAAAACAGTCATCATTTTTTAAAAAAATTTCATTTCCTGACTTCAACATGTATGAGAAGGAGTTTAAAATATGTATCATTGATGGATGATTGGTATTAAATGAGTGTCTAGCAGCACCTATGGGTGTGATGCGCATCATTTAAATACTTTTAATCTGGTAATTAATTTGAACTACAACTTTTTATGCATGCTTCTTATTTTTACAATACGATAGATTTCTACTAAGCTTACAAACAAGACAAAGATTAGTGCTGGATGAAACATTTAGGATATGTAAATTTGAAGCAAATTACAAATAGAGTGGTATTCTACAACAAATGTCGAAAAAATGAGTGATGCAGCAGACAAATATTTATAAGTTAAGCTTGGAGTAACAATTTAACTCTTCTAAATGACAAGTCTATATTCGAATTAATCTGGTAAATATAATAAAACTGCAATCCTTTGATGAAACGCTCTCGTTAAATCAAGTGGCCCACGCTCATGAAGGAATAGGACCTTGAAATTCTAGAGAAATTAATTGTTCCTAAATGATATATTTAGGGATAATTTGGCATTTATAAGCATTTTATTTTTGTGTGTGATCACGATACTCTTTATTCCAATTATTATTAAAATAGATACAAGTTCATGCTGCACATTTATTGTGAGGGTAAATATTAACTGAAACTGAAATAAAGTTGATTTGAGGTTGAGGTGATGTGAATATTTTTTATTTTATATTTACTACAAATTAAGTTGTAGTTTCTGAAAAACAAACAAAGCCTTTACATTCATATTTTCTTGTATAATATAAAATGTGGTTAAATTTTTAATTAAATAATATAGACAATCAGTAATTAAAAACATTTTTAATTATTCAAATTAACATCATTTTGTTTAAATAACTGATTATTTACATGTAGAGCCGTCTAAAAGATAATGATGTTGGTTAGAAATTTCATTGAATATATCTAATAGTTTTCATACTGGTTTACTTTTTCAGATTGATTTGTTGTTGCTGAATTGAATGTTAATGAGACATTTGGATTATTCCTTTAAAAGCAATATTTTTACTAGCTTTATAGAGGGGTTTAATTGCTGTTCAAATTTATACTACTTATGTCTTTACTTTTGGCTAACAAATAAAATGAGTTTTCTATAAATATAGTAATTGAACATAACCTTTAAAAAAAAAATATTTAAACAGGAAAAAAAAAGAAGTAAAATTTATATTTTATACACATGCCAAAATTTGTGCAAACAGTATATACCTTATCTCTTTTTCCTACTGAATGTCTATCTTTTGAAAAGATGTTAAATGTTGTCTAAGCCAAGATATACACTAAGTATTGAATTTTGAATGATAGAGCTTTAATTTATATTGTTAGTAGCGTATTAATGGAGGTTAATACTCCATTTAATTTCTTCCAAACAAAATTTACAGTTTAATCTACAGTGATAACGTTGAATATCCTTTTGAGTTTATGATATATATCTTGATTTAATTTATCCCTATAAGGCTAATAAAGAAATCTTCACAATTATGGAATGAAATTCAGCATTATTTGTATGATCGAATCATTAGTTTGTGTTAACACATTACTCTCATCTTCAGGTCTTTTTAAACACGCTCAAATCCGTTTACTTCTGGCAAAGCATCTTTATTTGAAAAAATTATTTGCTCGTCTTTCTCACAATTACTTTATAACCTACATGTGGCACCATATAGCTATTGAACCTTTTTCTCAAATAATTTTGCCTATTCAGACAATACCAATGACCCTTTACTTATATATACTAAATCATCAACCCCACTAGTTAGTTTTATACAGCCCCTGTCTCGACTTACATACTTTCCAGCACCCAGCAAATCCAGATCTATCAGTTCCTTTACTCTTTCCTCTCTCACCGTCTTTTAGTCTCTTGAATATTCTTATTTCGCCCTATTAAAATCTTCCACCTTTTATAATTTTCTTCGCCCTGCCCGTTCCTTCTCATCCGTTTAACCATATCTTTTTCTTATTTCTTAATTTTCTCTAGGAATACTTATTGGAATTCATGATATCAAAATATTAATGAATTCACATTTCTTATCAATCATTTATTCATTAGATAATTACTCATATTGATAATTGCCAGTTTTAGCCTTTACCATTTCGATAATCCAGCAATTGAATCATTTAAAAAATTTTTTACAGGTCATTCAGATTGTTAATTATGAAGTGTTGTAAAACTAAATGCTATTTTATAAAATAGTTGTTAATTAGCAATAAATTGATGTACAATATACAAGTTTATCTTGATTAAAAATATGATAATGTGTTGTTTAAAAACTTGAATATCCTTCTCAAACCTTATTAACAATGTTCATATCGGAAGATCTTTATGTTATAATAATGTTAACTGGAAATGGGGGAAAAATTTATTATTAAAAATCACCAAAATAATAATAATAACCAAATAAATAAAATAAAATTGCACAGCATTTTATTAGGATGAAGATGTTTTCTAATATGAAATGCGTAGATATTTAAATAATATGACATAACACTTGCACAACATATTTTAATTAAGAAAGAAGGTTGTGTCTATTGCTATAATGGAATTGTTGTCGATTCCATTATCTACAACTCGTGCATTTAAATAAGTAATGAGAAACTCTTTAAATTACCTGATGATTTTCAAAAGATTGCCCAATAGGTTATCGGACGTTGAGGATTATATCTGCTATAAAAATATTTATAAAATATTTTTAAATTTTAAGTTTATCGAAAATTATAATGACTCGTAATTTAGCAACTTCTCAATTGAATTCCATAGTATTTAATTACTATAATCTTTTATTTCTTTAAGATTAAAAGAAATGATACACTTTAAAAGCCCTTCAATCAATTAGTATGTAAATATAAACTTCAATCAAAATTAATTTTACATGACAGCCTTGATTAACTTATGCATATAAATCTTAGAAAACTAGAATTGAATTAAATTCTAAATTGACTCAACTAATTTGATTTCAAATTTGAAAATTCACACCTTTAATTAATTTTAAAATAAAATAAGAATTTTCTCTTAAAATAAGTTGATAGTTTAAGGCAGACCTTTGAAAAATCAGGAACTAAAAGGAAGCCTTGTTTTAGAATTCTATTTCGGAAGAATAATTGTTGTCTTGTTAAGCTAAATATTCTGTCTGGTATATGTTATTAATCAATAAATTAAAGAATTTCAAGCCTAAATTAGTAATTATATACTAAATAGGGTACCTGTTGAATTCAAATTGTTATTAGTTAAGTTATTATGATATTTATAATTTACTAAATTTCGTGTGATATTTCAAATCACAGATTTCTTATTATAAATTAAGAACTTTGGAAAAAAATTTAATTAAAAGATTGTGCTCTGATAATATTTTTCTCATTATAATAGTATTCTAAAACAACCTTTTCCAAATCGCTCGATCACATATTGGTGATTTTAAGCTCTAAATTTCATCAATTTTAATGAAAATAATTTGTTAATTAATATCAATGCAAAGAATTTTGATTGTAAAATAGAGAAAAACTATTAATTTAAAGGGTTTTCAGATTTTTGTTTCATTTTAACATGAATTTGAATACTTAATAAATCGTGGCTTCATTCGAGAATTATGATATTATGTAATTATGGTAATAATTGTTAGTAAATAAATTATATTTAAATAAACAGTAGCTCTTTCAAAGATAATCAGGAAACATAGTTATTATTGATTTCATTTCACTACTATAATATAAAAAAAAAATTAAAAAATATTATTGAGGGTTAATTCCAAAATGATTTCAAGAACAATGAAAGCAAACAGAATTGACAACAAGAGATGAATTAATATGCAAATAAAATTTACATTATGTGAATTTATTCAAAATTAATGCAAGAATCAACAATTGAAGGCCCTTAATCGATAAATCTGAAGATTATAGATTATAAATTAAAGTTTATAACATAATAATACTTTCATGCAATCAATCCTTAATTTGTTCTTTTATATTCTCCACAACATCCATTAGGGCAAAAAAATCCAGCCAGAAACCATATCACTCCTAAACCAATAAAACCAATTCCTGTATCAGATGAATCCCCCCCAAAATTACCAATAAGTAATACTAAACCAACTAAAATCGAAATAACTCCTAAGATATAAAAACTTTTTCTTCTTTTTTATTCAGTGCAACCACAACAACCGCCATCACCATAGAATGCTATATTAAGTTCTCGATTCAGTCTTTTAAGATCTTCTATTTATTTCATTTATGCATCCCATGCCAAACAATTGCTACATTAACCATCATAACTTTAGATATGTTTGCATCTTTGACATTCATATTTTACCATTATTAGAAGAAATAAATTATATTAAAATAATCAATTTATTATGTTGCTTAGATCGCTTAATAAATATAATTTAAAAAATCAATCCCATAACCTTTTTAGCGATCGCTCATTATTGGCTTTAAACAAAATTTTGCTTGATAATGTTCTTTATACCAAATGGTAGAATAACAAAATCAAAATAGAATCTTGTTTCTTTCTTCATTATGTAGTTGATAAATGAATTTATTTATTCCATCAAATCAGCTAAAAGATTATTTAACTGCTTACTTAATTATTATTACAAATTGTTTTTCGATTATCAATTTCAAGATGTAAAGATTTACTAATGACAAAAAAAATTAAAAAGTGAAACTATTTGACTTAGATAAAATTTGGAAATTTTTGTTGATCATAAACTATAATGATATGAAAAATATATTTATTTTCAAAATTCTCCAACAATTGCTTTAATTCTTCAAATCTATATTCAATCAAATAATCAAAAAATAATTAAATTAAATCAAATATGATCGTGAGGATATTGGAATTTGATCAAAATTAATTAGGAAATGTGTGTACCATTTAATTTAGAATCAAGAAAGCTTTCCTCAAAGTCATTAGGTAAAGTTAATCTTTTCTTATTTGCAGTTGAAAATGTTTTCTTTTGTTGAACCAACCATTAATTAAATAATATCCCTACAATAATTTAATCTTTCAAATATTAATGCGCGACTTTTGCTCTCATTTTTGTTAACTAATTGACTTTTTTTTAATTAAAATCTACAATATTATATTTTTTTCTATTTTCTTGAAGAAGTTTAGATCAAATGAGACATTTTTAATTATCTATGGGCTGTGAGGAATCTAATATCATTTTTTTGTATCTTAACGTCTCTGATTATAAATTGAAAGAATTCAATATTTCTTCAAATTATTCATTTAGGATATTTGATTTCTTTGAAAAGCTAGTTATAATTACGCACTTATTCCATTTCTATTTTTTATGAGATGTTGTGTTAAAATTATCATAAAAAAGAACAGTTAATAAAATTAAAAAGTATTAAATAATGTTTAAACCCTATCATAATATATTTAAAATCACATAACATTATACTATTTCAAATTTTAATTCTTTCTCTAAAACTTTTTCACACTCATAATTTATCTTACTCCCAACTAATTCTACGCATCAACTTCTTTAATTTATAAAATTGAATTTAACAGAAATTGATCTGCCTGTGTGAGCTGGGATAATACTGCTGGATAATTAATTTTTAGACATTGTAAAATATTTTATACTAATTAAGTTTATTAGTTTTATGACATTATGCGAGTAGTTTCAAGATCTATCATGTTTGGTTTTTCAATCTAATTTTCTTTCTTATAGTTTGACATCTCTTTTAAATGTAATTCTAGTTGATTATCTTGATATTCTAAATCAAAACTTGGGATATTTTTTTCCATCTAACAATTTGCATATATATATTACTTATTATGAAAAGTTTGGGTTCCCAATTTTTTAATGAAAAGATATTTTCTCTATATATGCAGCATATTTATTGAGAAAATTATTAAACAATTACTCAATTATCTATTGTCTATGTTATTCTTCATAAAGAATGTGAGAGTTTAAAATTAAAAAGTGAATGATCGTAAAGTAAAATTTATAATTATAAACTGTTAAGGCTCTTCCGAAAGTCAGGTTTATATAGCCACTTGTATTAATGATGATTTATCTTAAATGCACATTCAATATTTTAGAATTATCCATAATAACTGGCATAAATATGGAAATAAACGTCTTTGGCAATATTTCTTTTTATTACAATTAGAGGGAAAGAATTTTATAAAATTATTCTGTAAACAATAAACAACACTCATCTAAATTATAGTACTGATAGAATGTTTGAATTAATATTGAAATTCTGATATTATCTTCAATTGAGTCATTTTTATGAAGCTCAGAATATATAAATTTTATCATCTAAAACTTAAAAAAATTTTATATACTATTGATATCCACTAAGGCTTTGATTTTATTACTTCAGAAGCATGAATTGTGCTTGACAAAAAGAGTCTGAAAACACTTTCAATCGTTAATTTACCTTCCTACTCAAGAATTCCAGGTAAACTATCATAAATTATATATATTATTTCTGTCAAACCCTTTGTATATGCAATGAATTTGGCACTAGCATCAAAGATCTCATCTATAAACTACAAATTTTCTGGTTGCAATAACAAATTCATGATTTAAATCAAAGTGGGTTCTAGTTAGGCCTAAAATTAATTATCCAATAAATACAGTATATTTAAGTGTATATGGTTAGGACAAAATAGTATCAACAATCTTTATGCAACTAAAAACGATTGAGGTATGATTAATATATTAAGTCTGATTCAAATTGATTTTTTTACAACCTAAATCAATTCTTTTTGCAATTGCTTTCATTATATCATCAAGGTATGTATCTATGATTACATTACAATTCTAAACTACAATTGATGTGAATTCATAATATATGTCAAGATCGCATTATGCTAATTAAACACAAAATTCATTGTGCTAAATTGCAATTGAATCTTCCATTTTTTGTTAAATATCCTAGTTTTACATAAGATAAATCAGACATTTAACTGCAAATTACTTTACTCCTCGTTTTTGTTTTGACTAATTTAAGATTCCGAAACAGAATTTTATACATTTAGTAAAAGATCTGTCAGAATTACAGAATATTTAAGGCAAAGAAATTTTAATGAATTCCATTCCTAAACATTTCCCCAGAGCATCTGCCTTTTTTTTCATATACTTTAAATTTTGCTTTAAAAAATACTCTATACTCTATCTAACATCTTTTCTGGTTGTAAGTTATTTATTTAAAATACAAAAAGACAACATAATTGTATTATATCTTAAATCAGGAGAACAAGTAAAAAAGTTACATTAAATTATTTCTTTTTGTAATTTATTGCATATTGAGGTTTCTTGAATTACTTCAAAATGAAACAGCAATAATTCGTATGCCAAATCATAATAATTTTTTAAAAATCCATCAATATTTTAAGAAAGCTTATCCAAAATTTATGCCATTAAGCCTTTAATTGTGTCATTCTAAATAATCGAATAATATTTACATCAAAATTAATTATGGCTTAGATATTCTCATAAAAGTCTGTGGGGTTTTCATAAAAATTTTCGTGATCATCGTCATCAAAGATTAGGTTGTCGAAAATTACATTGAATAATAATTGCTGTTAATTATTTAAAAAAAAGTCGTATGAAAAAGAATAACTTAAGCATTCGTTTACAAACTGTAAGACTGATAAAGATGTAGAGTGATCAAATTTTTTTTCCAAAAATGATTAAATAAGTAGAGGTAAAATTTAATTAGTCAATTGTGCTAAGTAGGGGACCTACTGCGAATCAAATTTTAGTTGAGCTTGAACTTATTATTAGTTTTTAATTAGCATGGATAAAGATTTGACTAAGTGAGAAGTTATTATATAGTCTTATAATATATACTTTTGAATGAATGTTAATAAATGCTGATCTTATGATAATATTAATAATTTTTCTTGTTAGTAACAATTGTACTTTTGAATGCATACTACTATGATACTACTTAATGTTTTCCCAACCTAAAGATCAATTTTTGAATAATCAATAAATTGAAATTATTGAAATATCTGTTCAATTATAATTTAAAGTTATTAATCCAAAGTTCTTATATTAAATAGAAATCTCAACAATTAATCCAATATAAATAATATTGATATAATAGAGGTTGACATTTGTTGGTGACTGCTAGCTAAGGATTACGACATTTATTACAATAAAAAGTCAAATAATTCATTTTTCTCTTAAAATGCTTCAAATACCATTGCAATTAAATGGGTTATTAGTTTATAATGAGATTTGAAATATTTAATACCTAGATGAATGGATAAAGAAAATATTATTTATTGATCTTGTTCTTATGTGATTAATGATAGTTTCCTTAGTTGTTGAGTGGCAAAGATAACCATTGATTTGAACCGTTAAGGGTTATATTTCTGAGGATTCATTTGCATGATTGAATCAAAATGATAAAGCGTTCTCATTATCAAAATTAATTTTAGTGAGAAATTGTTCTCCATGTATAAATCCACAGATTATTAATTTTCTTGGTTGGATTAAACTTTGGCAATATAATCTAAAAATTGATCTAATTCCACAATAGGCAATCCTTCAGCTATAGGTTAGGTAAACAATTAGAGTAAATAACTTTAATTCATGAATATAATGTAATTAAAATATTATACTCAAATTTAGTTTGATTAGTATAAGTGAGCAGATAAATAATTAGAGCATAAAATTTAAGAATTTGAGTAATTTTTACTAATAAAGTATGAAGATGAATGTTTAACAATAATATTTAATAAACTTTTTCTTATTTATTGATTATGTCAATGTGAATACCATTTAGGCTATCCATTAGCATCTTAGATAACTAGTCGGCCATCATCTTATAACACCAATACAAACGGAGGAGCAAAATTACCAAAGTTTTAACCTGACACCCAATATGGTACTCCTTTGGCATCAATCATTTATAACTCTCCAGAAGGATCAAATTTCAACCACACAGGTGGAATTGGCTATCGATTGAAATTAATAGCCTATTTTTCTAAAATATCAATACTGAAAAAATGGGTTGCCTAGTTTAATTATGAAAGATGTATAAACGACCATCATGGAAGAAAGACAATGTAAATTATTGATTTGGACTTGTTAGCATGAATCCTGAAGTCATAGTTTTGCCAGCTTAAATTATATTCTAGTCGTCATCTAACCATCTTAATCTATTTCCATGAGCCCAAACTCCTTTTTTCTTTGCTCCATTCACAAATGTCCATTCACTAGATATTTATCGTTTATTACCCATTTCCATGCATATTATTATCGATCCATTATCCATCGTATTGTTATCTATTATTCCACACTTGTTTTCCTTATCCATTTTTCTTCCCATTTATAAATTAACCTTCAAATCGAGAGTCGCCAACTACCAAAACTCCAGTTCCATTGTACTAAAAGATATTATTACATGATATACTTAATCATTAGCCCATTGACCTTCATAATATCCACCATAACTAAATTAGAGTCTTCCCTAACCATGTTTCAAATTATTCATCATATCTCCAGTATAATGATCTCCATTGGGATAAGTGAAATCCACTCTTCCATTCATTGGCTACATTCCATAATTATTTTGATATCTAACTTCATAATTTTGAACGAATTAATTCAATTATTAAGGAAATACTTATTATTATTATTACTATGGTTATTATTATTATTATGGTTATTAATATTGTGTTTAAAGTTATTATTAGAAGGACTCTTTTGAAGGGGCTTCTGCTGACTATTTGTCCTTTTAAAGATAATCTTATGGTTTAGATGTCTTAAATGTGCATTCTATCTCTACTTCCCCAACATTTGCTCCATCATAAAATAATGTAACTGTTTACAATTAGTTCTCTTTTAGTGCTAAGGAATCAGTAATTGAAGCATAACCTATTGGATAAATAAAACTATTACCACATCCCAAGAAATCATTCCATCCTATCAAAGATTCAGCCCAAACTTCTATGTATAAAGTATCTTCATTGGTCTCTCTAGTAAAGATTATTTCGTCAGTCCATTTTGGTGTGGTATGTCCAGCTGCATCTACCGAGGTGTTCATAGTTTCATTGCCAAAATGAACCGTCAAAAATGGATCCATTTTTAGTAATAAATTGGTATTCTTCTTTAACCTACCAAATTTTGGTTTGACAATGAATTTTCCTTCAGTATCTGGGGCTTTTATTTCTGGCAAGTCTTTTCCACTAGGATCTAGAGTAAAAGTAGCTTCCAAAGTAATTTCCCCTGCTTTTTCACCGTGATGGAAGAGTAGGAATGAAATTCTTTTTGGTTCAGCATTTCCTTTTCTTAAAGAAGTCAAAGAAAATGCACCTTCACCAATCAAAATGTCTGAAGTTATAGTATTTTCACACCACACCTATCCTATTATTACATCTTGTTCTCCCAGCAACTTTTAAAATGTATGTGTGCATCCTTCCCATTTTCTATTTAAATAATATTAGAATGTATATGTACGGATGCTTTCCTCCTTCCTTTGCTACTGGTGTCTTGAACTCTTGTCTCCCCATAATTAATTTGATATAAGGATCCATAACTCCTATGAATCTTACATCCCGTTCTAATAAAGCGTGCTTTATTGTCATAAAAACTGGACCTTTGAATCCAGGCGCTCTATTTTATTCTACCACAGTTCCTGCACTACTACCGCAACCCATTAAGTAAAGTAATTTATAATTATCAATAATATCGAATAATAGATTTTGTTTGAAATGGTTAAAAAATAATATATGTATTAAATCCGATTATTACGATTCTATAATTTAATTTTATATTCTATCATTGACACTACATCTATGAGTAACACAGATAGGGTTTGATAAAGTAATGAACACAAATTAAAATACAATTAATATTATTATTGATTTATTTTATTAATGTCATTCATTTTTATTTGTATATTATTCGTACTTTTCATATTCAAATTTAATTTCCTTTAATAATTTATAATACTCTCTTTCAATTGCCAAAGCTTGTCTATATTGTTCCATAATACTTTATCTTTTGTTCTCAGATTATTATAGCTTCTCTTAATAAAGTTATAATTATTTTTATAGTTACTAAAGTTAGTTAATATAATACTTTGTAGGTAGAATCTAAATTTTAGGATAATTCAATCTTTCCTTTTTTATCCTTTAAATTATTGGTATAATTCTCCTTAAATGTTCTATAAATATCCACAAATTAAGCCGCCAGTTATTTCACTTCTAGTAAATTATTATACTTTAATAATAATTTTTTATTTGATTCCATCTCCTCATTGATCGAATCGTATAGTTCTAAAAACCTTTGATGATATTGGGCAATTTCAGAAGGCTGTGGAAAAGATTCTAACTTTCTTTCTAAGACAACTATCTCCTAATTTAAAAGTTGAAATTGCTAGAACTTCTTTTCAAATTTTTCCTTTTTTTAGTTATATTATGATTTCATCTCTTTTAATAATTCCTAATCATTTTCTTGTGGCATATTCCTTAAAGCCTCTTCTTTTTCTTTCTCTATTTTTTGTTATTCCTATTTAATCTCCTTTTTTAGTTCTGTTTTTTATTCTTTCAATTCGATTTTTTTTGCAACTTACTCCTCAGCCCTTTTAATATCTACTTGATTTGCTTTTTTCGTCTTTGAGTCAATTACTTTTAGCGCATCTACAATCTTAGTAAGACGTGATTTTTCTTCATTTATTTATTCTGTCAATTAGTTGTTTTATGACTCCAGCTACTCTACTTCCTACATATCCTATTCTATAGCTTTCTCTAAATTGTTAAGGTTTTATTGTTATAATTTAAATTATTATTCAAGAATAATTTTCTCTTATAACTTTATGTTTACAGTATTTACTACTTCTTGATCTTCTTCTTAAGTTTATTATTTCAATCCCTCAGCAATTTTTTCTTTCGAAATCAGCTAGGATAATGATTATCCAGCAATAGAATTTCTTCTTTATAATTTCTGAAACTTCCTTCCTTCTTCTTCATTCAAAGTTGCTTCTGCCGATGGACCAGCTATTTGAGACATTTCCTTTATTTATGCTTGTGCCTATTACATTTTCTCTTTTTATAGATTAGTTAACTATTCTAATGTTACTTATTAATTTTAATTAGTTTATTTTTTTTCAGGTACTTCATCAAGAAATAAATTTTATTGGAATGCTAAAGTTGGATTCTATTGAGTTTTGCTATTAACAGCGCTTACATTCTACTAATTTCCTTATTTTTATTTTTAAATTCCTGAAATCAAAGCACAAAATTTGTTATAAGTTCTTTGACTTGATAAATCTCCATATTCAATTAATGTAGAATAAACCCGTAAAGGGTCTTTTTTTGATAATTTTTTCAAATTCTTAGTTTATCTATTATCTTATAATAAATCTAATTATGATACAATTTCTTAGATTGCCTTCTTTTCTTCTTAATCTTATTAATATAAAGCTTAATTTGCATTTTTACCAACTAATTTACTTACTCTATAATTTTAATCTTGTCGAAATTCTCTAGTTTCTAAGACAAATTTGATGAGCCATTTAATTACAGGGTAGATGGCATTCAAATCTAGACCTTAAATTTAATGTGGTTAAAGATTATATGGGGATTACATCTCTATTAGAGATTTGACAATTTATTCTGAAACCTTGATCTTCTGCCCTATATTATAGTCATCATTATATTAAATATCAATAGCAAAGTTAGATTATGTAATACACCAACTGAGACCTCCCAAAATCTACATCTTGATATATGAGTAATACCTTATCAAATGGCTTAATTGAGGGAATACGAATTCTAAAATAGCCTGCTAAAAGAAGCAAATCCAAGATTTCCTTCAATTTAGGATTAGTTTCTGGATCCAAATTGACGACTTCACCTTTCATTTAATATAAATAATAAAATTATTAATGCAGATTGTATAATCAAGATGAGAATTTGCCTGTTCTATTCCAATTATCATAAGTCTTGATTTTCCCCTGCAATATATTCTAAGAGTTTTAGATGATATTGATTTCATTCTGCATCCATGTGGTCTGCATCTTTGTTCTCTAAATGATGTGAAATGACGATATCCAATGATCAATTGCTTTATAATATCAATTATATCATTGAAATAATAAACACAATTAAGTATAAATATATTAAATTAAAAATATAGAGCAAAATAATGAATTGTGCTATTAATGTATGTAAAATATAGAATAATCATGCATCTGTTTGAGTTTTTTATCTCCAAGTTTTATAATCTGGGTCATACATGAATCCTTTTTCATTTGAAAACATGTAATCTAATAAATAAGATAGAGGATGATATCATACCTATCATTAGCACTATTCCGAACATAAATGAAATGGTTAACCAAGCAAATCTAACACCGTCAATGGTGACTGCAGAAAACAATAATGTGATCAAGACAATGGTGAAAATCAGCGATTAGGAACATGAGCAGCACGCCATTTAATATTAATATTTATTATATATTTGATTTAATGATTATATATCATTTTTTCTTCCCACCCTTTTTCGGGTCTACAGCGACAGCCTTAGATTTCTCTCTTCTGTCTTTTGTTCCTGTAACCTCATCAAAGAAGGTCTACAATATAAAATAAAGAATACCCTTAATTTGTCATATTCAGCTTAAGACTTTACGTATGGTTACCTAGCAAGTCTAGCCACAAATTCATCAATAGTGATTGGTTCATCAGGAATTTTTTTTATTCTTTCTGGTGTTATTATTTTATCAAGAGCATTTTTGAAAGATCCTGCTGTGTATCCTTCTGTCAAATGAGCCAAAGTGCTCAAAGGGAAATTTGGTTCCAATTTTACTCCTTTCTCTTCAATAAAGTACTTTAGTAATGTCAACCTAGTATCATAATTTAACATTGGGAAAAAGAACTTTTTTTCAAAGAAGTTTTTCGTATCCTTCATAATCATTAATTCTGGTTAATTAGTAGAACCTATAAAAACTACTCTTGTGGTTGGTTCAATAAACTTAGCCTTTTTAAAATCTTAGAGTGGCTTTTTTAATTTTGCCCAAGGAGCAGCAGGAACACCTTTTTTCTTTTTTGCAGATCCAAAAACTTATTCTATGTTATCCATAAAGATAATCGTAGGGTGTAAAACCTTAGCTACATAAAATACAGTATAAAATGTTTTTCCAATAGAAGATTTATCAGAAAACTTTTATTACACTTCAGGGGAACTAGGTGTTATATCGAGTAACATAGCATTGCATTCAGTTGCCAAAGCTCTAATTGCTAAAGTTTTACCAGATCCTGAAGGCCCAAAGAATAAGAAGTAAGACATTTTATCTAATTTTTCTTTCAAGATTGGGGATCCTAATTACATACCAACAAATTCAGCTAATGCTGATCTTAATTAAGGGTAAGAAGGATCAGGTGTAGTTGCAAACTATTATTCTTAGGTTGCTCCCAATACATTTTGACCACCTTTTAGATCAGCCAAGTTGGCAGGCATTAATTTTTTGACAATTCCATATTCTAATAATTCACTTAATAAATCAAAGACATCTCTTCCTTTAACACCACCTGCTCCAGGGACTTTGAAATTCTTGGGTTTAGGAGGTTTTGGTGCCTTAGGCTTAGGTGGTCTCTTTCTAGGTTTCTTTAATAAGAACAAATGTCTATTGTCTAATTCAATTTCAATTAATTCATCAACTAAACTATTCATTTCAGTTTCTACAGATGATCTAACTAGGCCTTTTGCAACATCAGTTACAAATGTTTATTGAAAATTGGTTGAATCATCTGTTGATCCCCAAGTTGTCAAATATTCTTCAACCCTCTCATTTATTTTAATAACTGTAGTTAAATCTATAGTGTCTTTCTTTTCTTCCTTCTTGTCTTTTTTCCCTTTTTTACCTTTCTTTTCAGGTTTATTTTCCTTCTTAGCACCTTTCTTTCCTCCCTTCAAAGCATCTAATTCTTCTTAAGTTGGAGGGTATCTTTTTTTATCATCATAATAATCAATAGCTTTAGCAGGTAGTTTTTCTTAATATTATTCTATTCTTACTTCCTTCTGTTTTATCTAAATACATATCAATCCAATCAATTCTTTCTTTGATTTTCTTCTCTTTAATTTCTGGTCCTTCTGTTTCCTAAACCAACTTTTTGAGTTCTATTTTTTTAGCGTCATAATCTTTCATATGTTATTGTTAAATCAAAGTCATTCTAAAAATAATATGATTATATTCTACTTTTATCTTTATTCCTATGCTTTCATAAATTATGAGTTTTGTTATTTTGGATCTTCTGCATCTCTTTGAATTCCCAAGAATTTCATCTCTTCTTCCCTCATAAAATAAACCTGTTCTCTTCCTTTGTATCCTTTGAAATACTTTTGGATAATCAAAACTGCTTTCTCATTTTCCTATTCATCAGTAATTTCCTCTCCTTCAGCTAATCTTTTGGTTTTGTTCTCTTTTCTTAATCTCTCTTTCCTCAATTATTTGCATTGTAATCCTCTCTAAATACCTTATCTTCCTCTTTCATTTCTCTGAATTATTTCTAAAATATTTTCTTCTTTTGTATCTAAAAAGTATTATTCTTCTATAACTGTTTCTTCTGGCTAACCCAAATCCATGTCTTATAAAGTTTTATCAATAATGAAGTTCCTTTCATCCAATCTTTCTTTGTCTGTTTCCTTTTTAAAATATCTTGGAATAGGCACTTCCAAATAATCTGGAGTAAGTTTTAAGTCAGTAATTAATTCATCTAAATTCACCATGTCTGATTGATAACTGTTTGAGTGCACATTATATTAGATGACTAATTTTTTATTTTCAATCATTCTAATAATTGCTAATTCTAGCAATTCCTTCAAATTTATTTTTTTCTATGGATGCACCATCTAATCATAACAATCCTCTAATCTAATAATAATTATTTGTTATTTAAAACTTTTTATAAATCCCAATGTAACGAATGTAATTTTGGGCATAATGCTAAAAAAGATCCTGTGATGGCTTCTTTAAAAAGTCTGGCTCGTTTTAGAAGTTTTCCACCTAAATCAAGTCTTGAATATCATTTATTGTCTCTTGCCACATATTATTATAGTATTATTTTGACATTGTTATACAATAATAAAAATAATAAATTCTTAGAAGCAAAAATTTATGCTTTATAACAGAATTAATAATTTCAACGATCATATCCGATGCTCATATAACATTCTTAGAATTCTTCCTTTGGAACTAGGAATGGTGTTTATATTATATTAATCAATCATAACATTTGTACTTTTTCTAACATTTATTTATTGGCTAGTGTTCTAATAAGATTGGAAGATTTGATACGTTGTTTTCAATATTAAGAATTTCTTATATGTTAATTTAACATGTCTAATCGGATGAACAAAAAAAATAAGGGTATTATATTATTACATCAAAATCTTTATATAAATGTGCAAGTCAAAAAAATTAAGATTAACTGGAGTAAATTGTTGATATCTTTTAGTATTTACTTTAATATAAAGCTTAAGTAGTATATTCAAGAATTTGATTAAAAAAGGATAGGACTTTTCGAAAAGGATTATTTTTTAATAAATCAATTGCATATTTATAGGTAAAGGATAAGAATTCCAATATAAAACATATGATGATAAACTAAGAAGTTTGTTTTTTGATAATTTTAATATAAGCTATCTATAACTGATAGATATATCTTTGGTAAAATTTGTTTTAGTTTTAAATTAAACTCATAGTCAATTTATGAATCATTAACAAATATATTTATTCCCTTTATCTTTTCTATTAAATTGGCGTAAATACATTGAATTTGAAATTATCTATATGTTTATAATAAAGGTGGATTCAACATTATTGACTTTTATTTTTGCAATAATTCGATTATAATTAAGAATTGGATATAAATAATATTCAGACAATTAATGTAGCTTACAAGCGATCGTGAAGATCCTGAACAATTAAATACTTAAGGAGCCTGTTCTGTTGAAATTCCACCCCAAAGAAACAGGTCTTCCTCATAATACTTGTTTCACGGTCCCTAGAACAGAAAATTGAAAACATAAGCTACTGTTTCTATATTTGGGTATTGGACTTAAATAATTGATAGGACTTTTAATACATACGAAGATAAAACAACTATAACAAGAGACACTAGAAGCGTATTTACTAGAATTGTGAAAAAACTGATCATCATACAATGTTTTTTTGATTCATTGGAGTAATATCGAAAGGAGAGGTTGTAATAAAGAATAGAGTTTTATTTTCAAAAACGCACAAAGGTGATTCCATTTTATCCTGATGATTGTCTAATTGTTTATTGGATGAAAGTTGTAACTCTACTGCAATTTTGCTCTTGTATAATTTACCCCATGTTCATAACATTCAATGATTTATAAACTGATTTATCTTGGATTGTGATGATTTTAGATGCTCTTTTCTCCATTGACATATTATTAACGTTTTTGACAGCTTACATAGATGAAACATCTACTTTAAAAATATAAATTGTTGATATAACAATGCATTATTTGAAAACATGGTTTATTTTTGATTCTATATCAATTTTTCCTTGGATTTCCATAGGATTGGAGAATTTGAGGCTTTTTAGACTGTTAAGAATATTAAAATATTTTATATATAAAAGAAAGCATAGCTACAAGGGGTAAGCAGACTAGCACCAAATAGTACCTTCATTTTTGCCATATAATGATATGTAATTGAAGGAGGGGATTAAATTTCTAATAGATGTGATGGTAACAGCATTTCTTTTGATTCACATATTTGCTTGTGGATATCATTATTTATTAGGAATAGAATATTTAGATGCCTTTTATCAATCAACCTAAACAATAACAACAATTGGATATGGTGATTGTTCTCAGTCCATCAAGTATGAATATTAAATCTTGTGGTTAATTATTGGAGTAGGGTTTTATACTTTTACAATAGGAGATTTTGCTTATATGATGTAAAGATCTGGGGTGAATTAGGATGATGAATATTATTTCCAGCTCGAGCAATTGTCTTACGTATCTGACTTTCCAGAAAGGATAAAAAACTAGTTTCAAAGGTTCATCACAACCAACCTAAACAACAATGCCTTCTGGTCTAGTTATCATAAAAAGATGGTTCACGATTTACCATATTAAATATAGAATTATCTAGTTTTAAGTGGGATGCTGTAAATTTGTGAGGCAGTACCTTTTTTCATGTAGGATATTAATTTTACGATTGAATTATTAAATGATGTTCAATTCTTGTTTATTGAAGAAAATGATCTAATATATAGAGAAGGCTAGAATTCTAATGAGATATATTTTTTATTGTAGGGCGACGTAAGGATAATGACTAAAAAGAAATTTACTTTATTAAATATTTTAGAGGGAACTATGTTTGGAGAATACGAGGCTATCGAGGAATCCTTGAGAGCAACTTATGCTGTAGCAATATAAAAGTCTTTGATTTTAAAAGTGGATTATGCTATTTTCGAAAAATCTATGAAGATGAGTCCAAATTTATATTTTGAAGTTTAGCAACTATTTCATAGAAGAAGAAAGTTGTTGATAAATAGTCTTAGATATGAGAAATGTAATTATAAATAAACCATATTAGTTAGCTTAAAGAAAGAAGGTTCGAAGATCGGTTTTAATCCAATTCAGTCATGTATAATTACAGTAAACTAGACAAGAGATGAAGAGGCAACGAGAAATCCAAGAACTTAAAAATATTAATGAATATAATCAAATGGTTCTTCAACAATTGATTGATAAAAAGAGACATAAATATGAATAATTGTTGGCAAGGTTTAAATCAGTTGTGTTTCGAATTATTCATTTTAATCAGTAATTAATCCGAACACCCCCAGAGGATTGGAAAGATTTAGACAATTACAATTTAATTAAGAGAGTATTTCCATTGCGTTGCTTATCTGATAAGTTGTAAGTTTTCTTTAGGAAATCCTCATCAGTTCACAGTCAATCAGTTCATCGAAGCTCGATTCGCAAAAGAATAGAATGCCATCCTTAATACGATAAATTTAAATGGCGACTAAGCGATATTTAAATAAAATAAATTATTTTAATGCACAATAAAAGGTCAGTGAAGGTATTTCCAACTTTAAAGAGCATTGTGTAAAATTATCAAAAAAGTACAGTAGCATCATCTCCATAGAGGATTAATAGATTCTATCCTAAATGGATAAAAGATTTAGTACTTGAAGATCATACTACTGCAGAAATGGAAAAATTTGTATTGAAGTATCATCAAATCAATAAGAGATTGGATCAGATTGATAAGATGTGGACAAAGGGATTAATTATTAGATTTGATGAATTTAAATTGAAAAGTTAAAAAGATTTAGATCATCTTGACACTGAATCTTCTGATGATAAATGAAAAACTCAAAGATAATGATATCTTTTTCTTTGTTAATCTTTTTTATTAATTATTATATATCATTTATTATTGAAATTAACTTAAGAATTTAAGTTAGGTTTCCTTTAAAACATTATTTAATTTGCCTATAATCATTGAATGAGTGCAGCTAATTTAAATTTAGAAAGAGACAAGTATAAAGATTTGTTGAAGAGTATAAAAGATGAATCTATGTAACTTGCCATTAGACATCAAAGCAATACATCATAAGTTCTGGAGAAAAAGAGGAAATTAAAAATGGAATCGGAGCACACAGGAAAATTAGGTATTTATGCAATATAAAATGTCGCTAGCTCTTCCAAGCATAGAAAACAGTACTTTAGAAGATATTTCATCTCATTTCCATCTACGCAGCAGTTAAGCAGGAGAATTTGTTGAATTGATACCAAACAAATCTCAATAAAAGTTTATTTAGCAAAGCTTTCTTAAGTTGCAAAGAAATAAAATGTCTTAAACCTATCGAGATATTAGTTTAAGCGAAAAGAAATTTAAATCGCTATAACGTAAAGTTCCACATCAAGAAACATAGAGCTTAAAATAATTAGAAAAGTAACTGGGAATAGCAAAATCAACAGAAAAACAAACATTACCAACTATTTAAAGAGTATACTAATAAAAAAGAAAAGCCACGGAAGAAAAAATAGAAGAAGAATAACCAGCTGTTTCATTTTTCGAAGAGACTTTAACTTCATATTCATATGCAGTACCTAGGAGAAGGGAATCTGCACAAATAGGAGTCATCAGAGATAGACTTTATGTATTTGGAGGTATGAGTGGAGGAGGAATAACAAATGAAGTTTGGTGGTTCGATTTAAGTATATATTTAAATACATTCAATAGAAAAGCAAGAATGGAGCAATTATTGTTCAAATGTTTAACTATTTATAACCAGTCATTCGATGGTTGTCTGGAAGTAATTTTTGGTTTTCTTTGGTGGATCAGGTTATTATGATCATAAAATGAAAATCAGGCAAGTTTATTCTACTATTGGTTTATTCAATACTATAAATAACCAATGGACAACTTCATTAGAATCAGTGGAACCTAGGAGAGAACACAAAGCATCAGTCCTCTTCGGAAAACTAATGGTGATTACTGGTGGATTAGATGCAGCAGAGAAATTGCTAGACGATACATTATTTTATTCCTTGGATTCTAAGAGATGGACTGGTTAAAAGTTGTTATTTGAAGAAGGTATTGCATAGCATGCTCAATGTACAGCATATGACAGCAAAAAAAATATTGAAACTGTTTATATTTTTGGTGGATAAGCCGCCAAATTGAATTCATTTCCCTTAATGAAGATGTTATTTTATGGACTACATCCAGTTGGTTGGGAGAAAGTACAGTATTCTGGGCAAGCACCAGAAGGCAGATATAATCACACTATGGAAAATGTGGGTGATTATTTAATTTTGATAGGTGGCAGATCTTAAGAAAAAATAGAATATCAAAATGAAATTTTTATTTTTAATCTTAAAAACAGCACTTGGATTATAGCTTAAAGATAAGGATTGTCAACAAAAAGGTGGAGTCATTCAAGTTGTGTTTATGGTAGCAACATTCTATGTTTCGGAGGAATAGGTGAAAATACTTACTTACCCCCTCATATTTATTAAATAGAGACTGATAATTACAAAATAAGAGGAAAAATTGGTGTTGTTAAGTAATTGGCTACAATAAGTGAAGAAATCTTTAGCAGCAGGCCTCCTTTGAATATCAACAAAGATTAGGAATCAGATTCTAAGAAAGTTTGTAGATTGGAGAAATTCAGAAAAACTAGAAAAATGTATGAGCAAATTACAACCTACTTACCTTTGCCAAAATTGAAAACACCAAGAATGAGATACGATATCTTAATTCATTTTGTTAAAATCGTAATGAAATAAATTGGATACATTTGAATATAATTTGAGAATAAAATATTCTACTCATTTTAAATTATTGTATTCTAATTATTTATTGAAATTATATACTCTATAATAATGATAAGCAAATATCGATTCTCGATAAATCAAATTATAATAAGAGAAGCAATCAAATATATTAAACTGTGAAAGTATTTTAAACATCATTATTCAACTAGCTACTTCACAGGTTTATTAATAAAATGAGGAATTGAAATTAATATCACTTTATCAGAAATATTGGAATTAATGGTTAGTATCATTTTAGAAGTTTATTTATATTATATAATAGCACTTAAATTTAGAAAATAGAACACCTTTTATTAAGAAATATCTTTGATCATATAAATCTCAGGGATTTCTATATTTATAATTCCTTATAAAAATGGACTTAAGTATATTCAGTTAACAGAGCTAGTAAATTTAATCTGATTAGCATTTACTCAATACATTTTTGTAGATAAAAGTGTAAGCTATAAAGAATTTGTCCTCAATTTTCAAATGTCCTAAAAATATACAAATCTCTAATTGTACAGATATAGATGATTGAGAAAACATATAACATTCATAGCTAATTATATGTGTTAACAAGCTAAGAATTAGATTACCTCATTAAGGAAAAGTAAAAAAATCCTAATAATTAAATGATGATTATTAGGATTGACAGCACACTCAGAGTATCAGAATCAAGCTTAAAATTGTTGAGATTGCAATTGGAATTAATATATTTATTAGGATTGGAAATTTTAGAAAATAGGAAATTTGATGTAAGATATTTTAAGATTAAATTTAGCTATTGTGATAAATTTATGGATAGGGATTGAAATAATCTGAATGATTAAATAAATATCTTATGATTATGTTATTGTTATATGATTATTTATATGAAAATACTGTCATTGCAGATGCACTGTCTCAGCATAGTTGATTAAAAATCTCATATGAGTACTTGATGCTCCAGCATGGTACACAGCACATTTCTCTATAGAAATTATTAATTTTGATTAGAATACTTAAACATTCTGTTTCAGACTCATTAAAATCTCTATTCACTTTTAATGCTCCACATCTTTTACTGCAATCTTTGGTTGCTCTTGTCATATAATGTAAGGCTTAAGCTCCGACTCCCCAATCGATTTCTTGTTCCTCAGACATTTGAACAAATATTTAATATTAAAAATATTAATACTTGATTGAATTTAAGTTAATTTTATAGCATTCCAAATAAGTATAAATAGGTTCATATACTACATTCAATAATAATATTATCAACCTAATAACTCAAGGTCTAAATCTATCAAAATAACTGTAGTGAAAGTAAATTAGTGAATTACTTAAAAATCAATACCTACTTATCTAATGTTGATTTACAATAATGAATAATAATCGAAATAGATTTTTGATTAAATGAAAATCGTTTAGATCATGATGAGAATATGGCTTTAGATTGTTGAGGAAGATTGAATATTGCTAACAAGTATTAAGGTTTGATAGAAAAGGGAATGGAAAGCTTGAATAATTTTTTATATATTAAAAATGTAAAATAAATTATTAGATAAAGTTTAAGAAGAGAATGCAGCAAACAAAATGAGTAAATTGTTCAAAGGAAACTAGAATGATTATTATGTTTCAATGAAGGAGGAGGATGGTCATCAGATTGAATTGAATAAGATATAAAGGAAGAAGGTATTTTTATCAGGCAGTGAAGATGAAGAAGAACGATTACCAACGTCAACGCCAATTGTTAATAAAGAAGAAAATAAGTGTAAGATTATTTCTTTGAGCGTAGAAATTCAAGTGTACCAAAACTAAGAGAATAGGAATAGCGATATTTTAGATGAGGTACCTACATAAGAGAATATTGATGAATTGAATGGGATGCCATAATTTGAATTATCACCATTAAACATACCAACAGGGAAGAAGAAAACTAAAACAAAGAAAAACAAATTAAAAAAGAAAAAAGTGAAACATTAAGCATTGCCATTTAATTGGAATACTTATAAATTCTTATTACACTATCCCTTATAACATTTAAAATTAACTATACTAGTGAATGTATTGATAGTATTATCTGCTGTAGCACAAATGTTATTACCATGGATACTTGGTAGATTGATTGATGAAATCACTAAAAATGTGGAATAAGCTCAGCAATCAGGTTCAAATCCTGAAAATAATTAGGGCACTCAGAATGTTGTTATTGATGAAGAATTGCATTCAACATTATCAAAATAGTTTCTATATGTTTTGACAGCTTATACAATTTTATCTTTAGTTAGAGCATTCATCAATCAAATTTGGTAAGAAATGATATATAATGATATGAGAGAAGATGTCCTAAAGTCCTTCTTATCCTTTGATTTAACATTCTTTCACACTTACAGAAATGGTGAAATAATATCAAGGATGACAAATGATTTGCAATCAGCTAAATCAGCAGTCAGTGGAAATATTATTTTGCTAATAAGAAATTGTTGTTTGACTATCTTCAATATCATAATCTTATTTGCATTGTCTTGGAAAGTGACTTTAGCAATTTTAGCCCCAATGCCAATTTTTATTGTTCTGGGAACTATCCATACGAAAATGGCAAAAAAGTTTGAAAAATTAGGTCAAGAATATCAAGCCAAACTAACCACTTTGGCAGATGAGATCGTCTCAGGAGTAGTAACAGTAAAGAGTTTCTGTACAGAACAATTCGAAATTAAGAAATTTCACAAACAATTAGATTTAAATATTAAATTGGCTCAAAAACGAGGAGTAAATACTGGATGTTATTAAGCATCATCCGCTTTATTCACTTAATTGGGATCCTTGATTGTTTTATGGTATGGCGGTAAACTGGCAATGAATAGTTCAGCAGAATTATCGGCTGGGTATCACATTATATAATTAAATTTAGTGACTTGACAACCATAATCTTATACTCTCTATAATTATCTTCATCTAGTTCAGATATTAGCGAATCTTTTGCAAAAATAGTAAGTGCCACTGGAGCATTTGAAGGAGTACTCGATATGCTCAAATGGGAGTCTCTTGTTAAGGAAGCACCAGATGCAATAGATCATATTACTCCAACAGGAGAAATTTAATTTAAGAATGTTGTATTCTCGTATCCAAACTCTTAAGTGTAAGTCTTGAAAGGAATCTCGCTTAAAATTACTAAAGGAGAATATGTTGCATTTGTGGGACCTAGTGGCAGTGGTAAATCAACACTCATGCATTTATTGGAAAGATTTTATGACCCATAATCAGGCTCAATTTATTTTGATGAAATGAACATCAAATAATTCAAACTCAAAGCATTAAGAAAGGCAATCGGATTAGTTTCCCAAGATCCTGTTTTATTTGAAGGAACTATAGAAACTAATATAATATATGGAACCGAAAATTATACTAAGGATGATTTTGAATGGGCCACTAAAGCAGCAGGAGTTTGGTAATTTGTTTCAGATAAATTCAAATTTCCCCATGGATTTGATACTTTCGTTGGTGAACATGGTTATACTTTAAGTGGAGGATAGAAGCAAAGAATTGTAATTGCCAGAGCATTATTAAAAAGACCAAAAATCTTAATCTTTGACGAGGCAACTTCTGCTCTAGATGCTGAAAGTGAATTTCAAGTTTAATCTGCCATTGATGAATTAATCTAAAAGGGAAGCAAAAACATAACTGTTTTAGTAATCGCTCACAGATTGAGTACGATTGTTAATTGCAATAGGATTATTGTATTATAAAACGGTGTTGTGGCAGAACAAGGAACGCATTAAGAATTGCTTAATAATCCTGAAGGGATTTACAGACAATTAGTGGAGAGATAAATATCAGGAGTTATTGATTCTAAAGATAATGATGGAGATTCAGAAGCTTAATGAAATGAAATATAAATTGTTATTTTACATTACATAGATATTAATTATTTTTCTATGAATTAGATCAAATAAATATCATTTAGCACAATAATAAGATTTCTTTTTCACGAAGGTTAATTCATTTTGAGGTTTATTAAAATACTCAAAGAAGAACTAATCATTTGATAATTTACTAATAAAATGTTTATAGGTATACAAAAGATCAATATCTTGTTGTAGAAATATAAAAGTCATTCCCAACTCAATGATTAATTGCATCTATTAAAAATTTAAGAAACTAAAAATGAAATAATATGATTGCTACCAAAATTATCTATAAGATAGTTTGAATTTTTGGAAATTGAAAAACCATATAGAAAGTGAAAATTAATCTAAAGTAAGAAGAATACAAAATAATGAAAGTCAATCTTTAACAATTAACCTTCTCTTAAATACGAGATTACTTTTTTCATTTGCTAATTATTAAGTTAGCTCTGAATTCTCTTTTCTTTCATTCGTAAAGAAATCCAAGGTCTTTTTTTTTCTTAATGATCTATTAACTTATACACTCTTTACTCTACCTGTGTCCACTTTAGCCTTAGATTTAGCTATTATATCTTTGGAGTTATAAAATTTTTGCTGATTTTCTAACATTTTCAGTTGTCCCAATCTAATCATTTCATCGGAATTCTCGCTCACTTTTTTGGTGATCATCTATTTTAGACCTGTTATTCCTTTTTGACTTTACTTTAAAGTAGTATTTCTTCTGTTATTTCTCTTAACAGTTTCTGGAGATAAATTCTATAAAGATTCTCAAATTTCATTAAAATTAGAATTAATACCTTGTTTTTCAGCTCTATTTGTTAACCATGAGAATGCAACTGATGCAGCATATTTAGTTTATATTTTTTCAATTACTAATTCTTTTCTAGTATTTTCGTCCTGCTATTATTATTCATCTATATTTCCATAAGAATGCATTGGATTAAGTACTTCATTGGGTTGATCTGCAGTTTTCAATCCAAAAATTGATTGTTTCTTCATTTTATCAGCAGATTAATTTAATCTTTGTTTCAGTTTCAGTTTCCTCCTGATTACATTAAAAATTGGCTCTAATCTTTTAGCTTTTAATCTGAGAGCAGCTATTTGCATCTCTTCTTTTCTCTCTAAAATTTTATCGATAAGCAATATTCTAAAGTTTAGTCTTTTTTAGTTACCGTTCTTCTGCAGAGGATAATTACTTTAGAGATTAAATTATCTATTTTTTATCATTGAAATCAGATAGTAAATTATAAGCTTCCTTAACCTTTTAACCTTTAATACCATTTTAAATTGACTTTGTTGGATCATAATTTTTGAGATTGGCTTTTAATTTCTCATACAACTACCCTCTTTCAGATGTCTTAGGGATAGTTGATATATCTCCTATTCTTGGAGACTCAATTGGAGAGACTTAGGTTGTAATGCTGTAAGGCGTTGGATTATGTGAATGGACAGTAAAAGCAAGGTGTTTTTGATTTGGACTATAAAGTGGTCTGGATAACAATAATTAATCAAAACTCATTTAATTTTAATAATTACTATATGATAATGCAAATATTTCATTCATGGTGGTCTATACTTTATCTCTTCTTCCCGACTTCTTCACTTAAACTTGTTTAAAATTCTTAGAATGTGATTTCGCCATCACCGTTAGCATCAAAAAATTCAAAGCAGGCTTGTATTTCTTCCTAAGAAATATTTGGTTCAATTCTCTTTAACAATTGTCCCATTTCGCTTTTATCTAATCTTTAATCAGCTGATTTGTCAAACTAAATCAATCAAATAAATTTTCACTTTTTTAAATAAATCCAACAAATTGATTTTATATTTTTAGATTGATAGTTTTAATTTCTCTATAACATAATTAGCTCTCTCTTCAATGGAACTCTGAGACTTTAATTAATGTGGCAGAATAGACAGTTTTTTATGTGATCCACCTCCTCTTTATTATTATTATGGATTAGCATTAGTAACAATCTATTCATTAATAGTATCAATTAATTACTTGATTGTCTTCCAACCACTTTTTAAATTCCTCAAATTCAATCTAATTATTCCCATCGTCATCAAATTTATTAAATATATATTCAATTTCTTCTCTTGTTATATCTTTATCTACTTTCTATAGAAATTTCCCCAATTCATTGACATCTAAAGCCTTATCTTTTGACATGTCTAAATCTGCAAACAATTTATGAATGTCAATTTTCTCTTTGCATATCATCTGTCTGATATCATTAATTAAATATTGAGCCTTGTCTTCCAACTTATTATTTCCCTTGATAAAATCCTAAAAAGAGGAAAGGTCATTAATTACAGAAAAATATTGACTAATGGCTGGATGTTTGTATATTTCTTCCCAAGATAATCTTTTATTTTCGTCAGCCTGGAGACAACCAATGATCAAATCTTGGGTTTCTTATGAGACTTAATTTTTATCGGTTGGAAATTTCAATGGTTAGGTCCTAATATTTTTGAGCAATTCTGCTGGAGATCTGGCTGTCCATGGAGCTATGAGAAAAATTAAAATTTAGTATTACTTTTGCCAAATAATGCCTCGTAGAAAATAAAACCTATACTCCATACATCAGTTTTTGAATTGTATCTCTTGTGATCCAAGATCTGAGGACTCATGTATAATGGAGTACCAACCATTGAAGCCATCATTGTTTTTTTAAAATTATCAACACATTTTGCAAATCCAAAATCTGCTAGTTTGTAAGTCTTCGATAATTATTGAGCATACCTGTTTGTCTATCAAAATATTCGCTGGTTTGAGATCTCTATGAATTATACCATTTTTTATAAGTTGAGTAAATCCATTAAGTACATCAACTAGGAATTTGATCGCTTCTTTTTCTGGGAGTAACTTTCTTTTTTTGAGAAGTCTAAAATTACGATAGTATAATTTACTCATCGAAATCTCCTCCATCACAGTATTCTTAAACAATATAATAATTATTGTTGGTTTCCATGACATCTAACAACTAGACGATATTGGGACTTTTTAATTTCTGCATAATTTTAATTTCTTAAATCAATCCCTCCCTGAGATAATCATCTCTAAATTGATAAATCATAAATTACGCATTGATTACAGATTTGCTTAACATTTTGATAGCTACTTTTTCTCCAGTTTTTTCATTTGTTCCTTTAAAAACTTCAGCATAAGATCCCTATCCAATTCTATCTTTCACATTAAAAATATATTTGTCTATTCTTTTATCTGTCATCAAAATTAAATAATTTTTTTGATTAAAAATAAATATAATTACAGCCTGTTAATTGTAATGCAATAATGTACAAAAATATATCACCTAGAACCTCTAACCTTCTTGGCTGTGTGACTTACAAATGGTATAGCGGGAGATTTATGGAAACAAGCAGCTCCTCCAAAGTGTTTTAATTTTTCTCTAACTCTTGGACATCTTTATAAAATAGTTCCTGTTCTTGAAAATTATCACAAGTCCCTATTGTTGGAATATTCATATACAATACCATTTTCCCAAAGAAGTAATATATTTTTATTTAATTTATGGTACTAGAATATTATCTCAATCTAAACATTTATTACCATTAATTTGATATACTCCAAATTATTAATAGAGTTCTCAGTATCTAATATAAGAATTTATAATTGAAAACTCATTATTTTAGGTTGTACTTAATTTCTAGTCATAAAAGTCAAGAAGCTATACAGTGTATAATTTCTTGTGTTTTAGCATCAATTTGAATAAGGTTAAATTAGTAAGGATAGGAATCTTAGATATAAGTTAAGAACATTGAAATAGTTAGATCTCAATTGATCAATTGATTCTGCCAATAAATTTGAAAATGTTTTGATGAAATAATTATTTATTTTATAAAATTAATTCGTTTTAAATGATTTTAGTACTATTGGTTAATCTAATTTTGGCAACAGGTAAACTAAAAAAACATCATTTAAATCATTAAGTGATGTTTAAGAGAGAATCAAATGTTGTTATATTGGATGCTGACAATTTTGATGCTGCTTTAATGAGATTTGAAGTTTTATTAGTAGATTTCTATGCACCTTGGTGTCCACATTGGTAATGAAACTTTTATAAGTAGTTAAAATTTAATGCCAGAATTTGAAAAAGCAGCTACTTAATTCAAAGAATAATAAAGCATAATCACATTAGGCAAGGTGGATTGCACTCACGAATCAGTTCTTTGTGATGAATTCAAGGTTAGGGGTTATCCAACCCTTAGAATTTTCTATCATGATAGAATATATCATTATCATGGAGACAGAAATGCAGAGGGAATTATCGATTTTATGGAAATGCATTTAGAATAAGAAATTGAAAAAGAATAAGAACATGAACGAAAAAATTCACAAAAGCACAAATAAGATTAGAACTACCCTTGAACCATTATTATTATAGCAAAAACAAAGTTAAAACATAATCTAACAAAATCATGGTGTATGTTCTTCAAAGTTTTGTAATTCTTATTCAATCTATGCTTGATCTTCATCACCCACTGCATTTCCAATTAAATCTGTGTCATCTTGTAGCATTTAATCCTCCTACACATTTCCTTTATTTGTGGATGAGATTATCTAAGTTATATACAAATGTGATTATACATTCCAATCTTTCGAAACTTAAAAACTAACTACACTTCTTCCCACTTAGATGGCCATATTATTGTTACTGTCAACAGACATCTAAGCAGGATTCTTCAATAAGACTAAAGTTCCAAATTTCGATTATTAATCTTCAATCACAAATCCAGCTAGAATTACTAACAGAGCATTTACAATTAATAAATTTGATCAAAGCATGACATCTAGATACTGAAATATCTGTAATCCTTACATCCGAATCATGACCTCTGCCCAATTTGATTTGTTATTTTTATGCAAAACTGATTATGTGAGTTCCCTTACTCTTATTGCGTTCTCGACTTAAGATTTCCAAAGTTATGTATGGTGCATCTGGCTTAGGTATAATAATCGTCTCAAAAATTCGGTCCTGATATCTAATTCTACCTAGAAATCTAATATTTCAGATAATTACTCGGAATAATTGCCTTGCAAACTTCGCAATCAAATTATCTCCATTGGAATGAAACTGAAAACTTGGTTGTTTTAGGTGATAACTTACTAACTAACCAAGTTTATAGACATTATATATGTATGTATTTGACAGAACCTTAACATTTGCAGCAATCAATCAAGGGATTGTCTTTATTTGTTTGAGAATCGTTATAGCATATTCGACAGCAAGGCTCTTCTGATTAACTTCTTTTATCGTCTTCCTATGTATTGATATTCATTGTATTTAAGCATTTCTCAGATACATATTTTTACAATTCTGGTTCCATGTTACCTTTGTTTGTATTGTTATTATCAACTGAACATTTGATTTCTCTAATTCTAAATCTCACTCTCCCCAATTTTACGTAATCTCCTTCCCTTAAATCATATCCCTTTATTGCTCATTATTATTTCATACTTATCCATCAGATAATTGACTTTTGGTTGATTTTACAACTATCCATGGGCAGTTGTCATTCAATCCTTCTTAATCTTCTGCCTTTGAGACCCTTAAACTAGATTCAACCTGATATTTAGAAAATTAACGAGTCAATTTAAGTAATTCTATGACATCTGGCTAATTTTAGAATTACTATAACAATAAATGTAATTGCTACTTATAATTCCTCTTTCGTTTAGATTATTTTAATATTTTCTTTTTAACGAATTAATCTCACTAATTTAGTTGCGTATATTACTTAATTGGGTGTTTGCTTTTATCTGTCCTTTTATAACATTCTTGTTTTCATAATCAAATAGACCATGAGAATCACGATTCCAAGTGAAATGTTTTATTGTTCTTTTTTTATCTATAAACATTCTTACAATGAAACAGGTGAAACTTTGTTTGCATTACGGATATCATCTTAACTAGAAACACAATTCCCCATTTATTAATTTTATATATTTATATACTTGCAATAAATTTATATATTTACTCTTCCTCATACATTTATGATTATATTACTGAAATCGAATTAAATTTATGTAAATAATGACATTCACCCTAACAAACCCTCCTCCCTTATTTTGGTTAATGAGAAATATATATTGATTGCTGATTAAGTTCTATCTTTTGTTTCCCGAACAAACTTCAATATGAAAAACACACCCAAAATACAGCACCCAGTAAAAACGCCAAAAACAATAGCCAGTCTCTCCTTGTTGTGTTCAATATCCAAAATAACGAACGCAAATGCTATGAATGTGCAGCTTATCCAGTTACAAAGCACTGCTAAAGACATCCCTTTTTCAGACAAGATATCAGCATCGTAAATCTAAAATTATAAATTTTAAGAATACCCATGCCACAGGTCCTAGAGATAATTGGAAGGCCCCAAGATATCCAAATATTGCAAACACAATCAAGATTTCAATTGTGGTGTTTGGGTCTTCGGAAAATGAGAAACCAAAGGCAATCGATAGGAAAAAGGTACAAACTATAGTTCCATATAACAAAAGAGTCCTCCTTCCAAACTTCTATAATAAGCTAATAGCCAAAAAACTAAATATGATATTGATTAACCCAACTGCCACATTAGCCCAATTAATTTTTGTCTCATTATTATTGAGAATCTAATATATTCCTGCATTAAATAATTACGGATGAAAATATGGTTTTAGAAAAAAACATAATCGCATTTATTCCTGAAAATTGCTACAAAACTTAGAGTCCACAGCCAATTAATAAACGCTTTCTTTAACTATAATTCATAATCAGATCCCTATAGGTTTCTTTCTAAAGTTTCTTCTATTCAATAACTGACTTGATCTTCTCTAAGACAAAATCAACTTTTTCTCTTAAATAATATCTCTCCACAATTTATTTTGCCTACTTAACAACTCAAATACCTCTATGAGTTGATTTTTTTGGACATAGTAAGATGGTGGCTCATTTTTAAATACAAAAATCAATAATAAAGTCCTAAGTAAACAAAATATAAGCGGCAATTCCAAAAACAATCTAAAAACATTATCATTTTATGATTCTTCTTCAATGTCACTGGTTTTGTAAAAACTAAAATTCAAAATGAAGAATACAAAGCTGAAATAAGTCCTATCAACACTCCTATGTTAATTGTAAGTTAATTCATTGCTCCTAGTGATCCAGATAATCTATTAGGTGAAAACTCTTTAATATATAATGGAATTAGTGAAGAATTTAGTCCTACGCAAAAACCAATAAAAATTCGAGCAAGGTAAAACCAATAAATATTGGGTATTATTTCAAGTACTACGCCAATTATTCCAATGAAATCAGTAATCATAAAAGATTTTCTTATACTAAATTATTGTAGCAAGTTCCCTGAAAGAATTGCTCCTGCTCCTGCGGATAAAGTGAAAATAGCTAGTTACTATATTTAAATTGCGATACCTCCAACCAGAGCTTTGAGTAGGTTTTGAGTAGAGACATCATATTCATAAATTAGATAATAAATGGGGTAAAAATTTGAGGCTGAATTTAGATAGGAAATAGAATATCCAAAAAATAGAGAACCCAGAACTGCATTGACGACTAGCAACACAAATGGCAAGGCTGATTTGTATGGAATATCCATAATTAAAAAAATAATAATATTAAAAATCAAGATGGTAATATTTTTTACTGTTATTCCTCCATCAATTGCATCATTTAAGTATAGGTAGTTGTTTTGGTATATGGTTTATCATTAAAAAACTACTTCAGTCTCTCGTTCTGAATGAAAGTCTAATCTTTAAATAAGATTATGAAATCTAATTTCTCGTCGTTAATGCTGCTAACAAATGAACCTCCTCTTGCTACTACTCTAGCTTTAAAAGTTTCCAATTCTATATCAGATATTTAGTGACTTAAACAATAAGGGTAGAAATTCTTATGCTAAAATATCCACAATTTTTGTAACTAGTATAACAACTCATCCTCTAAAGATAGTAAATCATCTTGATTAATAGGTTCATTAATTTTCATATTATCGCATATATCTTTGAGAGCAAATTCATCAATCAATTCGAAATAGGAATCACCAAATTTATCGTAGAATTTATTCACTTCATTCATGATAGCCAAAGGGGCAAATAAAATAAATCTTGGTGCAATATTAACTAATTGCGACCTTCTAATGCATTCAATAACCCATTGAGGTCTAATTATGGTAGTTGGAAACTTCTCAATGATCGAATTCACTCTAAAGTCGATAATTGAAGCCACTACATGAGTGACACTTTCTACGATATAATTTTATATGCAAGTTCCTCCTTAGGCTAGAATTATAGATTCAAAATATCATTTATTATAATCTTCTTCTAAGTTAACAATATAAAATTCGCATCCTACAAACAGGTTGGATTCTTTAGTGATGTTTCTTGGATCTAACCCTTAATATTCAGTCATTATGGTAATCTATTTAGAATGGGCTCCACCTTTTCTTAAGGGTTATTTTCTTTCTTTAGCCTACCTCATAGGTCTGTCTTCATTTTCAACCTCATCATCTGTTTATTTATCGTTTCCTTCTTTATCATTCTTCTTTTTGAGATTCTTTGTGTATTATGAGTCATTGATCATACTTGATAAATCTTGTGTGGTCATCATTTCATACCAATCTTTGTCCATTCTAGTCTTGTAACATCTTGGAAATCTAAGAGTGTAATCGGTTGGGAAAGTATTCGACTTTGTGATTTCTGCAGCTTTAACTTCAAATATAATTGAATGAGCTGGATTATTAATATATACATCTGGTCTATCATTAACTCCAGGATTCCAATTCTAAGGTATATAATTAGGTTTCTGCTTCTTGATCCAATGATTTCTTAATTTATTTCTGATTGTTGATAATTCATTATCAGTGAAACCAGTTCCAACTTTTACAAATGGTAATATTACACTATTAGTTGGTTAATTTTTATCTATTTTTTAAGCTAATCCCATTAAAAAATGTGTAATTCTATCAAATTCATCAAAAGTCTCTACTCTATGTGATTATGTTCCGAAATAACCGCCAATAACCAATAAATCACAATTATCCGTCATATTTTCAACGTAATCTCCCTTCATCTTAACCCATTTAGTGGATCTTTCATTAGGTAAATACTAAGAGTCCATCTATTTAATTATGATGCCTTCTTAATTTCTTTCAATAGCCATATCAAACTGTTAAATAAGTTCTTCGAATGATTTAATAGTTGCAGCTTAAACTACTTCTAATTAGTTTGGAATAGGTACTATAATCCTCTATAATAGACTTCTACGAGTAGATAATGGAGCACTCATAGTGTTGACTTCTTATCCTTAGTATGTTTTGAGATAAAGAATATCAAAAATCTTATAGCAAAGACCAAAGGCATCATCATTTACATCTTTACTTAGAGCAACAGTTTTATTCAAACCAAATCTAACATTATCTCCGGTTTCTTTATTCACAACTATGATTTCTCCATCTAAAATTGCACATTATGCTTAAACACTCTATCTAACAATATCTCCTAATTTATCCTTGTATAAATAGGTGTAATCGTTGGAATTTCTTGTAAAAAATCTGATGACTTCAGGAGTGAAATGACATTATATTCTTTCTCCATCAAATTTAGTTTCAACCAATAATTCTTTTCCTTCAATTAATTTTCTTATTTCTTCTGGGGATTTCTTAGCAGCTAACATTGGTTTGATTGCATGGAATATTCTTAATACATTCTTAAGAGTATGATTTATATCAACAAATTCTTTGCATACTTCCTTAAGTGATGATGTTGCATTATAATATTCAGGAGCATCTTTATGAAACAATTATAATAGCTTCTCATATTTCAAACCAATTTTTAAGTCTTTCAATATAATTCTTATTATCCAGAGAATCTCATCAGCCGTACACACTTTTATTAAATCAACTATCACTAATTCTTATTCTTTTGTATCTTAAGCCTTAACTAAATTGTCTAATAATTGGTCCACTTCTGAAATTGTTATAATGCTGTCCTTTCTGCAATAATCCTTAATTACATTATGCACAACCATGGGAAAATCACCGACTGGAGCCCCATAGGGTTACATACTTGCTTATTTATAATTGGCCATCCTGTGATAATCATCGTCTGACAATCCTAAAGCTAATCTAAATAGTTTAGCCAGGTTTTTTTCTTATAATTTATATACTCCTCTATCCCTGTCTTAGAATGGAATGATTAATCTCATTATTATGTATGTGTGATCAGGTATTCTAGGAGGTTTGAAAAAGAATTAAGTCAAAACATCTAAAAGCTCACTCTTCTTTTTTCCTCTCACTTTACTCATTCTATCGAAGAAGCATCTCAACACATCAAATTTCACTCTAATTGGACCTACTGTTGAACTTACATTCACTTTTTATTAATCCTATTATTCTTTGTTTAATTTGTTGGTTTCTTCTACTTTCTCCTTTATTTCCCTTGCGAATTCATGAACTTCCTTCTATTCTCTTATTTCTTCATCCTCATCCTAAATCTCTTCATCTAAATAATTGTCCTACAACATAATCAGAAATTGATAAGAATAATAATATTTTTATATTGAAATTGGGTAATTAGAGTGTTTAATAATGTAGTCAAAAGTAGATTCTTATAAAATTTAATAAATTTTATTTTCATTTTATTTTTCTATCATGAATTTTTGTGAATTCATATAAATCACTGTAGAGGGTGAAGATAAATTAGAGGAAATTCGAATTGCATTAGCAAGATTAGAAATGTTTGAACTTAACACAGGTATCTATTCTCATCGTTATAGTGAGTGTACAATAGACTAGATTAGCCAAGATAGAATGCAATGAAAGAAGAATAAATTCTAGAATTTCTGGATGATAACAATCTTCAAGTTACCTAGGAAGAATCAAATTACATATTTAGAGTGTTGGATGTTGATAGGGACAACTTGATAACATTGGCAGAGTATCTTTATATACAATATTTCAAAGTTTCCAATCAGTAATCTTACCTAAAACTAATGACTAAGTAAAAGACTAAGCTCTTAATCACAAATCCTATGAAATGCCTCAAAGCATGCTACTACCAAAAGAAGTTGAAGCTACATTAACAGCATTCTTCGAACAATTAAAAACAAATTATAAGTAAAAAGTGTGCTCAATTTAGTCAATACGCTAATATTTAAGAACCAATCAACCTTAACGAATTAGCAATATTTGAGAGTGAAAATCTGATAACATTGGATTCCCTTAAAAATTGGTTATAAAGTATAGGATAGGAGATTGAGGATCAAATTCTAGAAAAGTTCCTTATCATTATAGATGGTGATCCAAACAACTTACAAAATCTAATTGAATAGATCTTTTATTAAATTGAATAGCAAGAAGATTAGCAAAACGAAGCTCCACAATAAAATTAAGAATAAGAATAACCTAAATAAAATTAAATTGAAGTTCAAGATATTAATTACTCTCAACCAGATTTATAGAAGAGTGATGCGCTTTAAGAATCATTTAATCCTAATTAAACATAAAAATAGCACCAAAATTAAGAATAAAGTGAATAAAAGAAAGATGAACAATAAGATCAAATTGCCCAATCAAAATTTTTGCAAGAAAGTTAACCGTATTATTCTGAAAGTCCTTTATTAAATTATTATCATTTGCAAATTAGGGATGAAGAAGATAAAATTAAAAAGCTATGTGATGAATTAAATATTACGAATACTTACACCTAAAAACGAGAAGAATCCGCATTGATCAAATATTACGAAAAGGAAATAGCTAGAGAATAGGAAATCTATAATAGACTACTTTAAGAATCAAGACAAACTGGAGCCCCTTCAAAAATTTCAAAATCTACTTTCACCCCAGATCCGTTATATCTGGATGACTATCAAAGAGAAATCAATCGAATAGATAATGAAATAAGAAAAGAAACAACCAATATCAGTTTCCTCTCATCCAAGTTTGATAATAGCATTGGATTATCAACTAGTTATTTAAAGTAATAATAGAATTTACATTTAAGGTATGAAAGTCCCCGTAAACATTAAGAATCTTATCTTTATGACAATTTTTCAGGATAAAAGGTATAACTTATATATATATTATTTAGAAACAATTTGGATATTAATGATTTATCATATAATTATTATCAATAATTTATAATATAATTCTCAAATTTAAATCAATATAATGATTAATTATATTTTTGATAATCATATTTATTTTATTATTGAGCCCTACCATTATTATTGTTAGAATTATTATTTTTTTTTTTATTTACATTGTTTTGTAAGTTGTTCATTTGTTGATTTTGATATTGCTATTATTAATTATTATTAACTTAATATTAATAGGCATTCATTTATTGATTTTGAAAGCTATTGATATTAAATGCATTCATTTATTGCAATTGCTATAGATTATTTAATTGAATATTATTAATATTATTTATATTAGTTTTTAGTGTTAGTGGATCCATAGCACCTTTCGGATCTAATAGTTTTTTTTCAATCTAATCTAAATTAATTAAATATTATTCTAAAGTAATCCACTTTCCAGGGACTTCCCAAGAGATATTCAACTTGGCTTTGAAGTATTTGTGCTAAAACCATTGATCCATATTTTCAGTTGTAAATCCTCCTTATATCTAAAATGATAATTATTTTTACTTTTCCAAAATCGTCAAAATAATACCACAAAGATTCTTTTGCAGATCTTTAATGTAATTAGGCTTATAGTGAAAACGGAGTAGTTTTAATTTTGTCCCTTGAAATTTTGACAGTAGGTTTTAAAGGTACTTGTTATTTTCTTTGAATATGAATTCCCATTTCTTCCAATTATTCAAAAAAGTCATCAGTTTCATTGTTATTGAAATTACTGAAATAGTTCTCTGACTTTTGTTGAGGTTGTTCAACTTTGATGATATCTTTTTATTTATTATTGGTAGAAGCTAATACTTATTTTTCAACTTCTTCTACTGATAGCACCTATGAATTAAATGAGGGATTGGCACTCTTGGGTTGTTCCAATTCAGAGTAGCTAAATAATTCTTATAATTTTGCTTTGGTTTCATTGGCGACTTACAATTGCTTTTCCTCTTGCTCTCTCAATTATCTATACTTTTCTTTGGCTTATTAAAGTTCTGATATTTCTTCTTAAATGTCTTCATTTTGCTTTTTGGATTTTTGCTCTTGCTTTTTCTCATATGTTCCATGCTATTTTTAATATTCTATTCTCCTTTTTTCCATTTCATTTTCGATATCTAAGATCTAGAAATTGTCATTAGATTGCATCCATTGTGGTTCATCTTCATCACTTTGGATGAATAATGCTTAAGACGAAATTAAAGGTTTCTAAGAAATTTTAGAAAACAAATGGGGAATGTTTTCTATGAATTCTTCAAATTCTTTAGGAGGTTAAAGATTTTCTTGAAATGCAGAAATTAATGTCTAAGAATCATAAATTTTATTTAATGGTTGATTAATTTGAGCTCTTGCTTGATAAAATTACTTGAATAGGTACCTATAACAGATTAAGATGAGGGATTCTGCCAATTCTATTGTTTTTCTTATGAATTGTTTCTTCTATTGTATTTATTTTATTTTTTTTGATTCTAACCATTTTTATCATCAAAGTTGTTTTGATTGTTATTCATCTAATGATAAGATCATTCATAAATACTCTTCGATAAGATTGACCTTGCCCTTTTTGGTTTTGTGAATCTTTGCATATATAAGAGAGTTGCTATTGCTATTATTTTGACATTAGTAAATAATTAGAAATTAATATTGTAAAAAGAAGCTTATTATTAATAAATCATTTGGGATGGAACGGGAACATTTTGGATAGATGTTGACTGTGAATTTAATGCAATCTGATTTGTAGATTATTTTTCGGTCTGCATCCCAATTTGAGGAGTACCTTCAATTTAAAGATCTTTTCATTTTGATTTGATTCTTCTATTTTATCCTAAGAAGTTGGTTGAGTTCGTTTAGTTAGATTTCTTCCTGAGGCAAAATTACTGATAAATGGTTTTAATGCTCTGATGTGATTGTTGACCGATTAATTAACATAATTGTCATCCTCCAAGATTTCGGTCTTGATAATCCTTCTTGGATTATTGATTATTTATTTTTAGTAGTTAATCAACGATTATATTTTATCACAATACGAGATGTCATAACTGATAGATCTATTTTAAAATCTATTATTGTTGTTCACAACCTCATTGTTAACATTCGATTGAGATCTAATTTTCAGATTTTCGTTATTGGCATTTTAAAATGATCTAATTTCTCTGTGTTTTAAGGACTGAGTAATGTTTGAATACAATTGATTAATTTATTGTTCTCGATTGATGTAAAGCCTATTCTTACTTAATTGTTATTGATATTGAAAGAGATTATCTACAGATACTTTGATGTAATTATCTTATAAAATCTAAGTAATCTAATCTAGCTTTAGTGAATACAATGATCCCTCATATGACTGACAAGTCACTGAGTATTTGTAACATCCTTTTGGTTCCTCATCTTGATGTTCTATTCCAAAAGTTTCACCTTTTTCCAATAAACAAATCTCAAATTGTTTCCATCTCTTTTGATTATAAAACACAGAATTCTAGTACAAGATCCTTTTACTCATCTCTATGTATTAATTTATTGGTTTACTTTAAACTCTCCAGATTTCACAATATATACATTGGCCATCAACTCATTTTCAATGTAAACACTTTAATTTTTGATAAAGGATTAGATATAGACACAATCGATTAAGGCTTTAATAATGTAATTGTTTAGTCTGCTAAAGGCAGGATGATTACGAAAAGAATTGTATTTTTCTTAATACTCTTATTTTTGCTTATTAAATTGCATTTATTAATTGTTAATTATTATATAATAATATATATTTTGTTTATTTCAGAGTGAAATTTGGTAAATTGTTACTTGGGTATTCATAAATCTTTTATATTTTGCGCAAAAAATAATAATTTCTCAATAATAAAGGATTATGGAGACCGAAACAAGTCCAAAGATTTTGAGCTTTAGAATAAATAGCAACGTCAATACTTTGAATTCAGATCTAATACGTACAAACTAATCGCATCTTGATTAATCAATCTCTAAAATAAATGAGTATTTATATTATATTAATTCTAATAGATAAAATAAGAAGATACATTAATTGGGGGAAGGTGTATTCTCAGAGAACACTGATAGAAACAATCAAGACTCAACCAACAATACAAGTTGTATAAGTAACTTGTCACCACTCAAACCTAAACAAGGTTAGAAGGAATTCGAAAACTAATTCACATTTGTCAGTCAAGAAGACTCATACAATCAATCAACTATCTAGAAGTAATCAAAGTAAGGCAAGAATTCTCGCTTATCTATTTCTAACAAAATAAACACCAGAAAACAGAGTTCATCTTCAATCAAAGAATAAATACAAGAGGAAAAATATTGTGGGATTTGTGGACAAGCTGATTAATTTTCTAACTTCATCAGACCTTGTCTATGTAGATCCAAACAACACAACCATCAATAATGTGAATAGAAGGATTTCTGTGAAAAGTACATAGACAATTAATCCAATAAAATAACAAAACCATTATAATGTGAAAATTGTCATTTCAACTTTGTTATAAAGTCTTACAAAGATATTAATTTCACTAAGGCATTTAAGGATCCACTTAAACATAGAAAGGTTCTGATGTATTTATCGATAAATTTGTCAATACTTATTCTGGTTACAACTTTGATCACTCTCTCCATCTTAAATAGAATGCAGTTTAGATATCATGTGGAATATATTGCAGGTGTGATTATAGCCTGTCTGATACTAATTGGAATCAAGATTGTAGTTACTTGCAATTTGATTGAATACATTTCCAATGTAATAAAATAATCTAATTATTAGTTTACATGGTACATTTTAGATAGAGAACAAGCAAAGGTCAATGATAATGGAGTTAGGATGAATCAATAAACATTAAATGTTGCTTTAGAACACCATTAACGAAAAAAATAACAACTTCTATAAATTATGGATCAAATGATATCAAAGAAAGTACATTCTGAACTTCCTATCTAAAACCCAGAACATATCAAATGATTTACTTTTGATTTTATATTCAAAATCTATTTAATATAGTTAATAAAGTAATCATTTAAAATACAATCGTCATCTGTTACTTTTATTTTATTTATCAAGTATCAGATCTTTGTAATTTTTCATTATTGCCAGTATATCTGCTTCTAAGTATGTGTATGATTCTTTAATTGAAAGTATCTAGTCATTGTGGATGTTTTGAAGTCTATTCATCGCTGCAATAGTTGATTCTAACTAAATGAAAGGTATTTTTTAATCATCCGACAATCGATTGATTTCCTATTAATGATTGCTATGATAGTTAGGATTCATACTTTATCTAAGCTGTAAGTTATGATAATTTAGTTAAGAATTCCTTGTGATAATCGCTATAATTATTTAAACTTTCTGTGTACTTATCCATCGATTTAGTATTTTGAAGCAATCTCATTTCAGCATCTTTTAAAGCAGCTTACACTTGTTATTCTAATTTTTTAAATGAGATTTCTTCTTTCTATAATTATTTTTAGAATTAATCTTAAAATTACGAGAGTTTCTTTTCGAAAAGGTTCAACTTGGAGAAAGTAGATTCTTCGGTGATTTTGTTCTTTCTTGATTTTAGATTTGAAGTGTTATTATTAGATTAATCTAGTTACTCATCACAATTATTGGTGCAAGTTGATCTTGATCGACTCGCCTTTTGAAATTTGACTCCAGTGTCTCTTACAGATTGATCATCTATCATTTCTGAAATTTGGCTGTCTTGCCGTTTGTATTCTTGCCATGTGTAGTCATCTTTAAGGAATGGATTGCGATTTTATTGATGTTTGAGTTGATCAATTTGGAATGTGAATTTAGTGAGGTGGTCTTTGTTATCAATTCTAGTTTCAAGTTCTAAAAGCTTTTCTTCAATGTTTTTGAGAATTGAACGAAACAATTGATTGCTAACAAATTATTCATTACCGGTAATATTGGCATCATAATATAAGGAGATACCTAATTAATTATATTATGAATGATGGGTATCTTCTCGATCATATCTACTGGAATTTGTCGATGATTTAATTCTGTATCGATCATCCTCATTCTTTAAAACTAAGTCTAACAATGTTAATTATTTATTTTAGAATTTGTGTGATTGCATGATAAATAAATTAATATTATAACAATTCAGATATATTAATAAAAATTCATGATAGTTTTGTTTGTGATAACAAAATTGGGTTTTCTTTTCTGACAAATAATATGATCAATTTAACTATTTAATTAACTAATTTGAATCTAATTTTGATTCATAGCATCATTAGGTAAAACCACTTCAATGGAGCCATCTAAATCAATAAAATTAAATACTTTGAGTGACAACATAAACTTTGAGATTGTTATCTAATGATAAATACAACGGGAAATCGTTTAGATTGACTAGTAAGATGATCTGCTTCTTATTGTAATTTCTTCCGTAAAGATATTGTAGAGTGTTGAGAATAGCAAAATAAACATTATCAAATCCTTGTGCAGGTATAATTTAAGTCTAAGCATCAACTGAAGAGTAAAGTGCCTAAGTGTCTTTTTGTGACTATTCAGTGTCTAAATTGCCATGTGGATTCGTTAAGAAATTCACCTAATCAAAGAGAGTAAACGCAAATGGATATTATCTGGTTGAATTGTAATCTATCTACAATGTTGAAACTACACCAGTATCCTGTTCTATTGCAAAAATTACTCTCTTTTCACATTGTTCTACCAATTTACAGACATTTTGTAATTCTAATGCTTTGATGTATCTGATGATATATTCTTGATTCTTGTACAAATGCTCCAAAAAAAAGAGTTGACCACTCTCATCCAAAACGAATTTTCCTGGAATTGAGTCAAAGATTCCAAAAACGCAGGAAATTATTTTATCAGGTCCTCCTTTTCCTATATGATAGTACTAATCATATATATCCAATCTGTCAACATGGATAGTCTTTATTTGACCGAATTCCTATATAAATACTATCTATTTGATTTAAGCATCATAGAAAAACTCAACTATTTCCTTTTCCCATTGATACTCAACGAGCAATTCAGCCGTGTCCATTCTCCATAATTTAACTATACCTTGATTAAAGGTTGTGACTAAAATGTTATCTTCAACCAATTTGCATAGCTTAATCTCAATTTCACTTTAATCACAATTTGAAGCATTCAGAAGAAAGTATTATTTTGTTGTAAAAGATATCAGATAAATATTGCCATTAGCCAATCCGAAGATTCCTTGAGTGTGAAAGGGGTCCAACACATACGATGAAACCATGGCCGGTAATTGGATTCTCTAAAAGGCAAACCCAGAATCTAAGAATTATTACAAACTTTAAACAGATTTAATATCCATTATAAAAAAAGAATGCTCTGTACTACCTAATATAATCTTACCTGCTGCTTAATTCACTTTAAGATAAGTGATTTCAGCATTGGTAATTTGTTTTCTATAGATAGATTTAAATTCTCCATATTTCATAATTACAATTTCCCCTGACTTTAATCCCAAGATAAGCAATTAAGTAATTTAATTTTTATTTGATTGTTACTATTACTATTATTATTTCATTGATTCTTGAGTTGGTTCTTATTATAATTAAGGAAATGACATTTAATTCTTAGAACCTTCTTCCAAAAGAATCTCTTCAGTTTTTACAGTCTATGATTATTAACTATTATCAAAAGATACTCTCTCAGATAGATTTAATGATTACGATGTTTATTTGTTTCTATGACCCTCGTAAACTATATAATCAAAAGCAGTTATCTCTTCAAGTTCATTAGTATTGACATTCTTAGGAATGAAAACATCGAAGTATTCCAATTTATGATCCTTTGTGAAAGCCCATAAGTATATTTGATCTCTACCAACTGTTGCAAATTCGATTATTCTTTCTTTAGAAAATGAATACTTTGATAGTTTGATATCATTAATTCTATCCAAAGTATATGAAGAAGTGATTAATTTTTTGGTTGAGAAATCCCAAATTACAACAGTGCACTCTTTTCCATTACCTACAGAAATGAGGTACTTTTCATCTTCAGTCAGCAGAATTTGATGAACTCCTTGAGTGTGGAAATTCATTTAAGCAATTTATTTGAATCCCAATTGACTAGCGTTATTTTAGATTTCATATACATATATTGGAGCAGCATCCTATACTTTTTGTGCAAGACCAACAATTAAGTGTTTCTCAGTTTTATCAAGATAGATGACACTCACTGTAGCATTAAAACTCAAAATTTATTGTTATCTATCTTATTATAATTTTTCAAAGATTATGTAATTTTGGGATGTATAAGCATACCAACCATAGGATTAACACCATATGATATTATCATGTGTTTTTGTATTATAGCCAACCATGTACTTGCAAGATAAAGTAGGTTGTTATGATTGCCCTTTATTTTGTGGTAAAATGTATTGTCTGAAAGGCAATTAGGTGGATTAATGTTATCTATTTTATTGTTTTTTAATTTGACTTCTTGATCTTCTTTTATTTAAAATTTATCTTTCAAATTCAAAAGTGATAGGCTTAAATTCTTATTACAATCTGGATGGTTTGAAGTGATCAGGCTTAAATGGTGTGTTGACATTTTTGTTGGCCAATCCTTATTCTACCTCTTATTCCTCCTTCTATGGTATTTGTCTAACTAAACTAAACATTTCCACTAATTAACTTTATTAAAATGTATGCAAATGAGCATCTTTATTTGGTTAAACATTCTCATTGTTTTCTTAGAGATCATAATAATCATCTAACTTTTCATTTTATTCATCTTGTTACTCTTATTAATCAAATTAATCCGGTTGCATATCAATTTTAGTACATTATTATACTAATTACTCCTATTCCATTCTAATCAATCTTTCATTCTTACCTGTATATCCAAGGAACTTCCAAACAAATATTCCTTCTTTTCCTCCTGCTGTTATGATGGTACTGCCATTATCAGCACAATCGATAGAATTTATTTATGAGGAATGACCAATGAAGACCTAACAAGATCCTGGTCCCTTAATTTAAAATTCATAATCCCAAACCTTCAAATACTATTCAGCACCTACAGAGAATAGATATTTCATATTTGGAGAGACAACAAAGTCATTTAATGATTACTTATGCATGAATGTCTATTCTCTCAAATAGTACGCTGTGATAGTGTCATTAACTCTTTCAATTCCATATATAATAATTCTACCATCTGTAGTTCCACACAGTAATTCTACATTATTCTCTGCCCACTTCAATATTTTCAAATTGAACCTTGTCTAAATCTTCAAAATTTGTTATAATGATAAAGTATCCCACAATTCAATATTGGTAGAATTCTCAATTATTGATAAAATAGCAGAATCCTTTGAAAATTGTCCACATACATTTTGAGATTATATTGAATGTTGAATGGTCTTGATAGGCTGATAATCTCTACTCACATCATAGATTTTGTAGATTGATTTAGCATCTCCAATCACTAATTACTAGCCATTAGGACTATATTGAATGCTTTTGATCTCTAAATCATGATACTTTCCTTCAAAAAGTATTGATGTCTGCTCAATATCAAATATTCTATGTGTTCCAGACTTGAATCCAGCTGCAAAATACATTCCAATTGGAGATGATGACAAACAAACACACTTATCATCTTATGGGAATGTGAATTCATATACTTAATCAGATTTCTCAATGTCCCACAACCTAATTGTGCAATCCTCTGATAAAGTAATTAATAACTTTGAGTATGGATGCACCTAAATCTAATTGATCACATTTGTGTGTGATCTTATAACAGTCTTATAATGATGACTGCTGATATCTAAAATACCCAATCCTCCTGTTGAAGTTCCACATGCCACTTGTAGACCATCAATTGAAATGTCCAATGAAGTAATTATGCCTTCATGTTTAGCTTCAATGTAAAACTCATTGAAATCTAAGGGCCAAACTCTAAGGTACTAATCTAAACTACCAGTAATACAGAATCCAGCAGATAAACATACTGCTGTGACTGCATCGTTATGTACTTTATACACTTACATTAATTTCTGAGATTGATAAGCAACTTAAAATAGATATCCATTCTTGGATCCAAAATAAATATTACTAACATTCTGATCTTCATAATTGAATTCAAAATCAAAGTTAGTAAATGTAGTATTTCTCGCATGATGATTTAACACAACACTTGCTCCAGGGAGATGTTCGTCTTTGATTCTCCAAAATCTAATATTCTCATGTCCACAAGACAGTATTTTATTATTATCAACAGGCGAAAATTTGATTGCCAATATATTACATGAACTCGTTTATTTCGCAAATAAAATAGGTTTTCTATTACTCTCTATTTTCTCTAAACCCCAAACTATTATAATTTCTCTATTATGCTCATCTTGCCCAACAGTTACTAACATTTTTCGATCTTAACTAAAAGATAAATAATTCAATTATGAATATGGAGTAGCAAATGCACTCAAACAATCGCAATTATTCTTCCATATTCTAATGATTGCATTCTTTTCACTCTGTCCACTCACTAACCATTCTCCATCTTTGCTGACATCCAAACATGAAATTGCTTTAGAATGCCCCATAAAAAACTTCTACTTGCCATCTTAGATATTGCTTTAAATCAACAACTATCCAGCTGCATATGTAATCTATTTTTGTGTATCAGTTTGTCTACCCCATTTAATATCAGGACACGAATTGACAGTAAATCCTATTATTCTCTCTAATTATTGAATTGGATATGGCTAAAGTGGATGATCTTGTGCATCTACAGACTTACTCTAAGCTATATTCTAATCTCCTGGTCTCCTTTTCACCAACTCTTCAATTTATTAAGTATTGTGTTGAATTTGACCTTACTTGAAAGACTTTTGAGTTTCCTATTTGTACTTCTCCTTATTTTCCTGTATTTTCTAGAGGTTATCCAGAATATCAGTAGTCACTTCTACTAAGGGTTATTTGAAGACGTGAGGTTGGACATCTAAAGCAGGCCAATAAGCAATTTGATATTCCTCTGTCCATTTTTATCCTTTGGCCAATTTAAAGAGCATCTATTTGGGCATAGTATCCCAATCATAGAGATTATCACTTGTGTATATGCCTCTGATGTTCATGGAACTGCAAATTTGAAATGACTTTAATGAGTGAATTCCTTTAAAGGACTTATACAAACTGCTCGGTAGCAATCCAAAACTACCCAAGAAGTATTCAACATCCAAAATTAGGATGGTCCATTTGTTGGGGGCATTTTTAGGGTATGGAATCAATAGTTGTGATTGTTGAACCTATCGGTTAGATTGATGAAAAGTACTTTGTGAACATCATACATGTTAGAGACTGTTAGTTTGATCAAAGGATCTCTGTCTTTAATTTGCAAATCAAAATGAATAGTAAAATATCTACCCTTGATTGGGATGAATTCAATGTAAATATATCGACCAGTTAATCCGAGTTGTTTGATTCCTTAACAAGGATCTGGAATCTATACCATATTGTTTGCTGATATTGCTCCTAACAATCTAATTATCTTTCTGCCAATTGAATTATCCTAATAATCTATTCAGAAAGTTACTTAAACCACTGAAACCTATCCCTTAGATTAAGTGTGTGCTATCTCAAATACACCGAACTGCTTGAAGACATCAACGAATGGGTGTTACCAATTCATTTATTCAAATTCAAATATTATTTATTTATTTTCAATTTTATTCACTCATTTTATATAAATATTTTATTACATACATTACATACTCTCTACAATTATCAATTTAATATTTGTAATAAAATCCAAATAAATCATTACATATTTCAAAGACAATCCGCATATTTAGTATTTCTATGGAAAAACCCACCATCGAAGAAATGTTCAAAATCATATTTGAAGTCAACAAAGATCAGCGTTTCATTTTCTGCTATGTCTGTCAAATAAGATTCCCTATTGTTGAACCAGAACAAGCAACCCTCTATATCCATCACTTCTCCAAAGACCATGTTTACAACCTTTCAACCATAGCCACCAGAGAAATCATGAAAACCAGGGATAACATAAAAACCAGAGAAATCATAAAAACAAAAGAAACTACCAAAAAGTATAATCCAGTCTCATAAGCAATCCCCTTATTCGATCTAGAAAAAGCACTCAACATCCAATAATAACAATCAAAGAATGGTAATCCTATTTATCCCTATCCTCAGCTCTTCATCAGTACCTCAAAGACTGCATTACCAAATTGCACAACCTCTATGATCAATTGGAACTGAATAATTTGGAAGCATACATTAGCACTCTTCGAAGATTGTACTTGCATTTGCTCAATCACAATACATCCATCCTGACTCCTGAACTTTGCTTCTCCTTTGTGGACATCTACAAAACGGACAAGGATCTCCAATTGATTAGGAAAATCGTCAGGGCATTCAATTTTCCTTTGACCAATGAACAGAACAAAATTCTAAACCCTCACAAATAAAGCAATCCAAATGTATCTCAGGATTTGTACATTGAATTTTACCAAACCTTTATTAATGATCTAACAGACCTCGGATTATCTAAGGAGTCCTTGGTTTATCATCTTGCCAAAATGGGAACACCAATTAACAAGATCATCGATTTGAAACTCTACGAAATCAAGAATAAAATTAATGATTTCATTAATAAAGGCATTAATGAAGAGCAAAACATCTTCTTTTTAAACATCATTGAGAAATTAGAACGCTACGAAAATCTTAATAGTCACTCCTATGTCTTTACTAAGTGGAACACAGAATGTTAAATGAGAAAATGCGTTAGATAAATCAGGAATCGTCTCAGAGACCAAACAACTGATGAAAAATATAAATTATTCTTGGCCGCTGCTTCTCTCTAGTAAGTATAGCAATGGCATAAAATTCTAATTCAAAATGAGAAGAACAGTACTAAGGATATGATATCCATACTAGAAACAATTAATGAAAATAAGAATAAATCGAAGAAAAGGAAATTGAATGTTAAATAATACAGTATTCCTTCTAACCTCAATTTCAGTGATTTTGAAGGAAAAGGCCAAGAGGAAGCAGACAACAGTGAATTCGACATTAGTATTATTGATTCAACATCAGAACGTAATGTTGATGAAGGATTAAATCTTAAATAATTCAATGAAACAACTAAGCAAAATTCAACAGAAAAGAAGAATTTGAGTGAAACAAAACATGCAGATTCTATGAAAGAGAAATTAGATAATTATAAAAATAAAGCCTTACTTAAGAAGTCTTCAAAAAGATGAAAATTATATTACATTTAACAATTACAATATGATTCCTGTGTGTGTTTCTTTTTGTCATCAAAATGAATTATTCTCTTTTCTTGAATGTTTATTTTACGATTATGAATAAAACCAATCGCTGCTTAAATTGAAAATTAAAATATATTGAAATTTTATAAATAACAAATATTATAAAAAAATCGAAAGGGTGTTGGATGCTAATAATAAAAGATGGTCATCTGTAATAACACTGAGGTTTAGTTGATAGTGTCTCAATAACCCTAAAATAATTAATTTACTAGATAGCCTCACTTGGTTTATTGTACTAGTTGTAACAATCAAATTTAAAAGATGTTAAATTTAAGATCGGCAAGGTCAATTATTTATGGCCTTAATAATATTGCCTAAACTGTTATGGTAATTGTTTTAATAACTCTTTGTGTTAGTGTTAGTTTTAGTTCTTATGTCATTTTGTTATTGATGGATGACTACTGAGATGAGGTTCATTTATGTCCAGTTTGCTAGGCCGAAGTAGTGAGGAAAATTTCATCTTTGAATGATTTAAGCAACAATGAAATAAACTTAATATATATTTAATTATTTAATCAAAAACTACGATATGATAGGGAATCTTATGAGTTAGGAAAGCTTTCAAAATCAAATAATATAATAATAAATTTAATTATAGAATGTCTATCGAAGCTTTGATGGAGCAGATTCCAGAATTAAAGTATCATTTTATATATTATATAGATGGATCATTTTTTAAAAGTATAATCCTAGTTTATTAAATGTTTCAATAATCTTATACGTCATTAAAATAATAAGAAAAAATCTGGTATAATAGTGCTGCCTTATTAGGGAGCTCAATTTTATGTACAATACTAAATTAATTTATCAAGGTCCACTTTAAGGATGAAATAAATCTAAAAAAAGCTAAAGTCTTTGAATCTACCGATAGTAACTTTGGATAGTTCTCTTTATTAAAGCCTTAACTGCCATTCATACCTTGTAATTACTATAATGATATTTAGTTTCACCATTCCAAACTATACCTCCTCATTACTCTTAAGAATTATTATTCTAAAGGATGAATCCCATGATGTAGAGTCAAGACAGGTTTCCTGCTCAGCCCAAACAAACTAAACAATAAGCCAAACACTTCAAGTTGAAAGAGAAATTTCTGGTTTTTTCAGGTAAGGCTGAAGAATCACAATCATATCACTCAGAAGATTAAGATTATGATGAGAAGGTGTCAGATCATTCTTTCTCAATTAGAAAATCAAAGAAGATCAACAAAGTCAATGACACTAAAAACATCACCAAAAACTTTTCGAAGGCTATCATAAGTTACATCACTCAAAACAAAGACATAGGATTAAGGTTGTTGGACGCTAGAGAGTTTGAAGATTTTATGACAATACTGAAAGAGAAGAAAAATAAGATGACAAATATCCAATAATTAAGGGAATTGTGGGTTGATTGTGATGATGAAAAACTAAAGTAATTCAATCATACCTTTAGAATATTTAGGTATAGTAATATAGTTAAATATAATAGTCAATATTTCTTAAGGTAATAATCAGTTGCATACATCTACAATTCTCGAATCATGAATACAGGATGGCACTTAAAATATAGATATAATTTGCTAAGAGCATTAAGAGAACCCTAAAATTTCAAATACATTAAAGATATTTGAAATATGATGTATATCTATAAATCACAGATCATATTCTTTTGAATTTTGCATGGTGTGTCTACACTAGATTTATTATATAAGCATCCATCGATTTCATTGTTGTAATCAATTCTAAATATATTATTTTAAACATCCTCTTGATTCCCTCCATTCCACTAATTGGTTTACTGTTATTAGTAGGACTGGACTATAAAAAATATAAAATTAACACCTAAAAAGCCAAACATTTATGAAAATTTATCTCCTATTTCAATATCAGTATATTATTCCAATGAGCAATATGCTACTACTTATGTTGATGTATTCATGAGGCTGTTAATCTCACTCACAAAGGATAAACCATTAATCACAATATTAATTTAGTATAGCAAAATGAATTATCAATTAGAAATCGATTTAATGACCTAACATATTGGTTTTCGGGGACATTTCTATATTTCTTTGATTTTAGTAGCTCTAATACTATCTAGAAATATTCCTGTGTTTTATATATACTTTGCATTTGTTCCCAATGTATAGTATTGATATGCATATGAATCCAGTTTTATAGAAGCCAATTATTCTTATTTCATATAAGCAATAAATGATTAATCTTTAAGAATATACTTATTAATATTTAATAATAGATTGAATTTTATATGAAATTTCAAAAATTTATGTCAATTTGAGATATCAACCTATTATTTAGAAATTGCAAAGACGGGTAATCATTAAGATCTAATTTATTTTCAATAAAATTGTATATCTAAATAGCTGCTTACATCTTATTATTATATTTTTGGGTTTATTGAAGTTTATTTATCATTCCAAGGAATTTTAAATTAATAGGAAAAGTTTAATATCTATACTACATGTTATGATTATTATTTTTTAACAAGTATGTAATTCAGGTAGATACTCTGTTTATACAAAATATTTTTACAATAAGATAATACTACACAGATTTTCCTTAAACTAAGCAACGAGATTATGAGAGTTTTAATTTGCTCGACCGAACTCTAATAATTAAGGATGAGTGGTTTTATATAAATGAACTATATGTTTTCCATATTATTTTTTAATTGTACTAGATGCTTATTTAAATACGTTGTTTTTAATTCTCGAATGGTTTGTGATTGTATAACTGTAAATCAAGTGTTGTTTTATTGAGTGATGGCAAGGATCAAAAGAGAGTAAGACGGTTTTTTTCACAACCATTTATTTTGAAATGAAAATCTTTAAAATTTGCAAGGTTATGTTAAAAGTTAATAATAATTTCAGCAATCATTAATTTATAAACGAAAATTAAATGCTCTCATAAAGGAGTAGTAGAAAACTTTTAGACAATGCAATTGGGCCATCTTTGAGATATGATCCTCAGGCAAACAGATGTTATGAGAAAGATAGATCGCCTTCGAGACTATCAATAGATTCTGAGCAGCAGCTAAAGATAAATAATAGTGAGGGAATAAAGTTGAGCATACACGATACTGCAGACAAAAAGAAAACTATAAATTTAAATATTGCTAGAAGGAAATCTGCGCGAACACAATAAGTAACATTGTTGTAAAATACTAAAAGATGAGCAAGCGAAAATCAGAGCAAACAAAAAAATTTGAAGGATTGTCCATCTTAAGAACTATGCAGCAGAATTAACTTATTTAAAAATTTGTGAATACTTTATTAATGAAATCCTATATCTTGTCAGAACATAACAAGTACCTACTAACTCAAGAAAGCTACATGCAATCTAAAGTTGATAAAACTAAATACTAAAGTAAAAATATTGTCATAAAAAACAGATTAAAATTAGAGTAGCACTACGAATATATTCGCACCAGGAAGCTAATTGGTGATGATATGGGATGTGAGTGCGACCTTCTTTGATTGCTTTAGTTTATGGCTTTGTCCATTTGTATCGTCATTTGTGGACGATCAAAGTTGTCGAGCAGCAGAGATGTTCTTAATTATCCATATCATAATTGACATAATCATCCATTTGAATAGGCCCATCATGATCTAAGGAGAAATCATTTTCGATAAATTGCAAATTATATAACATTACTTTAAAGGTCAATTACTGGAAGATCTCATTAGCTTGACCATGTGGTTTTTAATGTATTTTGATTTTAATTAAATACCTGTGACTAATGAGATTATAGCACTCATTCTCATAACGATTTCTATTTTGAAGGTGAAACGAAATTATGAGAACTTTATAGAATCTCTCTATTTATAAGGTGCTGTAAACTAGTTGGTTGATCTGATCACTCTAATAATGATGATCTACTTCTTTGCTCATTTCATGGCGTGTGTATTTCATCACGTTGGCGATTTAACCTCTGATTCTGAAAATTGCTGGTTAATACACTACAATCTTGCGAACAGACCCATCTCAGTCAAATATAACCATTCTTTCTATTGGGCCACTATGACTATGGTCACTGTTGGTTATGGGGATATCACACCACAGAACGAAGCAGAATTGGTCACAGTCAATTTGCTAATGCTGTTATCCAGTTGCATGTTTGGGTACTCAATGAGTTCCATTGGAATGATTCTCAAGAGCATACAGGATGCAAAATACAAATGCAAAAGATCCCTCATTCTAATGAATTCCTACATGAGATAGAGTCAAGTAGACCAACAGATTCAGAGCAGAGTAAGGGACTTCATCAAGTACCAAGTTGAAATGGAGTCAAAAGAGAACAATGATGATGTCAACTAAATTATTAGTGATCTACCTAATTAATTGAAGTAAGAGTTGTAAACCAATGTGTAAATGAACATCATGCAAAAGATAAAGATAATCACGTCCTAATTCACCAAACAAATCTAATCCGAGGTGTCTTAGAATCTCGTACAACTAAAATTCACCCCTGGAGATTACATTTTTCATTAGGATTAGATTGACAATAACTTGTAATTATTATGCACCTATATATTTATAGATATTATATAAAGGAGGGATAAATACAAATCACTGAAGAAAAAAGTGGTAAAGTATTGTAAGTAATTAAATCTACTAATACTTTTGGAGAATATTAGTTTTTCACAGGTCTTTCTACTAAAACCTCTGCTTAAAGCATAGGATTCTCTGAAATCTATTAAATTAAAAGAGACATCTTTCTAAAAATTATACGGTCTTCCAATAAAGATTTTGAGAGGTTTCACAATATCAAAGACAATTTGATTCTTAATTCAAATTATTATGTGATCTTCCAAAATTGCAATTTCTGTAAAATGTACACTCATTCAAACATTGATTGTCCATTGCTCAACTATAAACCAGATGCCCAAATTCTATCGATAAAAAAGCAAAGAGAACATCCATTTCAACAGCGAAAAACCTTTGTCAGAATGGGCAATAAAATTAAGTCCATGTGTATATAGCAACAAATCACCTTGGCAGTGGAGGAGTTCTTGGAAAAGCAGAGTTCATTTCACGAAGTAATTAGAGAAATCCAGAAACACTCCGAGGAAAGTCCTAATACCTAACAGGAACAATAGCCAATCTAAATAGAAATCAAGGCCAGCGAAGATCAGCCCATAGAGAATTAAGGATCTAGTCTGCTTCCTCCCAATACGACGGCTTCAACCAATACTGGACCACCTTCTTTAGCGATGATGAGAGGAAAATCTAGTAGATATGTCTTCAATCAATCTTCAAAAGGGTCTCATCCCAAAAACTACTTTGTTATGGCCCCTAGCAATAAGGAACCGGTTAAGGAACTAATTTTAAAATAGAATTCATTTATTTACTACCTTTATTTTATTTACTAGTTTCACTCCAATGAGATCGATTAGATGAGAGAATATCAGACTTACATGCCCTAAAATAATTGTTCCAACTCCATCAAATTAAGAGAAAAATACCTTGACAAAAAGCAATCCGTTAGATCAGGAGGAGACAATGGCTAAACCAAAACCTATATTCATCTTAGATAAAGAGATTTACTCTCTTCATAAATACTATCGCCTTACAATTGAAATCCAAATATTAGCAACATTTTAAATAACCTATCAAGAATAACCTATTTACTAAATTATTATTATTTATAAATAATGGATTCACCTAATTTAATCGTCTTAAATACTGAACTGCCAATAATGGGACCTTAGCTTTCTCCAAGATCTTCCTATATCAAATATGTTAAGAATTGTTCATCTTCATACATTTAACAAGAAAGCGAAAGAAACGAAGATGAAATGTTCAGTCCAAATTTAAGTGATAATCACTAGGAACAGAAATTAATTAATTTGGAATCTAGTAGAAGAATATCAAAAAAGTTAGAAACATTTAAATTTACTTAGATAGCAAAATAAAACAAAATTATAGAGAAATTCAAAAACAATCTGTTATAATTTTCGTACATAATGCCATAGAAATTTAAAACAAAGTTATTATCAATTGAAAATTATTTGCAGAAAGACAAACTGAAAAAAACATCAAGTATTAAGTCCAAATAATTTATAGCTTAGATCACCGGCAAGAATTAAAATAATATTATTTCTCCCTCTAATATATTGTTATTTTATTGGGAAATTTTCAATATTCTTATACAATTCATTTCTCTCTGGATTTGTGCTCTCATTGTATCGTTTTCAAATTCATAAGAAGTTAACTTTCAATTCTTTGGTTGTTTATTTATTAGCATAAACATTATAGAGATGATTATCACAATAAATAAAGAAATATATATAGAAGGTTAAATCATTAATACTCGAAATGATATTCTTGTTAATTACTTAACTAAATCATCCTATTTGGATGTCTGCTCAATATTTATCTGGATTATGATATCCTTTAGAATGATTGAATAGAATAGCATAGTGCAAGTGTTTGCAATCCTTCTTTTGATAATTATATTTGCCAGAATCTTTCGTGTATATGATTACATAGTGGAATAGCTATATTAAAAAGGGTTTGGTGGTTATGCTTTTGATCTGTTAACTCTAGTTGTAAGCATCTACTTCTTTGCTCATATAATGGCTTGTTTATGGCTGATGGTTGGATTGAATTCAAGTGGGGAAAGGATGAATTGGTTACGGGATAATGATTTGGAAACTGAAAGTATTTGGACTCAATACAATAATGCGTTCTATTGGGCCACAATGACAATGGTTACAGTTGGATATGGAGACATTACACCAAGGAATAACTATGAAATGACCTTTGCCAATGTAGCTATGTTTTTTTCAAGTTGTGTATTTGCTTATTCGATGAATGCAATTGGTATTTTACTGAAAGGATTCAATGATGTCAAATAAAATTACAAGTAATAAATCGAAATATTAGAAGAAAGTCTGTAATCATAATGAATCAATACATGAAATCAAATAATATTGACGATGAAATCCAGAACAAAGTTAGAAACAATCTAAAATATTTAATATAAAATTAGGAAGGTGATAATATCGATGCAAACAAATTAGTTAATAAATTATCAATAGGACTTTAATAAGAATTGTAGGCAGATTTACTTGAAAAGATTATTAAGAATATAAAAGTGTTATCCTGCAATTTTAGTAAATAAATTTTACAAGAAATCCAGGGATTAGTAAAGATAGTCTAATTTTCACCAGGAGAGTTCATTCAAAAGAGTGGAAGTGTATTAAATGAAGATGAGATATTTTTGTAAGCAAGATATAATATCTTAGATATTATATAATGAAAGGGAATGTGAACTTTATTTCAAATACCACAAATTCATTGATTTACAAATTAGGAGCAGGAGAAACATTTAATTAATATCAATTTTTTACTGGTTTTGGTGATTAGAAAATTGATATTATAAGTGATGACTTCTGTCAATTAGTTAAATTGAACAAATCCCAGTTCATAAAATTAATATTTGAATCCAAAAGAGATTGGGAAATATATCATTCCATCAAAGATAATGCAGCTAATAATAATGATTTGATTGACTTAAATTACAAATGCTAATTTTGTCAAAGGAATACACATTTAAGACAAAGTTGTCCTCTGCTAACCTACTAACCCAATATACAGCATAAAATAAGAAAGCAAGATTAAAAGAAGTATGAGCAAATTAGATCTCAAGTGAGTAGAAATTGTGTAAAATTGAATAGTAAAATGATTCTAGACGAAGTGAAAATGACTATCTAATAATATATGATGAATAATATCAATGACTTTAATGATAATCTTTCTAGGAAGGAATCAAAAGTGATTGAATAGGACGATGATTAGTAATTCAAAAAGATTGAATTTATTTCAAGTACTCCTATTTAGATTAACAACCCTTCAGCTAAGAAAGCAACTATAATTTAGAATCTGGGGAGTCAAAATTACATACGAAGTAAGCTTCCAGCTGGTACTCCATTAAGAGCAAATAATCAATTGAAATTTCATAAATAAACGTCCCATCAAAATTCAACAAATCAATCATAACCAATAGCATCTCAAACTAATGTGTAACCGGCAATTTAATTTAGGATGCTCGATCATGTTTTCGACTCTATGAAGTTTACTTATATTAACATTGATAAAATGCATAATTATATCAATTATTTACCTCACAACAATTTACGACGGATTTTGATTCAGATGGATGCTTAAAATTAGCATCTCAAAGAAACATCTAAAGGGTTGATCAAAATTGATAAATCTCTTGGATTCACTGCCAAATTGAAAAGTGGGAAACAGAGGAGCAACAATGCTTTAAAATAAAGTTAGCCCAATATCAAGGCTTGAAAATATATAAATAATTAATATATATAAATGAGTGAACGACACAGATTTTCCAGTTAATAAAAACTTCCAATCTTAGATTTGACATAAACAAATAGATTTCCGACGGAAGGACTTAAAGTTAATGTAATGTCTTTTTAAGGAAATAGATTACAGTCTAATCAGGTGATGCATAATTCGTTAGTTTCAGATCTTTAAACGAACTCAATCCTAAGTTTGGCTTTCCTATAAACTCCATGGATTCATCATAACAATTAAATTAAACAATCTAGAACGACCTAACCTAGAATAAGAAAATGCTTTTGATGTTAGGAAAAACTCTTTACAAATAAAAAAATGAATACTAAGAATATCAGGAAAACATGATTGTAATGATTTGCTTTAAATTAGAAAAAAATAAGAACCGTCACCAGAATGTAAAAGTAAGTTAAAAAAGTTCCACATCGAATCGAGTCTTTTAAAAATACTTATGATAATTCTCCAAATGCTATCCCATAATTTGCAAAAAAGAAAGTGTCATTCCCAATGTATTTTAATGGAGCATTTTTTACAAAACTTTAGCATGTTTGGGTACCTACAATTAGAGAAAACACTATGGCAGCAGATTTCTAAAAAAAAATATACATGTTTGGTGGAATAGGAAGTGAAGTTATGGGTGATTTAATTGAATATGAAATACAAACAGGTAAATTTCGAGAGATTAAACAAAATGGTGATATTCCTCTCAATCGTTATGGTCATTGTTTACATAGTATTGGTTACCCAATGACTTTGTCGACTCAATTTTCTTATGACAATTAACAGTATAGTTAGATCAATGGGAAACAACTCATAATGTATGGAGGGGAAATGTAGTATAATTCTGCTTTGAAACTAAGAGAAAATCTGAGTGACACTAGAATTTTTGATTTGGAAACAGAAACATGGTAAATACTAAAACCAAACATTGAGAATATTCCTGAAAGTAGAAGATCCTTTGGTAGTTGTATAGTAGGGAAGGGATTGATTGTTATGGGTGGTATTCGAAGCAGATTCTCAGTTTTCAATGACATTCATTATCTGAATTTAAGTAAATTTTAGTAGTAAATTTAACTTTAGATCTTTGTAAATGGAATCCATTAGATACATTTAAGAATCCATTTAATAAAGGATTGGCATTCCAGTAATTAGTTTGTGCTTATAATAAGCCATAACTGATCTTTGAAAAAAAGGATACAAGAAGCAAACCCTACAAACCACTTGAACATGAGGGAATCTATTGTTTTGGAGGGTGCTATATAGATGAAATGAAAAATACGTAATTCTACAGCAATTTTATGGCACTCTTAAAATTAGATTAACCCAATAATCCCTGGGTAATTCCTGAAACTTCTGGAAAACAGCCTGCTCCCAGAATTCAACATACAGCCTCCTATGTATAAGAGATGAATATCATAATCATCTTTGGTGGTCGAGATGACTCTAGGAGCAACCCTTATTTTAATGACTTATTCGCATATAAGATTTAAGAAAAGGAATGGGTTCAATTAGACATTTATGGCAATCTTCCAAGGCCAAGAGCATCTCATTCTGCTGTGGCTTACAAAAGTCAAGTGTTATATTTTGGGGGAGTGAGTATGAATGGATACCTGGAATTTTCAGTTAATGTGGCAGAATTTAATTAAAATCAGATCAGACAATTACAAGCAGAAATGAAAGCCTATGAACAAACAACAGAAATTCAAAGTCCAAAAGAAGAAAGACAATCGATTTTAACTAAACAGTATTTCTCATTGCATTAAGCTGCCCCCATCTAAAAACCTAAATAATTGACAAAGGCTGAGGAAATGAATTAACAGATCTAACAACTGTCCTTTTCAAATTTTCCTCTACATCTTAAATGAACTTTATGATTGATATATTATTAATATAAATTTATAATTTTCATTCAATATTAACAGTTTTTAAATACAAGAGTTTCAATTTAAGAGCTTTGATCTTCACATTATAGAAGAATGTGTACTTATTCATATTCAAAACATGCTTTTCAAGCTTCTTTTGGTACTTTATATTGTTTTTTTCTAAAGATTAGATAATGTTTTCGAGGTTTTATCGTGGATAATACTTTTCATAGGACTGTTACCTATCACATTGGATAACTGGAGGGTACCACCTTGCATTTATGTATAAATCATCAATCATATTGAAATCTTTAGGTGTATTCGTTTATTCCTTATGAATTTATCTAGACTGAGAAAGTTAATTTTCAATTTAAGATTATTGGTCTGCTTTAATTCCAATTCTATTCAAAGAGCAGTCATAGTATTATTGTTTTTATTCTTAATCCTAGTCTTCAGTGACAAAGCAAGATGATCGCTTTTACTCAATATTTTGAACTTCAGAATAATTACTAGTTTTAGATCTATGGGCTATTATAGCCACTTACAAAGAGTGAGAGAATTCAACTCCAGCAGTTGTATCTTCTGTAAAAAATTTGACTGATTTGGATATCTCCGATTATTATAGAATGCTTTTTATCTTACTTCCAAATCTTCTCCTCTTTTGTCTTTGTTAAATTACAGGGTAAAAATTACCCTTTTTTATCCTCTGCTCAAGATCTGGCTTATATGTCAAAACAGGACAGTCGATTTCTTAATGATTCTACCTTTCACAATATTTACATTCCATAGAAAATAATCTATAATTGGAATTAAAAATAATTTAATCTTTTATGAAATGAAACATTTCTAGATCTCTCTTGTTGAATTATAAAATATCTAAAAATTTGTTCCTACTAATTCTATAAATATTGGAAAATCCCACACTGACAGCTGATGTTTTTGGAGGAAAATCAGTAAAGAATTAATAAATTCCGAATTGTTAATGCTAAAATAGTTTTGAGAATTTCATTTTGCTTTAATCATCCTAAATATCCACTTCTCCTTCTATGATGAAGTAAAGGTTCTTATCAGAGACATCTCCTCTTTTATAAATGATATCTCCTGGAGCATACTTAACTAATTCTAAGCTTTTCGATAATAATTGCTAAGTATTGCATGAGAAATGGTTTATAACTAGTCTTGCCTTATTGATGACTTTTCTCTGGATATCAGTATTTAGATCCAATTATAAATTTTATGGCAGAATCCCTACAAGTCTATTGATATCTTCTAAATTTTCATTCTATTCAGATTCGATATAATATTTGAGATAATTTCTAATTCTACTCTAAATTTGTGGCTCAACACAATTCTTGCTCATGTATGTATTCATCTATAACAGAGATCTCTTATATTTCAATTTGGCATCATAGATGTTCTTGAGGATCATGCCTATAGAATTCATAGAATATGCGAATATTCCACTAGACAAAAACATTACTACATTAACAAAGATAATCTCAATTTAACTTTATGCAGTAATATCTCCATATCCCACAGTTGTCATAGTCATTGTGGCCCAATAAAATGCATAATTATACTTCTTCCAGATGGCTTCGTGTTCCAAATCATATTTTATTAGCCAAGATTATTCTCCTGATTTAACCCCAACGTAATGCCAGGCACAGGCAACTATATGAGCAAAAAAGTATATGGAACAAATCAGACTTAACAAATCCATTATATAACTAGATACTCCTTTAACAAAGACATATTGGAAATAATCTGAAAAATATTTTTATATCTTATAGAATGTAACGATTAATTGGCATATAACGATGCATTCTCCAAGAATTTGATAAGACGTTAAGTTTTTTTAGATCAAAATCCATAAGGTTAAATTAGTTAAATCAGTGGTTGCATTGGTTTAGAAATATTATTGAATCAGTTTTTTTCTCTTTTTAATCACAATCCCTTAAACAATGATGCCTTTGTTAAAGGAAACAAGGATGTCACTGATTAGGAAGAATGTTGTTAATTACATGATAACATCAAAGGAGAAATAGTTTTCCATGTTGTCAAAAGATAATAAAAAAGGAGTGAACCACAGAATTATCAAATTAAGCAATATTCCTAAGGCATCCCAGACAATGATTGCTATGCTCGTTGGCATAATGATTGGGATCCTTGATTAAGAGAGGGATTCTTAAAACATTAAATTATCATATTACCCATGCTTTATTGTTTGTTTCCTTCTTTAAGATATTCATCATTCAAAATTTATTTTTTATTATTCTATAAAACATATGAGTTTGTAAAAAGATTATTAATAAATTGCTTTTTAATACGTTCTGTTTTCAAAGCCTTCAGAAAATAGTTATAACCTGCAGAATTTCCGATTGTTTTAGATGATTTAAAAGGAGTTGTGGATTCGCAGGTTTTTCTCTAAGCAGTTTGAGTCAATTGTTGTTCCTGTATAACTAATCTTGGTTATCTCAAATTGTGGCGAGTGTTTGATTTGCTCCTTTCACAATCTATTATTTGTCTTTCACTATCTTCTGAAATTTCAGACAATCTGGATGCTGACTCACTTTTAAACGTAACTTGTTTTGTGATCATCCTTGGCTTTTGATTAGAATATTGATCCTGCTGAAGCATATTTAAAATTAAATAATATATTGGAATTCATTCGCATTAATAAATCTTTTACCTCTTATAAAGGGATTTAAATTATTGATTAATGTAATATCTAATAATTAATAATATCTCATCTCAGCAATCATAAATCAATTATAATGAAAGTGTTGATAATTACAATATATGAGATATGATATTTTAAAAATATATTTTGTTTTTACTAATATCCCTTTTATTTCATCCTGGTTTTGTATCTCTAGAAACTTTCTATAATAATCAATTTAGGTTTAAATTACAGTTTAAAACTATGCACACCAGATGGAATTATATTTAAATATAATTTAATATAATCTTAAAGTAGATATTTGAAGTAATTAAATTCTGGTATTAAAATATTATTATTCTTTAAATTTAAAAAAACACAAATATCAATTCTTCAATTAGTTCAATCATGAATTATACTCGAACTAAAATAATTAGACTTAATATTTACTATGTTGAATTGGGTTCCCATGGGAGAGATCCATCACCTGAAGCGGATCTATAATTTGTCAGCTCGTCATTTGCCTATCGCATGTTGAAGTTGAGGTTCTCTTTCTGACCTGTGATGATTTACCATTACGCTAAGTTGCTTTCCCCTTAGAATTCCTTGAAACACACGCACAAAACTTGAGTTTAGTTTTCAATTTCTGCTGGTTGTTCTTCAAATTTTTGGTGGATTTTTTTCATTGGTTATGGCAATCTGTCGCCAATCGAATATGCAAGACCTTGTTAGGGTCTCAATTTCAAATGCTAATAACTAGTAAGGACTTAATTGGTTTATTCTTCAATATCTTGATCGTCATTGCATTCAAACACTTTCTTAGCTGAAGGATTTGGGCAAGGCACCAATCTTGAATTCAATCTAGTCAAATATGATCTGGATGCTAATTCATATGGCGGATAATAATTTAGAGTGTCCATTTGATAATTGATTTCCTCCATATAATTTACCTTATTCATTTTGATATTCATCGTCTTCTATTCTATCTGCTCCATATATTGATCCATCTCTTCTCTGAGTTTGAGTAATGTTTATCTCATAATTTTATAAAATAATTGTTATTATTATTAATAATACTTCTCAGAAATATGTATACTACATTTTTGGTTTACAATTAATTTATACAAAATCTAACTGTTTACAATAATATTCTATTTGATTGAGTTCATCTCCTTCATACTCCATTAAAGTATAGACCACCCCCTCAATTAGTGCAAAAGATTAGATGCAAATGACTTCTAAGGAATATAGAAACGAAATTATAATGGCAATCATATTATCATTAATCAATCTTGACATATCAATTATAAATTCACTTAATTAAGTTTTCAATGAATTCTGATAGTAAATAATTTCACTATTATTAGTAATTACTAAAATTAGTGAAATTATGACATATAAATTTCATTTAATTGATGATCCGATACAACATAAATTTAAAATAAATGAATTACCTTATAATAGTCACTCTTATACTATACACTGCAGCTGATAAAATCACATGCCCACTTGATATTGACAAATCAGTAATATGTCCAAATGATAATCAACCTGTCTGTGCATTTTCATCAGATGGATCTGTAAATCTTAATATAATATTATAGTAATTGGGTTCATTTGAGAATCCTTGTCTTGCTTGCCGAGCTAATAACGCTAGTTATTATGAAACTGAGAAATGCATCGTGACTTCAGCATCTTTAGAGTCAATCAATCCAGGCTCAGGAAATATTTCAACAACAACAAACAAATATCAAATCTTCAAATGTGACATTCTAAAATCAGATAATATCGGATGTCCTGCTGTGTAATATATTAAGTATTAATATTTTTAGTTATAAACCTACTTGTGGATTGTTCGATTCTACCATTCAATGCGTTAAAGCTCCATGTGGTTAAACTTTTGGAAATGAATGTGAAGCATGTTCTGCCAAGAACATAGATTCCTATTTTTATGGGAAATGCGATGAATTTCCTACTGAGTATCTTTAAATTTTAAATTTCTAGAAATCCAAAAAATCCTCTTGAAAGTATCATAAACTATTGTACTGAACCCAGACCTGACATTTGTACTCTAGAGTATACAGATACATGTGCTTTCATTTCGACACCTTGTCTATCTGAATCTTGCATGATATCTGCTGGAAACTATTGCGAGGCTTGTTCTAGAAAAAATGTAGTAGGATATGTGAAACAATCTTGTTCTAATTACCTGTAAGTATTCATGTTAACTGATTTAGAAAAATGTTTATAGAGGATTACGACTATCCTGAGTACAAGGATAACAACACAAATTAAGATTCAGAAGAAAAGCTGTTTTGCAGTACATAGAAACCAAGTTCTTGTGATGATAATATTGTGAAAGAAGTGTGTGCAACATATAAATGCAATGATACTACTTGTCTTAAAGAATACTAGAATGAGTGCTAGGCTTGTTTGGATTCAACAACTGTCTCGTACGTTTCAGGCAAGTGTTAGAGTTAGACTCTATCTGGAGTAATCCTGGGTTTGGCCTTATTTGTTCAGTTATTCATGTGAAATAATTAGATATTATATATAAATTGTTTACTATAGATGTATTGGAATAATATCTATAAAATATACAGAATCATTTAATTTCGGACATTTCTACGTAATTCAATTGTTCGTGATCTGGCAACACTTTTAATGATCTGTGACTTCTTGAAAAGTTCCAAATATTATGATTGATTCCAAAGTACTCTTTGTTGCATTCATAACACACCAAGAAAACAGCAACTGGGAGTGTTATCAATGATATCAATTTCAATAAGGAATATATTAAAACCTATAACAAATACTATTATACTGTTAACATGGTTGTGGGTATGAAGTAACGAGTGCACTCTATTGTGGTGGAGGATAGGAAGTATGCTAAGGAATCCCAACAGAATTGGACTCCAAATTACACCAAGCCACTCACTTAAAAGGATAGAGAATTCATTTTTACGTTTTAATATTTTGATCTGGATTATGCGGGTTTCTAATTTAAGCAGTTGATGGGCAAAGGAATCGTTTTTGTTATCCAACTTTTAATAGGGTGGGTAATCTTACTAAGTACTCCTTGTATTGATGCAACTAATGAACGCACTAAAATCCAAAGACAAATGCTACGATTGACAACATCAAACCAATGAAAGACATAAACAGGTTCGAGATCTCATTGCACTGATAACTTGTTGTTTTTCCACAATAATATACACACTCTCTTGATAATGGTTTACGCCCTGATATAACCAATACAGTCCAATCAAGAACAATCCCAAACGCCCTGCATTAAAAAGTTGCTCATGTTTTTCCTTTTCCAAAATTACACTTATTAATATTATGCATATTAATAATTCTAACACCAATCCTATGGATCTTAAGCTGATTAGCCAAATGCTGGATTCTACATAATTAGTAACCAGTACTTGCAAACATAAAGTACAACACTTGGAGCATCATCTAAAATATGCTCATTGCGCACAATGCTTGATCAATTAATAATAAAATCCCATTATTCCTCTCAAACATGAGTTTAGCTTTCATTATAAAATAATACAGAATCCCACTACTTATAATCAAATCAATCAAACTCTCTGAGCATTAATAATTGGTTTAACATTTATATAATGCTCCCATTGAATTTAATTATATTTATATATTATATATTTAGGTTTTAGAGGTAGCAAATATGCGATTTTAACAATAGTTATAAAATGGTCTTCTAATTCGAATAATATGTCAAAAGGCTTAAAGTGGAATCAAAAGAGAATTGAAAATATGAAAGATGACCAAATTAAAGTACGCAATATGATCCTTATAAAAGATTTGATTAATTCAGATATACAAATAATTGAGGTAATTTAATTATTGTTTGTTATGAACTCCGGTGAAATTATTTAAAACATGAACGATGATACTTCTCTTTCATCTGAGGATGAGGAATAGACCTCCAAGATTATTGAGAATGATCCTACGGGTCGTTTTAGTAAGGTATTAAAAATACTATATTTTTTAGTACAATGAGGAGATCGGCAAAGGGGCATACAAGAGTGTTTATAGAGGTTACGACAACGAGAGTGGATGCGAAGTTGCATGGAATGTGTTTTAATTGATGAATGTTTCTGGGGGTATTTTAAAATCTAGAATAGTTGTAGATGAAATAAGAAGAGCCAAGTAGGAGATCGCAATATTGAAAACATTGAAGCACAAAAACATCATCAGTTTTGTTCATTCGTGGTAGAGCAAATCTAAAAAAGAAATCGTTTTTATCACAGAAATTGTTAATGGAGGTTCGTTGAAAAAGTAAGTTCCACACAATTATGAGTTAGTTACCTTAGAAGAATCACCAGACCCAAACTTAAAGTCATCAGATATTGGTGTAAGTAGATCTTGGAAGGATTGGAATACATGCATCAATAAAACATAATCCATCGAGACTTGAAATGCGAAAACATACTGATTGACACCAACAATAACGAGTTGAAAATCGGAGATCTTGGATTATCAATCTAGTAATCATATAACATTAAATAAGAGAATGCAATCAAACAATACAAGTTCAGTATTGGGAACTCCAGAATTTATGGCACCTGAAATTTATCATGGAAATTATGACACAAAGGTTGACATCTATGCGTTCGGCATGTGCATTCTTGAAATAGTGACTGGCATGAAACCGTTTTGCGAGTGCAAAGGTGGAACTGCTCAAATCATCAAGAAAGTGATGGAAACATAAAAGCCTTAGAGTTTGGAATGCATATTGAATGGAAAAATTAAGACCATCATTTTGGAGTAACAACCAAATAATTATATTTAGATGTCTCAAACCTGCAAATGAGAGACCCACAGCGACCTAACTCTTGCAACAATACTTTTCATCCAGCAACAACGACGAGGACAACTCTCCTGTCCTATTGAATGAGTCTCTTCTTAACCAGATATCTCATGATAGCAAAAGTACTCTGTATCTTCATTTTGTAGATTCTTCCTTTTTCAAGAACAACTTATCTAAAAACATTGGAGAACTCAAAGGAACTACTAATAATCACATTAATAATAACCTTACCAACTAAACTAATAAACTCATCTCATTACAGGAATTCAATCCTAATTCAATGAAACAATCTGAAGTAAGACTTTGTGAATAATAAAATAAGTTAAGCATTGATACTGTAGAAGATTTCTCAATTGAATAATAATTTGGCAAACAATATAAGGAATACTATGTATTTTATCTTAGTTTATTCATCTAGATCACTCAAAATGACGAAACCTTACTAGACTTAGAATAAAGACAGGAGAGAGAATTGCAATTATTGCTCGCATTGCACAAACAACAAAAGGCTGATCTCTCGAACAAACTCCAGTAAACCAACAGAACTACAATTCCATATGGATCTGGGTTTTTGTCACCAAAATCATTCTCCACATTGTTTGAGTTCAATAATGAGTAGCACCAACAGTTACAAGGCAACTAACAATAACAATAGTTACATCAATCGCAAATTCTAAGAGTCAGTCCTGTGTGTGATATCACGAATTCTGAAGAAAATGGAAGGAAATTAAACAACAAAGAAGATGATTTGGGCGTTATTTAATCAGTAAGACTGAATTGTATCTATTAGAAACAACAATGTAAATTTTCTACAGACGTTGTAATGTAATCAAAAGCTTAAAGTGTTAGAACAACTATTTAAGGTTGAATATTAACATCACTTTAATGTTAATATTAACTATTTATTTATATTTACAATTATATCAAAAAAAACACCCCTTATCTTTATCTTTCCTTTTGCATCAGTCCTACTTTTATTCTCTGTATATCGTTCAACTTTGAAATCAAAAATATTATTTAAAATTAATTCAAATAATATAAATCAAAGATCTAGCCTGTCACTAGGTTGTGATTAAAACATCAACTAAGGTTGTTATGGTTATTGATAGCAAGTCACGTGATAATTTAAGTTTGCGAGATATTATGGGGTGGAATTAAAGTTATTAAATAAGTGATTTGGCAAATTCAGTTAGGATCGAGTGGGAGGCATTTGATTGAAATTCACTTAACTAGGCTAATTAAAATTCATCTAACTGGGCGGATTGAAATTCATCTAACTAGGCTGATTGAAATTCACTTAACTAGGCTGATTGAAATTAGCTTAACTGGGCTGATTGAAATTCATTTAACTTTGCATTAAATAAAAGGAATTCATGTTTTAGTTATCGGAAAGAAAATCAATATTAGGTACCTATTGATTTTGTTATTGACCGAGTTCGACATTTGGATGCAAAACAATGTTATTTTGATAGTTCATATTGCTATTTACTGGTTAGCCTCCCAAAAAACTGGGTATACCTATTAATTGGTTATTGTTGATTTGATTTTAAGTGTTAACATAATTGTTGAATTGTTCTTAATTTAAAAAATAGATAAATCCTTTATCTCTATTCACCAAACAGAAAGATAATTAACTCTAATCTTCATTTTGATTATACTCCAACACTTGATATTAGATTTGATTACTATTATTGTTACCTTGCTAATTCAAAGTGGAGGGTGTATAGTTTTCAATATTGATGTTGATATTATTAAAATTATTAACATTTTAGACTTTGTTGTTGTTGGGATTATCCTATAATTGTTATTTAGATTTCAAGGCTCTTCTATCTAATTAAACCTTTTTGGACACCTGATCTTGATGTTCCTATTTGATCTCATAAGTAGTGCCATCTTGTTTCATCCTCCACTCTATCTTCTTGATTATGGCTTGGATTTGCTTAATCTCGTCAGGACTTAACTCTTCGGCTGAAGGATCGGACATGTACGATTCCTAATTGTCATTATCACTTTCATCTTAGGATTAAGGTATATTTTTGCCGCTCTTCTCCTTTCTCATTAGACAATTAAACCTATTTTTCACATTGTTCTCGCTTCTCTGTAATTTCAATTTTTTAGATATTAATGCCCACTTTTTTCCATTTTAAATGGCCAATCTCATAAGTTCCAAATCCTCCAATTGTTGCCAAGGATTCCTGGTTTATTATAGATTATGTACCTATTAATGGAGGGGTTGAGGTGATTATTCCACCTCTCTCGACATTATTTTCCATTTCTGTGGACATTGAGACCTGTAGTTTTATTGAGTTCAGTAGCAATTTGACTCCATTTATTCCCTTTGTTCTGAGCCTAGAACTCACTTATTATCCGAACTAATGCTTCATCTTCATTTTGTCCCCAGGGCGCTTATTGAAGAGGCAATTTCTACATTTACAGCCACTTCTGCTTACACTAGAAGGCGTCTCTTCTCAACATCATCGATGATATGTTCTGCCAGTCTTCTTAACACTAAAGACATGGTTATAGTTGAAAACATTACAATTTGTTTGAAATCTCTTTTATGATAGGCCATGTATTTTCCGATAATCCAGATTAAGACTTTTTTATCTTCATCGGACCAGTTCTTTTTTAATTTGGTGTTCCCCGTCTGGATGCTGCCATAGTTGTTCTTTTAAAAGTTTGAAATCTCCTGGTTTTCAGGGAATTGTTCTAATCCCAGATTATACAAATCCTTCATATAGGCGAATCTAACATTCGTGATGTCTTTCACTTTATCGAAAAACTCACTAAACTAATCATAGAAATCTTCCATTTTTAATATTTATGGAATTATAAAATTATACAAATTATACTCCCCACACTTGGCTTTAAGATGTACCAGTTAAACTGACTATCTCTAATTTATGGGACGGAAACAATGTACTGGATTCACTCGTAAATTTTATCACATATAACCACATAGATTGATGATCCCAATAAAGACGAGCAACTTATTATTGTGGCCTCGCTCTACATCAATGGCCAGTTACAGTACCCAACCAAGACATTTAAGGCATTTAGCAGGCACTCCTTACAAAAATAAGAAACCATTTTTTTTAATTCCAATATTAAGGACTTATCATACAATTCCTTAATAGCCTTGAGTATATACAGCACTCAATAGAAATATGAAGAGGCAAAACCCTTGGGATCAACGACCTTCCCTTTGTTTGATGAAAATTTGAAATTAAGAGAAGGAAAAATCAATTTGCTTATTTGGCCGAATACCCAACCAGACACAAGTTTTAACTCCAAAACACCAGGGCTTGTTAAGGATAGAAATATTTAGGACTTGAATTTTTGTACTAGAAAAATAGATGAAGTTTCAAAAGGAGAGTAGAATGACACCAATAAAAATTTATCAAAGTAAAACCTTCAGATTAGATTGTATTATCTAAGCAAGATAATACCCACAGCATTTCTAGAAGTGCAATTGGATCAATATTTCCAATAACCCATTCTTTTTGAGGACTATGAATATCCTCAAAACGATACGGAATAATAAATAATCGGTGGGGGATATTATAAATAACCCGAAGATCAAATCGCTAATCAAGCAAAAGCACCTACCCAAAGAATCTTCATTGATCAAAATTAATTGAGTGACACCTTCAGAACCAGTGACTTTGATTAGGAGTTTGGCAAACCTGATCCTATCCATGATATGATGAACTTAATTTTGAGATACAGTGATCATCCAGAAACATTAAAACCATAAAAAGATGAAGAGGAAAAAATGAGGAAAATGATGGCTCGACCTTTGATCGGAGAACTCAAAAGTGATGATAAACAACTATTTGTTAAATATCGATATTGGGCTATGCAATATGGAAGTGCTTTGCCATTCTACCTCCACTCAGTTGCTTGGCAAAATCAAAAGGAAGAATAGGATGCATTAACCTTAATGAAAAAGTGGTCTCCTATTGACAGAGAGGATTGTCTCTTTTTATTGTCTTCATTCTTTTGTGCAAGTGAATTTAAAAAGTCTAAGAAAAATAAAACTAGTATGTTGGAAATTAGAAAATATGCTGTCGAGCAATTAGGTAAGTTGAGTGATGAAAAAATTGAAAATGTTTTATTGTAATTAGTGTAGGCATTAAAATATGAGCCTTTTGATTAGAAGTCAGAACTTGTTAATCTATTGTTCGATAGAGCCATCAAATCTAAATCACTAGCTACCTATTTGTATTGGTATCTTCATGTAGAAAAAGATGGCTGGAGTGCTGATTCCAAGAACACTATTCTAGGCTTTTATTATACTACATTCTAAGGTATTCTAATACATTAAACAATAAATTAGATTTTGAAAGAATGTTATAATCCAGAAATGAAAAGCTCTTTAAAGATATTTAGGGACAAACCAAATTTAGATCAAAACTGCAAAGTCTAGCCACTGAAATCAGATCTCTCAAAAACGATAGGCAATTCAGAATAAACTACATTAAAAATCAATTGTCATAATCGGCCTATTAAAATTCATCAGAATTGCCATAGCATCCATGCTGTCTCTATCCTGAATATGAATTGATTAGAGCTGTCCCAGAGCGAACTACCATATTTTCATCGGCCATGGCTCCAATTAGATTGGGATTCCATGTAATTAAAGGAGATGAGGAATCTGAGATTAAATTAATCTTTAAAAATGGAGATGATTTAAGATAAGATCAATTGGTAATGTAAATTTTTAATTTAATGGATGAATTACTTAAAGGAGTTAGTTAAGATATGAAATTATTACCTTATAGAATACTTGCCTGTTCTAAAAGTGATGGATTCTTAGAATTCGTACCTGATAATGTAACACTTCAAGAAATCATCATCAAAAAAAATCAAGGAATGCAACCTTATTTAAGATAGATTTCAGAAGATAAATTGAATCCTTATTATTGGAAGACATTGACTTTGAAAAATAATGTAATAATATTTTATACTCTAGGATTAAAAAGATCCTGACAATCTTAAAATTATACAAGATCATATTGATTAGGTTGTTAAAAAAGCCCCATATGGTATTAATCCAACCTTTATGACGAATTACATCTATTCTAGTGCAGGATATTGTGTCTTAACATATTTCCTAGGAATTGGAGATAGACATCTAGAGAATTTATTAATTAACAATGAAGGCAAGATGTTTCATATTGATTTTGGGTTCATCTTGGGCAAAGATCCAAAACCATATCCTCCTCCATTTAAATTGTGTCCAGAAATGGTGGAAGCCATGGGAGGATAGAAATCAGATTTATACACTTTGTTCAAATCAAAATGTGTCGAGGTTTATGTCTACTTAAGAAGATATGCTAAATTGATTATAAATCTATTTCTTTTGATGGCTGATGCTGGTATTAAAGACTACAGTTAAGAAGCAATAGAATAGATGTATGAAAAATTTAGATTGGATGACAGTGATGAAAATGCTGAAATTCACTTTTTAGGCTTACTAGAAGAGTCCATTAACTCGTTATTTGCTAAAATGACTGATAAGTTACATTTCTGGGCTAGTTATATGAGAAAATGATATTTCTGTTAATTTACAAAAATTCATCCATTCTTATTCACAAGCACCTTACTTTATTTAATTTAAGTAATCATAACTTTTTTTATATTTTCATTCTGGATTACATATAAATATATACCATTACTAAATCTCTAAATAGTCTTTTGTCAATTCAATTAGTTATTCTAAAGTGTAGATGATTCGCTTACCTCAAAATACTCTATTTTGCATTTAATAAATCTTTTACCTAAAGATTTGATTTTTTCGTTGATTTATTTTTCCTGTATAAATAAGGTTATCTCTATCAAATGTATTAGGTTTGCTAGTTGTTTCTATAATCAATATAAAGATTTGTCATGGATTAAAGAGTTTATTTTAAATGAATATATATAAAATAAAGTAATGGAAAATCAATGAAATATTTGGATTCTCACTAACAAATTGGATTTAAATTATGTTTTTCTAGTTGGGCATTTTGTTTTTGAATAATTTGTTTTAAAGATGATATTTCTTGCTTAAGTTCTATTTCCCTTTATTCCCATTTTTTTGAGGCTTCTTAATAATTGTTCATCATCTTCTTAGTTCTTTCGACAATTTTGTGTAATTACTATTTAAGTTTTTCATTTGTTCCATTCTCTTAGAAAGGATTGACAGAATTCGATTGTTGTAGTATTTTAAAGCTGCTGTTAGAATTGCCTTTTCCATTTTTCATACCTTAATTAGGACTAGTACTGCTTGCCAAACTGATGGTTGTAGATTAACTAGACAATTTTTGTTTGTTCGTCTTGATTGATACTTCCATCTGGGCATTTTCTGTTTTACATCTACTATTAAATATTCTCTATCTCTTTTCATTGCTATGTGAACTGTTATTAAAAAATTCGTGAAAACTATTTAAATTTGAGTAGTTTAATATTGTAGGCTAACTATTTTATATTCTGTGTTTGGATATTTTAACTTTAGGGGTTCTTATTTAAACAGTTATCATTAAATGAATAATTAATATTATCGTAACATATTGTATTTTTAGGATTCTAGAAAATAATTTTATTTGTAAATATGTAAAGCATCAGTAATAAAAAATTAAAGAATGTTTAAGAAGAAGAAAATGCCTATTTAAATGGTCGAGCAAAAAAATAATATTTTAGTAACAAATACTTTTTTAGTATTTTTACAATAAGAATTGAATATAAATGGCAAGAATAGTTAATTTGATGAATGGCAGTGAGATGAGTTGGTATCTATAAATATTTAGACAGTTCATATTTTTACTATATTTTTAATATTATTTTAATATCATTTAATACTTTGATGATTATATGAGATTAAATCAATACTTAATTATAAATTATTTCTAAATATTTGGATTTGAAAACTTCGATTTTGATTTTTGTCGAGATCAAATTTTAAATTCATATTTAACTTGAATAAATGATTACCTTATCTTTGATTTTAGTTATTTCTATTATTATTTTTGCTAGATATTAGTATTTTTTTAATAATATATATGCTTGCCTAGAAGAATACAAAAATTTCCAATGATCACATTTTGAACGGAAGTTGTGAAATGGAAGACTTAACAAGTAATCCATAAGATGACTGTCTAATAGTTTATCCATACGAATTAGTTAACAGGGAGTTCTTTGGATTTATCGAGAAGACATCCCTTATCAAGGAAAATTTAGAGCTGTTATCAAAAGTAGGTCAAAATTTAAGATTGAATTATAAAGATTGGCCAACAGCTGATTAGGCTATCTTACTTTTTTAAAAGAATATGTATCAGTTTTGTTGAATTTCAAGTCAAAATGCTAAGAAAAAGTCAATAAAATGGAGCGATTTCGAGAAGAAACTCTTTTATTGGATTGTTATGAGATATTATATCTACAAAGGAATCAAGGATAATAAATAGTTAGTATGGAATATATATTAATTTGTAAAGGCTACTGAAGAATGGAGAGAAATATCAAAAATCGTTTTAGGAAGGAATGCTCATTAATGTCGATTGAAATGGGAATAAAAATATAAAATACCATTATCAGAAGCCCCTTGGACCGAATAAGAGGACAACTTACTCTATTAAGTGCATGAGTAAGAGTATTTCTAAGTTTTAGAGAGTTTAAGAAAACAGGTAGGGAGAATAAGTGGTCTAAAATTTCAAGAGAAATATTTAAAAGATCTAATAATAAAATATTCAGATAACCTAAATAGTGTAGAGAACGATGGATTAACCGTTTGGATCCAAATATTTCGAAGTACCAAAAAGATAATTATTAGTGATCCTTGGAGTAAACAACAAGAAATAGATTTGTTAAAAACAATACTAATAAGAGGTAAGAAATGGTCAGAACTATCAACTCTTTATGGGAGAGCTAGAACTGAGAATTCTTTAAAAAATAAATACAACTCTATCCTTAAAAAAGAAAAAATAAAGTATGAGTTTGAAACAATAAATCCACATTTATTTGAGAAAGTTTAAAAATTGAGAAAAGACTATTCTAAAAGTTATGGTAAAGTCACTCCCATTGAAGAAATCGATAACTATGAATGGTAGTTTATAGTTTTAGCAATATAATCATTGTACATAGAAAAATGCATGTAAGAAGGTAAGATTGAAGAGGCTTAAAAAATCAATAATGATAATTTTTTCGATCTATTTCATGAAGAACCATTAATCAAAACATATAAAAGCATTTTATATAAAAAAGAACTAAATATTAAAAAGGTCGACCAGAATTTGGTTCTTAATAATGAAAAGTGTGGAGTTGTAGTATTTAATCATAAAAATAAAAAAGTATTTTTAACACCGTATAATGTGATTGATTTTTAAAATATAGTTTTAAATCAAATTAAAAAGAAGGTTAAATTGGAAGATAATACGACAACTACATCTACTTAATCTGATCCAACCTAGAATTATATAAGAAATTCAATAGGGACTTAATCCATCTAATAACTATTATATTTCACTAATTAGCCTAATTATTTTGTTCCTTTGAGTTAGAGCATTTTCAATAGTTATTGGTTGCCTCCTGTCTTTCCATAACAAATTGTAACTTCTTAAGTTTAAAATAATAACGGCATTGGTTGTTAATAATTTTAGGAGAATAAACTAAATGAAAACCATTAGCAATAAAAAGAAGATTTAAATAACCTTTTTGAAGAAATCGGAGTTGATATCAAAATAGTTAATTCGGATGATGAATAATGATATAAATTAGTGTTCTATATTTTGTCACTATTTAATTGATAAATTATTATAATTCATGGTGTATTATCAGATGATATCTTATAGACTAATTAATGTATGTATCAGATGAGTTCCATCTAATCTTTTTAAAACCACTAATATTATTGGAAAGATAATTCTTTAATGAATTTTTCTAAACACACATAATTGAAATATTACTATAAATAATAAATATTGAGTGAAAATGTCAAATTTTAAAGGTCAAGAAATTTTAAAATTGTTTGATAATGAAAAGTTATTTCTATATAATCTATGCCAAAAATTTAATAAACTAAAATAAAGTTCATGCAGATTTTCTCTTTTAATCGTGATCAGTTTGTAATTTGAGTTAGCTTAACAAATAGAGTTTTTAATCCTGTTGGTTCATTTAATTTTCACTTTCAAAAGTATTCTATCTTTTGCTCTTCTACCTTTGAGTGCATTATTATTCCATCTAATTATTTCTAGTGCCTCCAGTACTCTCTTAAAAATTGGCTTCATTACTATTATAATAAAATTGTTTTAATATAATTTCTTTAGGAAAATTTTCAGAGATATTCTGCTAAAGTGGCTTAATGAAAGCTAAGAATTCTGCCTCACCCTAGCCAAATTCTTCTTCATCGAAATTAAACGAATAATGGTCCATTTTAAAAGGGGATTCAATCCTTTTTTATAAAATATCCTTATATAAATTTTTGTCTCCCCATTAAACCATCCATGGATGTCTTAATAAGGATTCTATGTTATCTATTCTATTTTTTGGATTTTTAGCCAGCAAGTTGTTTAATAGGTCTTTAATTAATGGGGACATTTGTAATTATGGAGGAAAATTTAACTTTTAATTAAGTATTCTTGTGTATATCTCCTCAGTATTTCTCGAATAATAGGGAGGTAAGCCAGTAACCAGTTCATATAACAATGCTCCTAAGCAATACAAGTCTAACTGGAATGTATGTCCAGATTTTAATAGCATCTCGGGGGCCATGTATTCAGGTGATCCGCAAAATGAATATCCTATATCTTATTCAGTCATGTTAGGTTTGGATAATCCAAAGTCTGCAATTCTAACATGACCGTCAAAATCAATTAGGATATTTTCTGGTTTAATATCTCTATAAATAATGTTATTTTCATGTAAGTGTTTCATGCCAAGACAAATTTCTGAGAAGTAAAAGAATGCTTCCTCCTCCTTCATTCTTTTGACCTAATGCATATATAAATCAAAATACTTTTCGCAAAAGGTAAAACAACTCCCCTCCGGAACAGTATTCTAATACAAAAACTAAATATTTTCTAGATTCAAAAGCATATTGCATTTTCACAATAAAAGGATGATTAAGGATAGACATAATATCTCTCTCATTTTATATGATTGTTTATTTATTCTATTAGATAATGGGATTCTTCTCTATCAATTTCATAGCATAATATTAGCCAGATCTTCTTTCTCTTACCATGTAAACTTTAGAGAATCCTCCCATACCTATGCATCTTATGAATTCAAAGTCTTTAAGACTGACTCTGGGTGTCTTGATTTCATTCTCCAAAGCGAATACAGGTTCAATAATCAAAGGTTGAAGTTAAATAGAATTTAACAAAGATAAGGGTCTCTCTACTTTTGTTAAGATATAATCGACAGGAATCGAAATATTACAGGTTTTAATTCCAATAACAGTGGGTAAAGTGGTTCCGAAATTTTTCATTATAATTTGTTTAACTAGATCTACTAAATATTATATAGAATTTTATTAGACATCTACAGTTATCTTTTCTTTATGCGTTTTACAGAGTAATATGATGTTTATGGAATCCTAGAATTACTTTCTATCGAATAAATTAATTAATTAGTTTACCTGTTTGTGAATGGTTTATTTGGATTAATCTCAATTATTGGTTAAGAAGCTGAGTGGACTTAAGTTTTTTAACCCTCTAATTGTTTGGTGCTGTTAGATTTATAGGAGTTCGATTACATAAACAATTGGGATTAGTGCTTTGCACTTGAAACTCCTAAAGATTTTTAAGAGTTTATCCTTTAAAAAAATTCTTCTTCTTATTATCGTTACTTCATTTCTTATATTGCTAAGTCTGCTTTCTATTTTAATGTGAGTTCAGTTTTATTCATTGCAGATTAAGGTTGGGTCAGCATGATCTCAGATGATTTTGGCATAGCAGAAGAAATAAGTGTTAACTACTTGTAATCGTCTTATATTTTATCAATTTTATTAAGTGATGACTAAGAGTTTTAATGCGAATGTGGTTGTGTCTTGATGTGGTTTCCAACTTATCTCATCACAGTTTTTGATTACAATTGCTTTTACTCTTGGCTAACAAATTTAGGAGACATGAACCCTTTTGATTTGAGCAGATCTGTTTATTATACTTTTCTTTACGTTTGTCTCAGTTTTTATAATAAACAAATACTATTGTTATGTAATCCTTAGATTATTCTGAGAACCATTTGATCTTAGCAACGGACTTTATTATTGGATTAATTATTTGTTAGCCTGGTATAAATTAATTTAGTTACTTTGAATTCTATTTGTAAGGTCTGGGAATTAGAGAATCGTGCTTAAATTTATTCTCTATTTGAGAGATAACTCATTAATGCTTGGGGAGGGATTTCTGAAGACTAAGTTTTATGATGTTATCTTTTTGGTGGCATAAAAATTAAATTTATAAATAAATAAATGTCAAGTTTAATATTTAGAAAATTTTTAAAAGAAATACTGTATAATATCCTTAAAATTGTCTTAAAATAATATTATTTTTTGTGGTTCTTATTTAAAATATTCTATAAACAAAATATTATAGTCATTATTTACTTTTTACTCGATTTTAATCATGAATTAGATGCATCAATTCATTAATTTCTGTTTAGAATTCTTTACTTACGCTTTATTAGTACTTTTTTGAACTTCTTTAATTATTAATTCTGGGTTTGAAGGTACAATCAACCATTTCTTTTTATTATTATTTCTTTTATTAAATATCTATTTTATTTTATAGTTTTTGTTTCCATTCTTCATTTCTTTCTGCAATTGCAGTCACTCTTGCAGTTTATGCTCTATGTATAGATTAATTATTCTCCTGTTCTTTTTATTGTTCCTTCACTTTTTGTTTTGAATAGCACCTTTATCGTTCATTTTATTGCAAATAGTAAGAACTACTTTTGTGATTGATCTTAGAGGATGAATAATTTTACGTTCTCATCCTTTCATAATTGTAAGGTTGTTTTTTAGCAGGAGAAATGCTTTATGTATATTATTTCATGGATTTTTGAGATTATTAGGTTTCGTTAAAGTTTTTGATTGGAGTTTATGTTTATGTTTATTATTCATTATTTTTTATTGGATTCGGTTATATGAGGATTTGTTAAGATGAAATTTGTTAGTTCTGAGACTATTCTTAATTTTCTATGCATTTGGGTTTGATTGTATCCGGACTCAAACTTTTTGTGTTTGCTTATTTTTTAAATGAATCACTGCTTCTCAATTATTCATCATAAAACTTGATTTTTTATTAAATGGATCTTTGGATATTTCTGATGATACAAGATGATTATTTTGCAGTAATTTTTGCATTAAACAACGATTCACTCAACTGAATTGTCTCCTTGTCTACCTTTGTACGCGAAACTACTTTTAAAGCATAATTTTATTGATGTATTCTCCTTTTCTAAGTTTGAGCAAAAAAGAATGCTTCATGTTTATCATTCATTTGTAATTTAGATTGTTTACTTATATTAAATAATTTTATTGTGTATTTATTTTAATTATTCATACAGTTTACAGTAAGAAAGAGAAACAATAACTAAAATAGATGATGTAGATTGATATAAAATCACTGAACTCACACTTTAATCTCTTTTCTTCTTTCTGGTTCTAACTCTTCCTCCAAAGATCCTAGTATTTGAAACAAAATTGAGCTTAAATATGAATTTTAGAAACCCTAATGATCAAAAATGAAACAATACTTCGGATGTTAAATTAGGTTTGATGAATTTACATAAGTTGAAATATCCACTATATTCTTAGTCTCCTAAGAATACTCCCAAGGATCGTTTGTATCTGTTTATCAATCTACCTTAGTAATATAAAAATATCCCCAAATTGTTTTAGGGCAGTCTGCAAATACCGTAAGCCTCAGTGCACTCATTCAATCTATTGACTAACTTTTCGTTTCCCACCATTACTTTGAACTTGTTCTCCATCTTATTTTTGATAGATGAAAAAGCTTGAGGTTGATCATTTACAAACATCTTGTAAGGAAGTTGATCCAAAGAATAGAACTTGATATATTCCTTTAAGGAATAATCAGGATATTTAATGGCTTCCTCCTTCTTGAGATCAAAAGCTGCATATGTATTTGAGACAATATCATCATTGTAAAGGTTTAATTCAAATACTTTCTAATGAGAATGTATTTTTGCAAGATCAAATATAAATATCTTTGTGTAGTTATAATTGCAATTAATTATGAAGTCTTCTTCAGTCAAGAGATGAGTGATAGCACTCAATAAGACATTTTTACTTTCCGGAGAATCGACTTTTCTCTCCTTTTCACTACTAATTGTGAGAGTGTAATTGTAGAATGTCAAAGATTCATCATTAGGATTTAAAAGGTTATTCATTGATATAAAGCCAACATAATAATTATTCTACGATTTATGACAAATCATAACACTATCACCCAACCGAAGTGAGGCAATTTTGAAATTCAATGCATATTACTTTTTGTTGAATTATTACTATTCTTCTTAAATCAAGCCTTCACCTCCATTTCTAGTAATCTATTCATAGTCTTATTTGTTTAAACATATCTTCTTCTTTGGAATATCGAAATTAAATAGAAAATCACTCAAATCCTCTAAATCCTTTGTTTCTTTCTCAAATAAAATAATTAAAGGTATCTTCTCTTGCATATCATCAGTTGTGTATTAAGATTTCTTTCTTCTTAGACGATAGGCATATTCAATTTTCAATTCAGATGCTTCAGATATTTTGGCATTGTCTAAAAACAACCCAAAACAAGACATCGGTGATTAAACGAGTTTCGAAATTCTAATTTTTATACTTATTAATAAATTACTCATCAATGAAGGTTAAGGATAACTTTGGTTAACGAATGGCATTATTCTCTGCTACCTTATTGAAAGAGATGTCCTCCTCCTATTAATTCCCATAAATCAATTAACAATATTTACAAACATTCTTCATCTCATCTCTTGAGAACTTCTATAAATGATTTTCACTATCCTTTAAGTGCAATACCATAATGTCTTCCAAGACTTCTCCCATGCTTCTCAATCCTCCAAACACAATCAATTGATCTTTAAAAACTATACAACTATGTGAAAATCTTGGCTAAAACATAGGAGTCTTGGATCTTGGTACTAATTTGCTCCAAGTCTAACACTTTAATTAAGAAATTCTACCCTCATGATAGTCTCAAATATCCAAATATCATTCTTTGGATATATGGGCTTTTCCTCTTCATCCACATTCTAAAAATTATCCTCTTAATCCTACTCCATAGCCTCTTCTTCATTATCCTTTTATTAATCATATTAATAACTAGTTAATATTTCTAAAGATATACCCTTCCCCTCCTATAATAAACAGAAATCTATCAGCATATGCCACTGCAGAATGAGATGCACGAGGTGTGGGCTGCTATGATCCATTTGGCTTGATCTTCTCTATTTTAATTGCAATGTTGTTTTCGCCATTCTACTTTTTGTCCTCTATTGAATCTTATTAGTCAAATCTTTGTTGTAGATCATTGATGTTCTCAAAATCCAATTTATACAAATCCTTATAAAATATTAATTGTTTTTGTGACATTTAACCTTGACCTCCAAAAATGTAAACACTCTCTCCAATCTTATTTGCCGTATGACTTTCTAATTTAATCATCTCGTCTCCAGTGAAATTTACGATTTATAGAAATTTGTTTGTTTTTATATCATATAACCAATGAGACTCTGTCATAGTGTTCTGTACTTAGTCCCAACCTCCGTATATGTATATTAATCTCTATGATAAAGCAACCATTGAATGTCCTTCTCTTGCTTACATGTCTTTTGGAACTTATATTTCCGTCCACTCTGATGTGTCAATGTCGAAGCTCCAAAAATCACCCATAATTTGGTCATTACTAGACCCTCCAAAAAAATAAAGCTTATTTTGAAGGCAAACAGAGCAATGGGAATCTCTACCAGCTGGGTGATTGGCGGAAGGACTGGCCAATCTTTCCCATTAAAATGTTATGCAATCCATACGATAGATTAATTCCCATTATTTGGCATTGTCTGATTTGCCACACCCGCTGAAAACATACATGTATTTATCATGCAAGACAGCGGTATGGCCCCATCTCTTGCAAGGATAATTTGGACTTTTCCTCTTGTTTACACTCGAGTTTTTAGATATCCACTATGCATTTCTAAAGATTTTTGTTGGGATTGTTGTTATCTCTTATTGAATTTAATTCATATAATTTTATAATTTAATTAATATTCATGATCACAAATTAAATTAAATATTCATTCGCCCTTTATTCCAAATACTTCCTAGTGTCTCAACAATATAATTAAGACATGTATTATCATCGCAGTACCGAATTTATCACTTATTCATTATTAGTCCCTTTGCGTTCAGAACACGAAAACCAACTCTAAAAATTAATTTCAAAAGGCGCCTAAATTATAGGCGGAGCTCAATTCCCATACAATGGAGCATATTACATCATCAATACAGAAGATGACAACAACATCAAATCCTTTATCAATAATGATCCATATACATAAAATAATTTAGCGAAAACCACCTATGAACAAATCTACCCCCAAATTGATAATTTTGATCAATTAAGTTAGCTCTATAGTTTTAAATGAAGAATATATATGAATAGAATTTTATATATTAATAAAAAACAATTTCTTTATTTTATAAGAAATATTATTGTTATTATATATAATCATTATTCTGAAAAAATGAATCTATAATTAATTATGAATTCGAGAAATAATGCCAATCTCTCTATATTATATTTATGAAGATTTTAAAGAAAAAATGTTTGTTGTTAGAAGAGTAATTTAATTTTCAGTAGTCTGGAAATTTTAATGGTTGTATTAAAGCTTCTTATTTTAACTCAGCTGCAACTACTTATTCATGCTATTATTAGTATTGTGTAGTTGAAGACTCAATATTTATAAGCATACGTTGAAAATTATATAAGATCCTATTAAGTTTAATTTTTGATTTTTTTAAACTCAATATCTCCTTTGCAGAAATTTCATGCTCTTCATTTGATTAATTTTGATTCACTAACCTATAAATGAATGAATGATGAATCATTTTCACTTAATATGGTTTTGTGTAGAATTTGAATGAAATAACATAAAAAAATATATAAGTTTATTAATATTGGGAAGTGAAAATTTTAATATCATTTTGATTATATTTCAATTAGAACCAGACTTGGGTAGATCATATTTTAATGAATAATGTTCTTTCATTTACAACAACAATTTCAATAATAAAAACTTATCAATTAGTATTTCGGCAACAATATATTTTTTCTAAAGTAGGTTGCTAAATTTGATAAAATGTTAAGAAAATCAAAAACATCTTGTTTCACACACATACTAGAGTGGCGCCTGAACATAAATAGAAGTCAAATCCATTAATATAATTTAAGAAGATAAACTAGAAAAAAATAATTAAAAACTGAAAAAAAGATGTCATAAAAATTTGGGAATAATTAAAGTTAAAAGAAAATACAGACAAGGTATCCAGAATATTTATTATTATTATGATTATCATGTAAAAAATAATATTTTAGGTTTACTTATTTTTATCCCCTTGCTTGCTTATCAAAATAAATGACTAAATTAAGAACATGATATATAATGGAATGAATGTAGAATCAATTATTTACAAATGGAAGTATTAAAGTATAAAAATAGATCTGTATCATATTATAAAATAAAATTCATTTCCTTAATCTCATAAGAAACAAAAAGCTTGAGACTGATATGAAATTGATACTCTCATTATCATGTTTAGTTAGGAATTGGCAAGATTGGGACCATTAAAAAGTAATCTGTACTATACAAGAGTTAAAATTCAATGATATTGTTTGATTGAGGTATAAACCGTCATATTAATGTTCATTATCAATTTAGATTAAGGTAGAGGTATCTATAAAGATGTCTTTGGATAGTTTAATTAATAATTATTTTAAATTGATTGCATAGAAATAATCCCTCATCATCGTTTATATTTATTTCATTTTAATTACCCGTTTTTATATATTATTATTAAATAATGAAAGTGACAATCGCCCTTGTATTGTTAGTCGCATTGGCATCAGCCACATCTACTCAAGATTAAATTCTTGCTCTCCTTCAAACAGGAACAAAGGCAAGCGATGCCATAGACACTGTCTTTGGTTTATTGAACGATTTGATTCAATCAAATAAGGATGCTTAATTTGCAGCAGATCAAAAGAATGAAACAGATGAATGGATTGGCGCATAGTAATTATGTTGATTAATTGTAGGACAATCGAGTAATTCACTAAAATCAAGTCTTTGAATCAAAAATTATTCCAATAATCAATTGAAAACAGAGCCCAATTTGAATAAGATCTCCATGACACAAAGAATTACCTTGCTTGGAACGAATAAAGATAAGATGAAATAAATAGAAAGATCTAAGTTCTTCTTGACGAATAATGTCTTAGCAATCAACTCTTTGTTAGATCAATCAAACAAAACAGAGAAGCTCTTGAAGTTGTCAGAGTACTCAAACAAGATGTCGCAGGATACATTATCAACGGAGACTCCTTTGAATTAGTTTAAGTCCACAGTGTTGCTGACAAATTGAAACAATATAGCAACACATTCTAAGAATAGGAGATCCAATCATTCCTCTAATTGGCCAACAAATAAGAAGACGGAGCATCAAGCAGAGGAGCAACCTTGGCAGAAAGAGTCTTGGGTGTCTTGGAATCCCTTGAAGCCAACCTTTAAGCCTCACTTGAAGCTCTTGAAGTCAACGAGATCAATGCATCATGGGAATTGGCTGGTTGGGTTTCTTTGAGTGAAGCTGAAGTAGCAAACCTCAAAGTTGAATACGAAAGAAAATAAGTCTATGCTGACAGATTAGCTACTGTAACATTATTTAATTAATTATTCTCTAGTAAATCTAAGCTGCCTTAGCACAATAAGCCAAATCCAAGATCATCCTCTAAGAATCACAAGATGCTTTAGATCAAGCCTTATCTGATTTGGAAAACAAGAGAGCTGACTATGCTGAAGCCAAGGCCAAAAGAGATGAAGAGAATGCCATCCTTGCCGAAGTCATCACTATGTTCAAGAAATAAGTTGCTTCATGGTCTGGAAGATGAGATTCATCATTTTATATTCAATATAAATATGAATTCATTTATTCAATGTTTCATACAGCAGGCAGTCAAAATGTCAATATCAGAGACCTATGTTTAGAAGATCCCCAACATCTTTGAAATCAACACCCTCCTGATGATAACTTTCATATTGTTATTTGTCTGGCGAATAATCACATTGAAGACTAAAGCATTATCGAATCCACTCAAGATCTTGGGTATAGCTACTTTGAAACTAATTCACTATGTTTCATCATTTTATAGTCTCATCATGTTTTCGTTTCTGATGTAACTATCTCTCATATAATAAGTTCATACGTGGCAGATTAATTGGCCTTTAGGAATCTTAACAAAATTAAGTTGATTCAATTTTTCTTTGTTATTATCATATTCTGTTGGGGAACAGATATAAATCTATTTTCACTTACCCTCGTAACTCTAATAGAAAAAATTACTAAAAAAGTCATTTAATCACAATAAATATAAAAAGAGGACGAGATCTCCACTATTTTATCATATGTGTTAGCTTTGGTCATAATTCTCAACATATCTATCTATGAAGTATCATTATTGTAACACACTAGATGCTGCTTTCAGAAGAATTGGAGGCATTTAATATCATGGAATTCCCTCTATTCAATTTGTTAATGATAGGCTTATTCATGTTGGCCTTGTAAAAAATAACCTACAATATCACAACAGAGCAACACAATAAATTTATAGGTGTCATAATGTGTCTCTTATTTTTGATTTACGAGTTGAAAGATAAATTACATGATCCCTTCAATCATTAAGTGATGTGGGTAAGTCTCTCAATATTAGCTGCCTTAAATATCTTTGAGAATACTGAAGAAGAATTGCAATTGATCTAAAGTAATAATAATAGAGTGTTTGGAGAAGATGAAATTTCATTCTAAGCATTCATAAATCATTTAAAAAATAATTCAGACTCAAAGAAATTGATGATTCAACTCTCCCTCAACTTTTCATTTATGTTTGTTGAATTAATCTATGGTTGGATAAGTAACAGTTTGGGATTGATCACAGATTCACTACATATGCTCATTGATTCAAGTGCATTGGCCATAGCATTGTTTGCCAGTTTCATGGCCAAAAGAAAAGCGAATTCAACCTATACATTTGGTTTTGAGAGAGTAGAAATATTATCAGGCTATGCTAATGGTGTGTTCCTACTGTTTGCAGTCGTTGAAATAATCTCAGAATCCTTTGAGAGAGTCATCACTCCTTAGGAAGTGCTGCCTGAAAAAATGTTGATTGTTTCATTCTTAGGATTACTGGTTAATGTGATTGGGTTATTCTTCTTTCATAATCATGGACACATTCATTCAGAAGAAGTGGATGAATAATTGGAAGAAAAACACCATCATCATTGTTCTCATCACCATGACCATAATCATAATTTGTCTGGAGTATATTTGCATATTCTAGCTGATGCTTTGGGAAGTGTTGCTTGTATCATTTCTGCTTTGCTCATATATTACTATCAGTTCCATATGGCTGACCCCATAGCCTCCATCATCATCTCTTTACTCATTCTTACAACTACAATTACATTACTGAAAGACACTAGCAAAATATTATTAATGCATGTACCATATTCAGGAAAGAAGGTTTTAGCTGCTATTTCTCACGATGTAATTATTATTATTATCAATTTACAGTTCAATCATAGAGGGTTTGAACCTCAAGAAATGAAATTGTGGTAATATAAGGAGAAGAAATTGATATTTACTGCGAGATTCTAAATCAAATAATCAGATGAAGATTAAATTAAATCTGAAATAGATGGCATTGTTTCCAAACATAAAGATGTGATAATTAATGCAATTGATTTTGATTATGTTGACTGAATTAATTTTGTGTTAATTTACAATTCATATAATATATTTAAATGGAAGACTAATTTTCTGAAGATTATCATCTTTCTCTTCACTAGGTTCAATTATCTCTAATCCATCTCTTTTTTTCTTAGAATCGAACCATTACTCACTTACCAACAGTCAAAAGAATTAAATAATTCATAAAAAGGAACAAACTGATATTATAAGTCAAAGATAGACTAATAATAATAGGTTATATTTATCCAAAAATGAAAAAACCAATCTCATCAATTTTTTCAAAGAACAACTTATTTAGGGGAATTAAATGAAAAGATAAAAATAAATTTTTTGTGATCCAATCAAAATTAGGCTCCCAACTTTCAGTCCTACCAGCAAATTTATCTTAATTTGGCAAGTTTTTAGAATTATTTAAATTATGTTTTAATTGTAGTGGGTTCCTTTCAAAATTTCATTTAATCCTTAGAGTTCTACTGATACAGCATTTAGTTTTGGATTATTCATAAAATTATCATTATCTTGTTTGTTGTTGAAGAATTTTTTAAATTTATTATTTTATCCTATAAGAAATTTACTATTGGTATTGAAATGTCTGCTTTTGAATTCTATCAACAAAGAAGTTGTTTTAGAATACTCTTAGAATACAGTGACTAGTTCTTTAAATAGAAATTTATGTATCAAAATATCATCACATTCTATCTGCTATATTCTTATTAATTTACAACTATCATAGGAAAATGTATCTAGAAATTATACCATTATCAATTCACATGTAAGAAAGGAATAGTATACCCTTTGGTAACTTTATTGCTCTATTAAGTTTTCTACACTTTTTGATAAGCTACATTAAATTCACCTTTAGAATGACTCAAAACATAATGAATAATTAATAAAAATGTAAGAATTTATTTTTAAGAAAAAATCACCAATTTAACTATTCATTTGTTGATTTTTTCAACCTTTATTCTTGAAACTTCATAAAATTTGGTAGTGTTAAATTTTCTTCTTACAGCTTACAATGTATTTAGGTCTGCTGTTTGTAATAACTAACATAATTCTTTAGCACAAGGTTTTAATGAAGCTTCGTTTTAGGTTCTATAGTTTGGAGATCTAATACTAAGATTGTATAATACCTTATTTTATTAACTAAAAAGATGGCTGCTTCTGTTATTAAGGATGGTTTATACACTATAAATTTGTATTCAACCAAAGCAAGTTCCAATATGTATTAAGCCAAAGCCTTATTTTTGGGATCTAATTCAGAGGAGAATTTTGATAAGAATTAGTAAGCCGTTGGATTACAAATATTGAAATTCAGGGCTTACAATATTAATCCTTCCATTTCTAATACATCACTCTTAACATAAGCATTATCTGTAATGTACACAAAATCTTTTAATGCAGGTGGGTATATTTCCTCATATTTACATGCTATGAAGAGGGCTGCTACCCCTACTAATTGCAAGCGTAATCTTGTCACTTATTCCTTTGCTAAATATCTATCTATTAAGGCAATAGTAAGATATAATGTTTCATCTCTTAACTTAAATTTAGCATGCACATCAATTAGCCAATCTACAAGAATTGCTCTCATTTTGATATTTATGTTAGGCTACATCTCAGAAGTCATATATAAATCTATTTGATATTTATTCTATGTAAATTAGTAATTATTAAATTACCTCTTCGATTAACAAATGTTGGATTATTTCATCTTAGTACAATGCTACTTTTTGAGGATTTTTAGTCTCTTTGGACTTTTCACTCTCGATTTCAATTTAAATTCTTTCCGATTCTCTTCTAAAGATTTTATTTTCCTTCTCATCCAAGCTGATTGCAAATACTCTGGGAATAATTGAAAAGGGTTTTTTTGTTTTTTCAACGATCACCCCTGATTCCATCGACTAATAGAGTGATGAATTAACAATTTCTTTTCCAAAACACCTTTGATTTTCGATGATCATTCTGTTAATGTTAAATAAAATTATTATTATCGTTAAAACTTAATATTATATAATTAAGAACATATTAATTAATTAATTCTGAAATTTGATATCAATATTTTCATATTTATCAAATTTCTTATTTTTCTTGTCACATACGGCTAAAAGTCTCAACACAAAATTAAAATTACGTTCACTTTTAAGTTTAAAAATTTTAGATTTGATTGAAAAATTAATCAATATATGATATTTTATTAAATATGGATGGATTTAAAGGAATCTATGAATACTAAATTTTACAGTAGTTTTATTTATCACTCGATTGGAGCAATACTAAATAATTCTCCTCTTTTGGAAATGTATCACCTAAAAATTGCAGATAACGATAATTATGACCAAAATTAGTTTTACCTAAAATAAGACTCCTTAAATGTAGGCAAACATATGCTAAAGTCTTCATCAGTATATTCAATCTACATCTTAATAATATTTACTTTACATATTCATAATCATTCATTTTGTTTATGGTTTATGGCCAAATTATATTCTTGATAAATATTTATATAGATTATTGCACATTTAATATAACCCTATTTTCGTCGATTAATGCATTTTTTTTTTTTATAAATCCAAAATACATATTTTTATTTACACTGAACCACTTAGAAGATAATTAATAGTGAAAGATCAGTTTAGTAAATATAAAATAGTAAAGAATGAATTTATAAGAGGATGCAAGATTTACAAAGAGATAATAAGGAAGAAGTAATTAAAATAATAAGTATTTTATTCTAGTAAGATTAGAGGAGCTATTTTTAAAGTATAAATAATTTGAAGAGTGAATTGATAAGATATTAAGAGTAGAAGGTACATTAAAATTGGATAAGACTTTACATTCTATCAAATATAACCTAACTTTTAAGGAAATTAATTTATACCTATTAAATTAGCTTGCCTCTTAATTGTTTAGATAAGATTTTGGAATATCAAATATGTTTAGTGAATATATTGTATCTCTTATTTTAAATTACTTAGCTTACGCAATTTTAGGAGATCTAAGCTAATTTTATGAATTATCTGTAAAATTAGGGATCAGGATTTCAAACTCATTTTTCATATTGTTTCTCATTTTACAGGCACTCCTTGAGATAACAAATTTGTTGTATCTAATTAATTTTAAATATAGAGACAGTACACTGTAAAATTTATTGAGCTATTTAAAGGTTTTATTTAGAGTTTATGCAATTATACATACAAAGAAAAGGTTGCAATCTTAAAAAAGATCAACACAACTATAAACTAATTCTATTATGTCACGAATAATGAATATAAACTAATAATACTCATTATATAGATGGAGATTTAGGATAATTCATCATAATCAACATATAAGATCATTCAAGAAAAAAATTATCAACAAGAAAGAGTATCAGTAGAATTGGTCTTGAGAATGCATTATAGATATAGAGCCATCAATAAATTCAAGCAGCTTTCATTCTTATATAGTGTGAAAGTAATGCTTTTTGTATTTATTTAGAAAATTGCTGCTAAAATAATTGCAAATCTTCTATTAATAGCATTGTTTGGCATTGTTTGAGTTGTTACAATTTATTATACGATAAATAATGTAGAGATGTTTAATTGGAATTAATTTATGTTCAATAGTTAAAATGCTTAGGTATTAACTGCCATAAAAGAAATATTTACTATAAAATGTAGAGAATATAATTTTAATAATACAAATGCCTTTATCAATCTTTAAACTTATTGTAATTAAATCTCCTTAGAAAATCCAGTATTTTATGAATCGAACATTGATGAAATATTGTATTTATTCGATAATAATATTAGCAATGGGGATAGGATTTATGTAACTTATTCTCTTAAAGTGAAATCAGTCTTGAATAATGATCTTCTCATGAATGGAACATTGACTAGAGGGATTAGATAATATGATTTCTTGCTTTCTTAGTTGGCTTAAAATTGTTGAATCATAATGAAGAAAAGATACGATAACATTACATTACATACTCAATCATATATGAATTTTTTAAAGTATTTGTGATGGAATTTAGCTATATTATTCCTTTTTGATCATAACTTACTCGCAAAGGACATGTGGTTTAAGTCTCAATAGATACTCTATAACAACATGATTAAGTCAGTATTATATTATTGTAATTATAATAGATTAAACAGAATAACTATTATTATTGGGATATGATTTTATTTTATAATAGTTAACGAATTAAGTTATGTTTTGTTTATAAAGAAGGAGTATAAATTTATAAAATTTTGTATAAATCATTCATGCCAAATGTCTCTATTAACCAATAAAAAGATTGAGATTAGAGTTAATCAAGGCAAGATTTATTAGAAAAAGATTTCGTTTCCAAATATGAAATTAATATAATCTTAATTGTTAGCATAAATTAATAAATAAAATAATGATAACTTACATTGTATGCATATTTGGTAATTGTGGATAAAGTTTATTTTTGATTGAAAAATATGATTCAATCAAATAATTTATTTGAATATTTATGAAATAAGTTTCCTATCAATTAATATTGATTTTATCAAATAGTAAACAATATTAATTATTTTCATAAATATAAATTTTTATTAAAAATGAGTGAAAGCCAAGAATCATCGGAATTTCAGTCAGGCTCATCGAAACTTGAAAATAAGTACAATTTTCATTAATAAAAGGAGAAGTAACTAATTAGGTTTGACTAATGTTGAAAGTGGAGATGAATTAATAAAAAAGAAAACAAAATTAAATGATGAAAATGGACAAATTAAAATTTCAAGAAAGGTAAGTGACGAACTAATTAAAATATTTGAGAGATTGCCAAACGATTAAATCACAAAATTATTGGATGCTATCAAATTCAAAAATTCACGTATCTCTCAATTTAATATAAATAGCTGATTTACCTGTTCGAGTTAATCTTGTTGATCTTATGCAAAAAGATGAAGATTTTGTTTTGGATAGTTAATCTGACTCACAAAAAGAAAAAAAAAGAAAAAAAAGAGAATCCAAAGAAAAAGAATGCAGATGTTGCAAGTAAGTAGTGAAACGACATCATTGTACACATACAGAATGCGAGAAGCCTTGCTAAATCTAAGAGAAAATGAAAAAAAACAAAACCTGAATATTGAATTAATTTCTATACTAAATTTCCTCTTTATATTTTTCATATTTAATCACTAAAATACCTAATTGTGATAGAAATGGAAAAATACTAAACTATATCCAATAATAATTGAGTCGAAACACTAACCCAATTAAATTGATGTATATCTTGACAACTCATTGCTAAAATTTAAGCTCAATTTAGTATTCCTTAATATAAAAATAATGATATTTTTATTAATTATAAAAATAACAACTGCATGGAAGTCAGAGAGTGTGAAAGAAAATATATAGACATGTTAGATCTTTCAGAATCCAAATTAACTAGAATGTGAATTAAGTGATTTAGTTGTATTCAGATTGGACTCTTATTACGCAATTTGTTTAATTTCATCTGAGATTGGGATTTAAAGTTTGTTATATGAAAATTCGAGTGGAAATTAATATTTCATTTGCATACTTAAAGAATAGATTTTGATGTATAGTTTGCCTTATGCTTGTGGGAGTTCCTTTGTGTTGTTGTAACATTAGAACAAATTTTCAAATTATTCATTAACTAAGGACGATTCATATATGTACATTTTTGGGGGGTTGGATGATTCTTAATTGGTGAATCAATTGTACAAATATAGCTTAGGAGATCTCATAAATAATCAAGTCACTTTTTCAGTTCTGCCTAATAATTTTATATAAAAATTGACTGTAAATTTAGAATTATGGGATGGGACTGCTGAGGAATTCTAATTTTCCTCTAACATACCACAGTTGTAAAAACTAAAGAATTTAGGATATGAATATAAAATTAGTTCAATTTTAGAAAATTCATAGTGCTCGTCTTCAAACATTCCAAAATGCTTATAACAAAGTGTTCTTGTCTATGTAGATGAATGCAATTGCATCAAATTATTTTATGGAAGAAATGCTAACAACGTCAATCAATACGAATCGTGGAATTACTATTTAGATGAATAAGTTTGGTAAAAAACAACTATAGATTCAATGATAAAAACTGCAAGTTCTCCAATAGGACAATATTTACCAGAAATAAATATGGTAGGATTTTTTACAGAGAATGCATATTTCTTTTATTATGATTCGTAATGGTATAACAATTATGATTAATTAACTTTTGGATCTACATTTAAATAGATGATAGTTTATGATAAAAAAACCTTCCTATTAAATACTTCGAGTATCCTATATAGTTAAAATGACCTATAAAATGCGAAGAGTTAATAATATGGGATTTACGTTTGTTAAGATAATTATCGTGGGTATAACTGTTAGATTTAAGATTATCAGTGCCCAGGTAGCATATGTTTTAACGATTTATTGTTTGAGAGAATATGTGTGTTTTGTTAAGGACATGGTACTTGTTAATATGGGAATTGTAAATGTGATGATGGATATGGTGGAGATGATTGTAGCTAATATGAAAAATGTTTAAATGACTGTTCAAATTAAGGAACTTGCATTTAATATTATCCAACACCTCAATGTAGATGCAAATAGGAGGATAAAAGGGGAGGAGAAGATTGCTCAACAATATTCTGTCTAAATGATTGTTCCAATAATGGAGAATGTAAGGATGGAGTTTGTAATTGCATTACTGGAGTCAAAGGGGATGATTGCAGCATATTAAATCTAAAATTTATTGATGAATGATTCTGAAAATTAATAAATTTTGTTGCAACTTATTGAATATTTTAAGATGGGTTTATAACCATTATTATTGATAATTTAATTATAAAATCATATCATTGGATAAATTCTACATCTGAGAATTCAGAAGAATTGTCCAATTTGTTGCTAACTTATTGCTCTGAAATTTAATACTAAAGTAGAAATTTAGGGCATTAAGTTTAAACTAATTTTATAGGGATTGGTTTGCGTTTCTATTAATTAATATTTAATTATTTAATGCTAGGATTTTTTATTGATGGAATGTAATCTTAGATTAAATTTTTGAGTATATCGTATTGACTAAACTCAAATTTATCATAATAAGACTGCAACAAGTCAATTATATCAAAAAATGAGTACAGTTTGTCCTAGATATCCAATTTGAAGTAATATTTGAGATAATAAATATTAATCTACATCTGACTAAGTGATGATTCCTTCAGATCTATTAAATTGGAGGATCTTTTTTATGTAAATATTTGATATTCCAGAAATTAAGGATAACCATGATTGTCAATATAAATTACGTATGGTAATACTACATTAAACAGATTTCCCAAATAGTAGATTAATTTATATACTTTAATTATTGAAGTTATAAAATTTTCATAGTATTGGGCATTATCATGAAAGTATTCTTTCCATTAGACTGTACTTTTTTTTAGAGATAAGCATATCTCACCTTTTTTTGTGTTAATTTTTGATGTTGACAATCTCAACTACTCGAAATCTATGGTTAAAAAACTAGTGCTTAATAGTAGATCGTCCCGTGTTGATGTGAGTTCATAAATAGTGTCATAAACAATTTCTTAAATTTCTTCATTGATTTTATACTAATTGTAAATCATGTGATTATCAAAAAGAAATGGCAATTAAGCAAAAATTATGTACTATCTATATTTTAACTATTTCTGCTTATCTTAAATCTAATTTCTCTTTTTTATCAGACTCTGCTTCTAGCTGTAATATTTCTCTTAAATGGATTTGGAAAATGATTATAATTTATCAATTAATTTCTTATGATCATCCAATTCTTCTTATTGTTTAGCCAAGGTACGCTTCCTAATATAAATGGTATGCTGCAATTTTTAATATTTTTCATTTTATAGACTGACCTTAAGAGCATTTAAACTCTCTTCCACGCCAGCATCCCACTTTTATTTGTTTACTATAAAGTACTCTTCAAATTGGGTCTATAATTATTCTTTCTTTTTTAATAATTCAATCTTTCTCTATTAAATATCGGTTATGCTTTTTTCAAAACTGTTAGTATGACAATCTTTGCAACGAATGATTGGTCCTTTCCCATCGGGAGTACTAAGAATTCTTTTGCAATCTGGTTGTTAACATATTTTCGACTATCGCATAGAAATTTATATATTAATTATAAATAAAGGGTTTTTGGGAGTGTTAAATTTCTTGATCTGAACCCTTAAGTTATTCATAGAATTAAAAAGTGCATTAGATTCATATTTCAAGTCTATAATAATAATATAATTGCAATGAGAAAATTAATTAAAATGAGAAGAAATAATTTGAATTAATGAAAAAAAAATATTTATATATGCAAAGCTTATTTAGCTAATTATTTATGTGAACAAATACATCAGATGTATTCATCTTTCAATTAAGTCACGAAGAAAAAGTTATCGAGGGAATCAAACTCAAGTTACTTTTCAACAGCCTCATTGGATGTGCTTAGAAATTTACCTAAGATAAGGGGGTGGTCTTATGTCACATTCCATTTTAATCCTTTTGTATTGATTCTGGCTTATGTTCCTTATGGAAATAAGCTAATTCCTTTTTCTTGCTCAATTTCAGAGAATTTAAAAGTATGAAAACCTTCCTTAAAATATCGAACAATTGAGTAATCACTTATTATTTCACCAGTGAAGTTAAACTTAACCAAAGTGTGCAAGGAATTTATTGTTTAATCAAATCTCTCTTATAAACCGCCTATGATAATGATATGATGAAATCCATCTAATTATTATAGATAGGTAATTGCTTTTTCAAAATCTGATGTATCTTAATCATCGACTTTAATAATAGAGCAGTTGTGAGATTCATAATATTGTTGGATTTCTGGTTTAAGACTGTCAAGGTCACCAATAATGCATTTAGGAATAATTTCCTTTTTATATTCATAAAGTTTGTTAGCACCACCATCTGCACAAATAAGGAAGACATTTTGGTTGTAATAAAAATCGAAGACCTTAAGATTGATTTTAGTATTAAGAATCACAATTGCAATATTTTACATAAATAATTTTAATGTGGTTAATAATTATGATCAGTTTTGTGAATATTAAAAAAGAGGTCTTTTTAGTGTAGGAATTAAAAATAGGTGATCAGAGTGGCGAATGTATTTCAATCAAGATTTTTCTGTAATATAAATTCAATCATCATTAAAAAGACATGTAAATTTATAAATATATATATATTTGAATGTTAATTTAATATTTAATGGGATGAGTACATTAATCACATATTAAAATCTTTTTATTTAAAATAAAAAAGTAATGGTCAGCAGATTGAGGAAATGCCGTAAAATGAGAGGACATGTGTGCCACGGATATGGTAGAGTTGGTAAACACAGAAAACATCCAAGTGGTAGAGGTGTTTCAGGAGGTTTAACACATCATCGCATCAATTTCAACAAATACCATCCAGGATATTTCCAAAAAGTACTCATCATTCTCTATACTTTAGACTGGAATGAGACATTTCCATTTAAAGAAGAATACACTTCATAAACCAGTCGTAAATATTGACAAATTGTGGTCACTAGTCACTGATGATACCAGAAAAAAATATGCTAGTTCAAAAGATAAAGCTGCAGTGATTGACGTTACAAAGGCTGGCTATTTCAAAGTCCTTGGAAAGGGTAGACTCCCAAATTAACCTGTCGTTGTCAAAGCCAAATTCTTTAGCAAAACCGCAGAAAGAAGAATCAAAGCCGTTGGTGGTGCATGCATACTCGTAGCCTGATACATTACATTAAAATATCAAATAGACAATATTCATTCAATCTTTTTGAACTACAAAGCACAATTAACTGCTAATTCCCATTATTTGTACTCTTTTTCATAAGACTTTATCCCTTCATAAATTTATTAGACCTTCATATTCTAAATGATCTACTACTCTGTCAATAGTTTCAACCCCACTGCAGCAAACATGGCAGCTCCTGAAGCAGTAGATTCAATGATTTCTGGGTATACTAATTTCTTTTGCGTGATATCAGCCTACAATTACATCAATTCCTTATTCTTAGTTAATCCTCCATCGACATGAATCTTATTAATCTTAATTCCTGATTATTCCATGGCCTTTATAACATCCTTTGTCCTATAGCAAACTGATTCTAATATGGCTCTCCTCAGATGATCCTTTGTGGTGTAATAACTTAAACCAATTATAGTTCCTGTTGCATCGAAATTCCAAAAGGGAGTGAATAACCCACTGAAAGCTGGTACTATATATACTCCTCCATTATCTTCTGTATTCTCTGTACTTTAACTCAATTATTCCCAAGTATCAAACCATTACAATTTGTCTTTTGCCCAGTTGAACAGCTAACCTCCACTTTCAACAGCTCCTTCAAAAGCATAAATTGGCTTCTCATTCTCTTTCTGGTATAAAACAGTAGTTAATAAGCCATACTCTGAGATTCTAATTTCTTATCCAATATTTGCCATAATAAAAAGACCACTTCCTTGTGTATTTTTGCAATCTCCTTCATGAAATAATGCATGACCTATAGCTGCTGCTTATTAATCACCCAAAACACAATTGATAGGTACACCTTCATACTCAGGAATTTTCAATGTACCAAAATTACTATTGGATGCTTTAATTTGAGGCAAACAATTTTTGGGAATGTTAAATTGACTTTTATAATACAAATTAATACTTTAGTAATTCCTCATCCCATTAAAGAGTATGCAAATTCATTAAATTAGTTCTTGATGCATTTGTAACATCTGTTAAATGATTTTATTCCCTTGTCAAATTCCATACTATCCAACAATCTATTGTTCCAAACAATACATTTCCCGAATTGAGATCATCCTTAAGAGTTTTATTGTTTTGAATCATCCATTGCAATTTATATGAACTGAAATATGTATTAATTGGTAATCCAGTTTTTTATTAAAAATAGTTCTTTGGATATTTATTTAAGTATTCTTAACAAATATCATGTGTTCTTGTATCACTCCATACAATTGCATTCATATAAGGTATTGCAGTATTTTTATTCCATGCTACTACAGTTTCCCTTTAATTTGTTACTCCAATAGTCACTAACTTATGCTCTCCATCCATCTTCTTATAGGCTTGTTTAATGCACTCAATGGTATTATTCAATATTTCCATAGGGTCATGTTCTAACCACCCTTGGTGAGGAGTGATTTGTTTGTGAGTGATATGATGGTAACTAAGTTATTCACCATTCAAATTGCAAATAATGAATCTAGTCCCAGTTGTTGAGGAATCAATAGATCCAATTACAGATTACATAATTTATTTATTTAATACGCAATTTTACAATTCATAACTATATAGTGACATTATAATATTAATTAATATTCAATGCAATAAATCAATTTGATTATTATTAATTCTAAGTGCTTTTATCGAACTCTTTTGATTACTATTGACTAATCGATTGTTATTGAGATATTTTACGATTTTGCTTTGAGGAAATAGAATGGTTATCTGAAGATAAAACTTCACTTTAATTCATTCTGCCTTTCTTTTTTGTATAGGTAGACTTGCTTTTATTATCACAATAGTTGAGAATAGATTACAGATCTTATTTACTATTCTTTATTGTTTTGGATTGATACAATCGGTCTACTTATTGTTGTTGTTCATTAAATGATGGTTTGCATAAGGAGGGTAGCGAAAATTGATACTCTTTCATTAAAGATTCTCGAAATGATGAATTACTATTCAGGTAATTACTCAGCTAGCCACTGACTTTCAATTGCAACATTGTTGGCAATTAGGCATACGGACTATTCTATGATTCTTTAGGCAATTTCTGAAAACTCTAGGATTTAGAAATTTAGGGTCTTAATCCTGAGATGCTATTATACTCTTTGATGCTTAAATTTAATGCAGTCATGAGATCATTTTTTAAACTATTGCCATGTACTTGAGAATCCTTCAATTTACTTGAATTACATTAGTAAAATAAATTACTTAAGCAATCTCTACTCTTCATCGCCCATGTAATCACACATTGCTTATTACTCTTGCAATCGTTTAGCGATTTAATCTTTAAATAAATTTTATTCTTATCTAATTTTCTCTATTCGTTCTGCTTTCTTTTATTCCAAATCCTATTTCATATTGAACTCCCATTCTGAGATCTACCTCATTAAAGAAAACAAGTACTCTAGCATATTATTGTTGTTTCTCCAGAAGTTCCTCTTCTCTTTTCTTTTTGTTTTAATACATCTGCAATGCCAATTGTTATTTCACTAATGCAGTTTTCAAGCATTTCTCATCTAGCAAGTCTTGTTTCATCTTCTTAGTGTCCTCCTGTTATTATTATTTATTTTTTCTGATGAAATTATGTATTCCATTATCATTGAGATTGTTAGCCTCCATGATTTTGCTAAGCTATTTAATTGCCAACAATGCATACTTCCATCTGATCTTCAAATTTCTGTTTTTTTGCATACACAATCTTGTTTACTTTTGCCTAAACGATATTGTTGTTGGCTTCCTACAAATTAAGTTATTGTTTCAATTAGATCAACCGATTTTCTAGAGCAGCAAGTTCTTAATTCTTTTGGTTCAGACTTTTAATCTATTGAGTAACAGTTTCCATGTCTGTTTTACGATAAGGAACAATATAATTATAATAATTAATCAAGGATTTTACTCAAATAATACATTAGATTAAATATAGAAGTTTAACAAACTCAATTAAAAGAGAAATGTTAAATTTAAAGCCTCTATAAATAAGAGTTTTCATTTGATTTTTATTTATTTTAATATTAATTTAGAAAATTATATGGATTAAAAATATTAAAAAGCATTGCAACTTGAAGGTTATTTGGAAAAACAAAGTCCAGCTCTTTTGAAGGGATTTCAAAAAAGACATTTTGCAGTCAGAGATAATGGTAAATATTTGGTATATTCAAAAAAAAAAAAATTGAGCAAAGATGTTAAACCGAAAGGTACATTTTTTAAGAAGTTTATTAAGGTGTCATTCCTATTGATTAGATTACGTCGATTGGCGTCATCAAAGGTACTGAAAGAGAATTTGCACTTCAAATAGGAGATAGACAAATGCTGCTGAAAGCAGAGTCAAGCAGCGCAAGAGAATTATGGACATCAACTATTGCATATCTTTAAGAAAAACTATTGGAGCAGAAAGCTCAGGAATCTAAACCTAATTCACATCAGAGTTTCCACTCAAGAGGGTCTGAAAGCGTAAAATTGGTTCAAAAAGCATCTTGGAAGGAATTAGATTCTGAAACTAAAGCCTCGATTATGATGGACAAGGAAAAGTAGGAAGTTCAGGATAAGTTTTAAGAAAATGAGGTTAAGAATGAAGAAGTTATGAAAGCAAAGGGATTATATGCATATCTTGATAAGTTTGACTCAAAAAAATTTGCTTAGTTTGTAAAATGCGGATTTTTGTATAAAAAGGGAAAAATTGCATCACTCACTAAAGCTAAGAGGAGATGGTTCATTATCATCTCCTCTGTCTCTCTTCTAGGAGATGATGCTAATATCTAAGGGCCTGTTTAATCAGATATCCCAGATCGCTTTAAATTAGATCATCTATACTATTTTGCTTATGAGTTTAGGAATGATTAAAGCAGCTACAAAGGAGAATTAAAGGCTAATCAAATTGAAGATTTTGAGTTGTTGAATGTTGACAGAAACTTAGCCTTTTTGAAGCAATTAACACATAGTGTGAGTTACGGTTTTAAATTTCGACATAGGGAACGTCATTATCATTTTTATTCAGATTCAATAACAGAAATTCAATCTTGGGTTACCACCATTAGAACAATAAAGGATTATAAAGCTACACTCCCTGCTGAGTAAGTTGAAAATGAGGAACAAGACTTAGGAATTAAACTAGAGGATGTTTTATTACAAGAATAAATGTAAGTGAAAATTAGCAGAAGAATTCGAAAGGATAAATGGTTTAAAAGAATGGTTTATTTGAAGAAAGATTCGTTAATTTGGGCAAAATAGGAAACAGGTGACTCCGAAAATTATATATTGATTATATCTATAAAAAATGTTATAGGTTAGGACAATGATTTCCATGTAAAACAATAATAAATAATTAGGTATACACTAAAGATGAAAAAACATTCAAGTTTAGAACAAATTCACAAGAAATAAGAGATGAATGGGTTAAGAAGATTGATTTTTTACAATTGAATTTAAAGGGAGAATTTAAGGATTTGGAGAAAGTGACCGAATTGCCACCAGAAAGTGTTACAAAATCTTAATCTATTGAATAGAAGAAGAGTCACTCAATTGAAAAATAGAAGGTTTAGCCTGAAGAAATTGAAGAAAAAACTAATAATAGTTAGGATATTGCTAGTTTTTATGACAACTTTTTCCAATAGAAGAAAGAGTAAGATTAATAAAATAAAGCACATAAAAAGTCTCAATCTAGTGGGAAATCAATATTTCATAAGATTTTCTGTTGTTACTCTCAAGACCATGAAACTGATAGAGGGTTTTGAATAATAATTTATCAAAGTTTTACATTAAATTAATAAAATTATAATTTATTAAACCCAATAACAAACATTGATTTTTAGATGGAGATCATTTAATTTAACTCAGAAATCAAACCCTGCCAATAAAGGAGACTAACATCATGACTATAGGTTATAGGATACCCATAAAAGGGAAACCCATTAAAAGGAAGAATTCAAATTAGAACTGAAGATCACTTTGAAAATCTGCCAATTTTCAACTAATGCAATTAGCGTTTTGATAAAGAGAAAACTTATTACAATGACTGAGATATAAAGATGTGCTATGTAATATGTATTGTCAGAAAGAGATATTTTAGGGACATCTATGATCGGAAGTGGAAAAACAGAATTACACTAAATATCTTTTATTGAGAATCTCTATGTATGTAAAGGACACTCTAGATGGTTTATTAATTTAAACTAAAAGTTAATCATCTATGCAAGTATTAAGGTTTATTTCACTTAATTCTTAACATATTTTATCAATTAATTGGTGAAAAGAATTATCAATATGAAAGTTTAGAATTTAGATGAATGGATTGTATTATATGTAGATCTGAAATCTTTTATAGCATTTTGAAGAGAACTTGGATTTGATGCAAATAATTTAAAAGTCTTGGTTTAAATGTTATAGATGTTAGAATTGGGTTTTTAGACACCTTTAAGCAATAAGGATTACTTTCCAACGAGAAATAGACTAATGTGCAACTCTCAATCTATGAATTCAATGGCAGATGGAATATTTGGAGGCTGAAATAAATTATTTTTTGACTAAGAAGTTAATTCTTATATATAATTTTTGGCGATCAAATAATAGCAGAAGATAAGAGATGATAATAGATCCTAGAAGGATAACAAGAAGTTTTATAGAAAGTTGAAGATAGAACATTAAAATATGGATAGAAGTTACTTGAAAGGGTTGACAATGAATAAGCAAACTAAAGGAACAAAATTAAATAAAAAAAGAAGTCAAGAAATTTAAGAAGAATTTAAATTTTTCTATATATTTATATGTATCATTTAAAAAATAACTGATATTCTTTTTTATTGGATTCCTCCATTTTTTGCTATAAAATTTCCCCCGCATTTTAGTTTGAAATTCCTTTAATCCTACTAGTTCAGATTATTCTATCATTAGTAAACCAAAAAGTTAACATTTTTTGACACAAATAAATCCACCAGTGCCATAGAACACTAATCTAATACGTTATCTGATGATTAGATCTCAATTTAATATGTAAGAATAACATAATTATCCACTAAATAAATCAGATAGGATTTTTAAAGTGATTTTTTTAGTTGGTAGTAATAATAGTAGATTAGTAGAGTAAAACTGTTATAATTTGAGAGTCAATGTAAAACATTTAAATTTTGCTTTTAATTGAAATTTATATATATATGAATATATTGTTAATCATATATCAATATTAAATTTGAAATGAAAATTTTTGAATAGAGTTTTGGAAAATAAGAAGGATTTCAAAAGACCGCTTAATTCTTTAATCCATCAATTGGCAAAATGAATGAACACGTTTAAAAAAGAAGGAGGGAAAACTCCTTACCCCAATAGAACCTTGAAGCTATAAAATCAATATTGTCTAAAACAAAAATACTTCAAAAAAATGTGCTTTGTAGAAAAACTACCATACATTAAATGAATGATTGCAAACAAGAGAATATCCTTAGTCATCAAAGCACGAAATAAAGTACTAAACAAAGTACTCGATTAAGCACATAAGATTCCCAAGATCTTAGTAGTAATATTCCTAAGATTGTGGATTTGAATATAAAGCATCCGATCAATTCTTTTAGTGTTTATAACTAAAAGTCTAGTTTCCACATTAGAAAGCAGACACTCAAGGAATATAGTAGTTAAACAACTCAGTTGATAGAGAATAATTCTATGATAAACAAAATTTCTAAGAGTTTGGAAGGCAAAAAATATTTAATAAAGGTGAAGAATCCTTTTGGAGAATCAAAAGAACAACAAACACAGCCAACAAGAAAATATTCTTCGAAATCGTTCATAAACTAAAAGGCTCAAATTAAATTGGTGAATAGAATATTTTCTTCAAGATCAGAGAGCTTGTAAGAATGAAAAAAATGATTATATATGTTTGAATTAACTTTTTAAAATTTTCAGTGTAAATTTATGTAGATTTGAAATAATTAGGTGAATCGAAATTCTTAGAGCAATTTTGAGTATTGTCTTTATCAGAAGGACTTATGTTGATGAGTATAAATGATTTAAACATCTCAGAAAGAAATAGACTTCCTTAATTAAAATTTCATAATTATTTTGTTTAAAATTAAATCGTTAAATTGTATGTACCAAAGCGCATCAAAAAGTGCCAAAGAATAAACTCTGGTTATTGGAAAGGTATTTTAGTATATATATCAGATAGGCTAGCAATTCCAACTTATCTAGAAGGGTTCAAACCGAGACAAATGATTATGACGAAGTAGAATAAGATATTCAGACATTCTAAGATATATCCAATTTCAAGCATCGCAATAAATTTATATCTTTTAATAAACCAGCCAAAAAACCTATCATGAAAGATTTTAATGCTTAATATCAACAATGTTTAAAGAATGAGAATCAAATTAAACCAATATCTGAAGCTGTTAAAAAATGTCAGAAACCTTAAGGATTAGATAAGATCAATACAAAATCGTTGTTGATCCCAGCCAAGATAACTAGACAAGATTACTCCACCTATACTTACCAAAATCTTAAGGCCATTGGTAGTGGATCGTTTGGTACAGTCTATAAAGTATATAACCAAATAAAGATTTTAGTCTAAAGTAATAGAAACAGGAGAAATAGTGGCCATCAAGAAAGTGTTGCAGGATAAACGATACAAAAACAGAGAATTATAAATACTACAAGAGTTGAATCATCAAAATGTAGTGAAATTAAAGCATGCTTATTTCACACCTTCGGACAACAACGATGAGACTTACTTAAATGTCGTAATGGATTATTTTCCAGAATCATTATACTCTTACAATAAATCATTTAGATAGGCATAGGCTAGGATGCCTGAAATATTGGTGAAGATCTATTCATACTAACTGCTAAGATCAATATAGTAAGAGATCATAGAATAATTAGTTATATATCATTATTATCCATTTGCCATAGAGATATAAAGCCTCATAATATTTTAGTTAATCCTAATCATCATAAACTTCAGCTTTGCGATTTCGGGAGTGCAAAAAAACTAGTAAAAACAGAAGCAAACATCTCCTACATATGTTCGAGATGTTATAGGGCTCCAGAATTGATATTTGGAGCAGTCAATTATGATACGTAGATCGACGTTTGGTCAGTAGGATGTGTGATAGCTGAGTTATTTAATGGAGAGCCACTCTTTTTAGGAGATAGTGCTGTCGATTAGTTAATTGAAATCATAAAGGTACTTGGAACTCCGAATAAGGTTCAAGTATTAAGTATGAATTCAGAATATGACATGCAATAATATAAATTCCCTTAAATTAAAGCGAGGGATTGGAAGAGAGTATTCAATGTTAATATGTAGGTGATAAAAACAAATGATTCCATGGCTACTGATCTGGTTTCTAAATTACTTGTGTACTCTCCCAAAACAAGATTCACTCCAATTTAGGCTTTGGGTCATCCCTATTTTGATTAATTACGAGATTTACATCAAATGAAACAACTATAAGAAATCTACAACTTCAACATTTAAGAATTGTTCGAGTTTAGTAATTGTAAGTTATTTCTAATAAACTTTATTAGTTGAAACTAATAAAATGACCAATGATGAAATTAAGAAGTTAATTCCTGATTGGATCAGCAATAGTTCTTCTAAAATCGTAAAGACAATAGGTTGATATATGATAACTATTAATATTAAATTGCTTTGATTAATATAATTTGAAATAAATTAATTAAGTCATTTATTCCAGAGCATTTTTAGATTCAAATATGTTATATTAATGGTTAACCCATCTTAGCCAATTATTAATTATCCCAATTATCAATGTACACTTCTTCTTCATCTGGTTTTTCTTCAAAATATTGGTATTCCAATTGTTATTACTTCATAATAAAATTTAGCTCCTTTTTATAAACATTTTCACCAACCAATTCCAAATATTCATTTGTATCAACGTATTTCTTTTTTGAGTTATGTGGTTTTATTTTTTCATCAAAGTATTTTTCTAATTTCTTGCTATACAAATTCTAACTTGATGCTAAATTTTTATATATTCATACCATTTGGTATCACTTTTTCAATCTATTAATAAGGATTATCAATAACTTTTGTATTGAAATTGCTCTGTATATCTGACAATACGAAATTTTATTATTAATTTAAATGTTCAGCCTTGTAATCTTTGACATATCTATTTATCAATCTATTCGTCATGGTGATGCTTTTAGGTCTTTATGAGGTTAACAACGAAAATGGAGGTCTATCATCCTTACAATCATACCATCTTAGTCTAAGATACCATAATCTATCGTTATGTTTCTCATCCTCATTCTTTTAAGATTCAATGATATTTAATTTGATGTTTCTATCTCTGTAATTATCTGATCTAACCAGTATAGTTTCAGTAGGAGATCTTTCACAATTTGATGCAATTTAATTATTGACTTACTCCCACTTCTCCTTTGCCTAATCAAACGATTCCAGGGTTCTTTTATCTCTTGTGATTGCATTCCTGAGATGAAGAGGAAGTTTGAGTTCTTATTTACTTTTATCTATTTTATCAGTTTCAATTCTGCGTTTAGCTTCAACTAACTTGATTAAAGCATCTTATCTTGGTAACATTTTAAATTCGCCTCTGGGTTTCTTGGGAGTTTTCCTTGACTAACCCATACCTGAAATTTATGATTGAGATTATTATAAGAGTAAAGGTCTTACAGAAGGGACATCATCAGAGAATGAATCATCTCCTTCTTGCCTTCTTTATTTAATTACAACTCTCTATTTGTTCTTATTTCTGACAGCCAAAAACTGTTCAGCCTTACCAACTATAGACCACTTTACTACCTTCTCCTTTTTGTCATCCTCATATCTCGGTCCAATTTAATTGTCCTTATATTTCTTCCTCTCTTCATTTTTAACCTCTATGTAACGATGATCATATTACCATCGAAGATATTTCTTATTGTTTGCAATGAATTAGGTTTCATAAATATTGATTTGCTTGTACCCAATTAGCTTTTACTTTCGAATTAAAAATCGCTACCTGTAGCAGCTGTGGTGGTTGCAGGACGTAGACTGTCCTCATAAGATTTATACCCTAAGTCAACTTTTTAAGATAAAAATAACTTGGTCTTTGTGCTCATTTTATATATAAATTAATTAAGATGTGGTAATTGATGAATACATTGTTATAAAATTCATTTTTTGTTTGAAACAAACCTCCCTTTCTCTCTCTATCGAGTTTATGCCTTTTTTGCTCTATAATCATAATGGTTCTTTTTAAGAAACTATCTAGTATTTTTTTTTTGTCTATATTTTTAAATTTTTTTCTATCTCTCTTGATAAGTTAAGGGTCCAATCTAAGCCTAAGTTGAGAATTTAAACTAATTGAAGTATTCAATCATCTCCTTCGTCAACCCCTCCTTAATAGGAAGTAATTGTTTTATATCAATAAATTGAGCCAAAAATGCATCTGCCTTTTAAATGTTTGCCTTAGAGAAAGGATCGCTAGTATTGTTATCGTTCATAATTATTTATCTGAATTAAATTACAAAATGTAATTTATAATTATTAAAGGTTTATAGTATGGCATTTTATAATATTTCTTATTTCTCACTAGTATTACGATAGCCTTAATATTTCTGGATTGCTGAGAACTTTCGATCAAAATTAAATGGTAATTTCAAAATTGTTATGTACTTTAACACTTAAGTGATACATTATGAAGTAAACACAATTAATAAATTGGTCGCATCATCTTAAATTATTAGGAGAGCTATCCAGCTTTTCTATTGAATAGGATATAATCATCCTTAAGTATTTGATATTGTTAGAATTAGTTTTTGCTCCAACCTCTATAATTATGAATTGCCAAATCTAGAACTTTTTTTCTTAAAAAAAATTATAAATTTTGAATAATCAAAAAATTAGGTAATGTATATATAATCTATAATTCCTTCTTGAAATATATCAATCTTTAGTATAATAATATTTTGAATCAATCTTGAGTAACCTTATTCAAAAAGACAATTAATGTAACCATAAAATAATCGGAAAAACATTAGTGACATAAATTCATATGGAATAAACGTGGATGAATGCTAAGAGGGAATATAATTGAGTAAGGCAAGTTTAGTCTAGAGAAGGTAATTTCTGTTCCAAAATTATACCCTTTACTAGATTTATAAAATTAATAATAATATCACAAATTTCTTATGGCAAATAAAGTTGGGGCCACTTAGGTTTATGAAACATAACCAATGAAACTCTATGATGAGAATATTGAAAATAATGGAGTGATTGCTCCTTATAATCTATGTCCAAAAGGAGTGTACATTTTGAATATGTGCACCACAATTGCTAACACATTTTTATTGTCAAGTATTAATATATTTGTATAACTCTCAAAAGCATCAGGATAAGTGTATTCTTGGGGAAACAACTGCGAAGAGTTGGGTAGAACATGTGCTACTTAAGCCGAGGCTTCAAGACCTGGCATTATTTCTTTTCAAACAAAAATTATGTAAATTTGTTCTGGGAATAATCATATCCTGGCATTAGATGTAAACGGGGTTGTCTATAGTTGGGGGAGAAATGAGGCAGGATAACTTGGACAGAATGACTTAGACCCTGTTTCTTTGCCAAAGGAGGTAGAATTTTTCAAGAAGTCTCCTGTTGTGTAGATATATGCGGGAGGGGATTCCTCATATGCCATAACCAAAAAAGGGAGTCTGTTTGCTTGGGGTGATAATTCTAATAATCAACTTGGTTTGGGAGATGGAGATCATTCTTCGCCATAATAGGTCATTCAAACACCTTGGGACAATGCAAGAGAAGTGAAAATAGTATATGGGAAAAATAATCTGGGTTATTTATTTAATATTGACAACATAACCAAGGAATAGGAAAATTAGGTTGTCAGTATGTAACTGAAGGAAGCTTAAGAAGAAATTATGAAATTATAATAAAAATTTAATGAGTAACAGAGTTTATCAGCCAAATAGCCTGCTATTGTGGAAAAGACTATGGGTGAAGATTAATTACTTAAAAATATCCAGGCTCAAATTCAATCAGCCACTGGATAATCTAATTCTTAAGAAAATACATTGAAATTGACAGCTGAAGAAATTCTATAATTAGAAAAAGATTTGCAGAGTATTAAATAATAATTATGTAAAATCTTAAGTGATTATGATATTAGTTGATATATTTGCTAAAGAAAACGAATTGAATAATTAAAGGGAAGAGGTTGATATGTAAGTGAGAAAATTAGAAAGAAGTGATTAAGGTAAATCAGCTGAACATGAATTAAAAATAAAAGAATAAAAGCGAATTAAAGAATTATTTTAAGCAAATGACAATATCAAAAATAATTTATTAAAAAGGTAGAATCAATCAGAAGAAACTAAGTTAAGAAAATAAGAAGAATTAGGTAAATAGAAAGAAAAAGCAAAGGATTTATAAAATCTCATTTCTCTATTAAAAGTAGTAGAAACTGATCGAAAAATCACATTAAAGAAAAAGTTTTTAGAGTAGAACAAAGTCGATTTAGAGAAGTTCATGGAAAAGATAACTCATTTCTTTAGAGAAATGTGCGATTGTAACATAGCTGAGATAGCCAAAAAAACTAATTAGTTATCTGGAATGGCCAATATTATAAAATAAAGTAATGAAAAATTATCATATATTAAAAATGAATTATTGGGATTCAAGATTAATTCTAGCGATGAAAGTTATGAGATTTTATCAAAAATTCTTGATATTTTATCAGATAATCTGAATTTGAGAAAAAAACTAAATGATTATATGGTGGGAGTTATTATGATGAGTGAGGAAAAAACATAATAACCAATTAAAGTGCAAGAAATTTAGAGTTAGCAATAAAAAAAGTTATAGCAATTTATTGAGAAGCAGCAAAAGGAATTATAAGAGATCGGAAGACTGTAAATCGATGGTAGAAAATATAAGGCTCAAGTTCAATCAATTAATAATATGAAGCTAAAATAAAGAGATGTAATTCTAAATTTTAATTCTAGTTCTGTTTTGGCTTAATTTGAAGATACGGCTTTAATTCTTAAATTCATTTTATATATGATTTATTTTTAAATTAACAATTAATTAATTGCTTTTCCTTTCATTTTAGGTCTTAACAATAAGATTGGGAATAGTTTAAGCTCTATCCATTGATCAATAAATAGCAAAGTATATATCTTACAATTAAGTAATAACTAAAATTAAAGTCAATTCTATAAGTAAAGAATTATCTTAGTAATATATTACATCTTCTTCATACTAAATAGAGACATTTCTTTCCTCAAACAATCAAGGTTTGGCTGCTTTTCATAATGTTGAAAATTATTTAAAGCTGTATATTAGGCTCAGTAAGTATTTTAACTGAAAATTTTGATATATTTAAATAAGAAGGTAGAAAGATACAAATAAGCTTTAAAAACTAATATTAAATCAAAATTAATATTATTAAATTTGTGTTGATGAATACCAAATGAAAATTAAAAAAATTTATAGGTTTATTATGATACTGGAGAGTACTGGATATTTAGATTGTTAGTTTTCAAAGAGAATTACTATTTTGAAAAATAATCTAAAAACACCATCAAAATTTATCATCAATATTTGATAACGCAACCAAGTGTAGATCCAACCCTGGTATTTTTTATTTTATAATATTTATATTCTACATATGAGAAATATATGAGTGATTAAATCAATAACTTAGGAAAGAAATTATAAATTAATTCAATAAATGTAATCGAGTAAAACCAATTTGATCATTACTACAATCATAGATCACTTATTTATTGAATTTCTAAATATCCCGATGTAGAATATTGCAAGTCTTTGTGTTTGAAACTTTGTGGAATCATTTTTATTTTGTATTAAAGTTTCTAGAAAAATGAATACACATTTTGTTTAATTTATAAATAATATTCATTGAATCTGAAACTATCAAATCTATGAAAACAAAGTCCTTAAATTGAAAAATCGTTTATTGAAAGATGATTTTGGTGAGATTATTAGGTCATTATTAAATTGTTCACTGAGTCAATCTACATTATAATGAGAAAATATTTTATAAAGCATTATTTAATTAAAATTAAATTCTTTTCCTAATGATTTAGAAGAAGTGTCCAAAGTTTATTGGTAAACTTTATAACATTTTAGAGGTAACTTTGAATAATAATGTAGAATCAACTAAGTGAAACTATTCATTGGAATGAGGATGGAGATGCTATTCTTATTAATGATATTGAAGAATTGGTGAAATCAGTATTGAGCGTTCACTACAAATAATCAAATTTTCTCAGCTTCTCAAGGTAATGATCCTCTATTTCTTCTCAGATAATTGAACCAATATGGATTTCAGAAATAAAGGATCGGGAAAAAAACCTATATATTTAAACATCCTTACTTCCAAAAAACCAAGAAGTAACAATTTAAATTTATAAGAGGGAAAATCTCATTAATATTGTGAGTTCTCATAAAATAAAGTCCTTTAAAATTTAACAATAAGAAGGCGATGATGATAATTTAGTTAACATAAATGAGTAAAGTTCTTTGGCAACAACCATAAAAAAATTGTAAAACTAATAGAAGATTATTTGTTAACAATTTTCAGAATAAATTGAATTATAATCTCAAATTAAATAGATCATTATATTCCTTAAAAAGGTAATAGTAATAATATATCAAAGAAAATATATGAGTGCGATCAAACAATCGATAATTATTGTTTCATTGGTTAATTGCATTTGGTAAAAGCTATGAATTTGATTCCAAATGATGAAGAACACTAATAAGAAATAGAATTTATCAAATAAATTTTAGAACAGTTTTCAAATATTTATATGGAATACATTGATTAAAGTTAAGTTAGTTAAAGAAGCTACAATCTGTCAGTAAGATCTTGTACACCTCTTCCATTTTATCAATATGAGTAATCACAACAATAGAAGCCACCTGCTGGACTAATTGACCAAAAAAATACATAATTAAAACAAAATATAGCCAACTATTTGATATGGTTGTAATAGTGGTATTAAGAAGCATTATAACTATATGGAAATTTAAAATGATTTATATTACAATTATTTCGAATATATCAGTTTAGTAGATACTTGACTAATTATTAATGATGCCTATATTTTAAGATCGAGATTAAATTAATTAGAATAAAAATTTATAGATTATACTTAATACAATCTAGTGAAGTTGATATCAAGAGTTTTGAATGGCTTCATCTCTAAGTTGATTCAAATTTTTTTTGTCATATTTCTAAAAGTCTTCCAGATAATCAAGATCTAAGTTTGTTTAAGATCTAAATTTTATAAAATTATCTTACTCAACTGAGTTGTTATTTATATTAAGTTGCTTCTAATTTTAATGTTTGTTTTGTGACAAATGAAACTTCGACTTTGAGGTTTTAAGAAATGGTTAGTTTTGATCAGCATAATTATCAAGTTCTGTTCTGCTTTTGCCATATTTATTTCTAATTGATTCAAATTCCCTTTTAATATCGTCTTGATTGGCTAACTTCACTTAAATAGGGATGCTCTGTTATTTTTTATAGAACTACAAATTAGCCTCGAATTATGATTTGACAATCTTATTTTTGAATTTAATAGAAGGAAAGGATGTCTATAAACATTAATATTAATTTTACTCTATTTTCACTTTGATCATGATGAGCAAAATAATTATTGTAATAATTCCTGGTAGTTGTTATTCCTTCTTTTTGAGATTAAGTGTTCTTTTTATGATTTGGAATAATCAATTTAATCACTTTTGGATCCAGTGATCTATTTGGTAATTATTCAATATTTTAAATTGATAGTGAATATGATAAGATCTAGTTTTGATTGATTTAAGGTTTATGTTTTAGCCTTAGTTTTTTCATTTGAGTTTGACAAGTATTTGAATTAGAAGGAGTTCTTATGAATTCATGCTTATATTATTTTAATTATAAAAAACTTCTATCATCTAACTTTCTTGTTGAATCCAATCTTTTTTATGATTATTAATTTCTTGATAATCTAAATACATCAAACCTCTTTAATCTTTTATCCATTATAATATTTATTTTTTATAATTTATATACATTTGTTTTTCTGAATGAAAATGATTAATGGTGAGATTAAAAACACCATTATAACTCAGATAATCATGAAACAAAGAAATTTGCATCTTTTTTAAACGTTGTTTTCAACATTTTTAACAGTTGAATTTTCTTGATTGGAAAGTTACGAGTTGTATTACATAATTTGTAATATTATATTCCTATATTCATCTAAAACTGTGATAAATTGTCAAAGGAATAAATTAGTTCCAGTTGGGTATGGGAGACAACTAACAAAATAAATATTGGAAAGTTGTAAAAGTCGCATTCCTTTGATTGCTATGGAATACTCAAAAACAAATTTTTATATAAATAACTGTAAAAACAGAAATTTTTATGGTCAATTTAGAATCCTGAATTTTGATATTTTATTATTCATAATTTTAATATTGAATGAATTATCATTACTTTTTTAATTCACTGATCTTTTTCTCTTATTCAATAGTCTCTTCAAGAACTATCTATTCATCCTTTGTTATAATCCAATCATAATTTTTATAATAATAATGGTATGGCATTCCTGGAGGATGTAAAATATAACTAGCTTACATGTAAGTTAATATAGTGTCACCCCCTTGAATTAATGTAATATTATACTTGTTCCATAGACAAGTGTGTAAACTTATGATTGATTTATCATTGATTCAGCAGTAACTCTAAGATATGCTGAACCGGCATAACTGTGAATATCAAATCCACTTATACCTTGAGCCAAAATGTTATACGCTGGGTCTAAGGAGTAAATTGATGGGACTAACCTAGAAAACTTTTGGGCTCTAATAGTTTGTCTGTTTCCATTGTCTAGGAATTGATTTTAAGTAGAATAATAGGCACCAACAGATCCTGCCAAAGTCAAGTAATTATTTGAAATGAAATAGGCAACATAAAGAGATCTCACATGACAGTAGTCTCTGGTGAGGAATCTGACGTCCATGCTATTTGATGTGGGTAGACCCATTTGAATTCTGACACTCGTAAATAAAGAATTAAATATTTCGAAGTCTGCACCCACAATAAATGCTGTAACTTTGGGTGCAGGATAGCGAGGATAATATGATATCATGAAATCTTATGCCCTTGCTCCAAACCCTTGGCTCAATTAGTATAAATCTTTCTCTTGATAATGAACATATTGTATTTCGACTTAGTCATCAACTAAAGCGACCCATCTCACACTAAGAATAGGTACTACTGCTGGACCCCAAATGACATAATTTATGGTAAACCCATAAATGGTTACATCTGAAACGTACGTTTGATAATTGATATTTCTTCCTCGACTCCATTAAATCTCCTAATGCATCAAAAGCACTTATGGGCAACTAAGGTTTTATAAATTGCTAACCATACACACTAAATCTTGTTGAGAAAGTCACCTAACTCTAAAATCTCATTGGATAGGTTGGAAATAAAAATTGATCTTATTTAGATATACTGTTATCTACTCCTGTTTACCATTCTGCATAATATTCGGATCCATAATAGGCATTGGAAATGGTAAGACACAGAATTACAATTAAGTACAACATTAAAAATAATATAATATTACAAAAAACGATATTACTAATATTATCTATTCTTAAATGTATGAGATATGACCATCTCATAGTTCGTTTAACTGCATAAATAAAAGTATATATTTACAACTTAGATTGCAAAAACATTGATAATTCACTTCAACTGTATTAAAGAATCAAGGGTTTTGTACTTTATTGTATCTTCAGCTCTTTTGGAACTTCTGCTTCTCTACTGATATTCATTGTGATCTAAGTATGATATTTAGAATATAATTACCCTTTGGTCTTTGAATCACACTGCTATTTTAGGAACTATTTTTTGAGACCGAATAAACTTTTTCAATTCTCTTTCTTTCTTGCTGAGAGATACTTAACATGATGTCATTGATTGATGATAAGGAATTATGTTTGGTTCTCATTATCTACCCATAGATCTTATTAAAATCTCGTTATTAAAGCGATTTGATCATATCTGACTTTTTTTATTTGTTAGCATTTCCTAAAATACTATAATAATTGTTTTTTTATGGTTGTTGAGTTGGTAATACTATGTCACTCGTCTCCAATGATTCTTTCATTACATGATTACCAGTTAATTTATGTTCTGAATGCGAATTGGATTATCTTGGCTCTTAAAATAACTTCTAATTTCCACATTTATTTGAGGATTGATTGGCTTATTTATAAATTAAATTTTAGAGGTATTCTCTTTGATTAACTTCGATCTATTTTCTTTTGCTTTCCTTTTCAAATTAAAAAATGGTTTATTTTAGTTAAACAAGTTCTTATTATAGAGATTGCTCTTTCTCGTGTAATTCTTGATTTTCTCTCTTCAATTTCTATTCATTATTATTTAATATCTAATACACTTATGTTATTTTTAGTTGTTTCTAACAATTCTTGACGTATTTCTTCGCTTTCATCCAATTTAGTTTATATTGATTCAGCATATAGTTTCAATTATTATTCAATCTAGTCATCAATAAATGAAATACACTTATATGCTTTCTGATTTCTTGTTCATACTTGATTAAAGTCTATTCTAATTTTTCATATTCATCATCATCTCTTGAAAATCTGGTTTACGTAGGATCATTGAATTTTTCTAATTTTCTATTGATAGCATGAATCTATTTTACTTACTAAATCTTCTTCTCAATTTTCAGCATCATTTTTGTGAATATGACCTTAATTATCCCAACCAAATGTGATAAACTTTCATAATCTTTCAGTTCTGATTCAATTTAATTTAACTCTTCTTTCGTTTCTATATGCTTTTCTACTTAAATCAAGATTCTCTCAAGCAGGTCTTTCAAATTGTTTTCCAATTCTCTGTCAGTCGTCGTAAAACTATTAATACTTGTTGTTGTTTGATCCATTTAATTAATATATATATTTATTTTCACAAGTCCCAAACTCGTTACTCGATAACAATACGCCTTATTGAATCTTAGTATTATAATTCTGAACTTGAAACTTGTGTTCTTGATTTTGCACTTTACATTTGAGTCACTCAAAATTATAGGATTGAAAGAATATTACTAGAGTTTGAATGAAAGTGTGTATAAAATTAATAACAACTCTTAAATGTTTATATATTATATATTTATATAATTTTCCTATAAAGATACTTAAGAACAAAGTCTTTAAATGATATGAATCCCTAATTTAAATATGATAGATATATTCACTATTACAAAGATATCTTATGGGTTGTCTTTTGATAATTGCTCTCTTACGAAAAGGATTGTTTAGTTATGTATTTTTTAGAGGAGAGTGTTTTGAAATTTTAAAAATTTTCTATGACATTACTAATCTGTTGGGCTAAATCTACGAATGAAACAATAAGCATAGGAAATGCTTCCTAAAAGTCTTAGTCATCTTTCAGTTCAGTTAATATAATGGTTGATATTTTTTACATAATTTATGTAAATGTTATGGCGAATTTCTCATCATTATGTATTAAATAATAATCGCTCTCCTCGACCCTTTTGATTATTTACTATTCTCTCATAATTCTTTTGATACTATTCTAAATAAGAATATTTATATTGGATCTCTAAATAATACAATTGTTCAATTATTCCCTTGTATGTTGAGGTAGATGATCCAAATTCCCAACTAAACCTAAAAAATCTGTGAATTTTTTGTATAATATTAGAAGATCCTTTACTGATTATCCAGTTTCACTTCTCTGTTCAGGAGGCCTCGATGATGATTAACTTTAAGGAATGGATTTCACTTCCAAATATGGTTAATCAACTATATTTAATTCCTATTATTGTAGTTTCTATTTTTTGGCTTATGGTTTTGTTCCAGAGCATGCTCCACCCATATTTGAAGACTAAAGGTAATAACTTAATTAAAATACTAAAAATTTATAAAACTAAATTCATCTTGTTCTTTTTCTATTGAATCAATATTTTGGAATCTATTGTCCAATAATAAAATATTACATAAACAATTTTATTATTCAAATTGATTTTTTTTCAAAACACTTCCTCCTCCTCTCCAGCAATTTCGAACCCTACCCTTCCCTCTCCATAAGATTTATTCAAGTTATTGTATAACTAAATATTTTCAATATCGATCAAGCATAATTTGTATTGTTTGTAAATCTACGACTTGCTGGATATTTATAAAATTTCCTATAAACCATTGAAAATCTTATTTGTAAAACCCTATTTCTTAACAAAGTGGATAACTACCGCTTAAAATCAATTGACTGAACATTACAGGTTGAATTGAATTGCATCTCATAAGATTTTAATTTTTTATTACAAACTAAACTTATTTATCACCTAATTTTATTAAATTTTATTGAGAGTTCATGATGTATTTTTTCATATGCTTACTCCTAATAAATGAGGTTATCACTAGAGTAGTAATCTAAATGACTCTGAAAATATCAACTTCTAATAGAATTCAAATTGTGCATCAGTTTAGCGAAAAGAATTCTCCAATATTAACATATTTTAAATAGTAGTTTTAAATATAATCATTAATTAAAATAAATAAGAAATTTTATATTGAATATCAAAATAAAAAGAAAGTATATGTATTACATTCTACCATTAATAAAGTAATTACGAAGTATTTCTGATGATAATTGTCTTGATTTATTAAATCATTTATTTTAGATAGACATAAATTATATTTGATAAAAAAAATGAATAAAAATTTGAGTCTTTCATTTTCAAAATCATCTACTAAACCTTCTTCACTAGATTTAGACTCACCCTCAGATCAAGAAAATTCTCCAATATTATCATTTCTTGAAAAATAAAAAAAGAGAGCAGTATCATATATCGGATTTAGAGTAGTGACAATTCAAGTTAAAGCAAATCATGCATATTATATGGTAATGAATATTTGCCATAAATTTTAGATAGAAGTAAATGAATATGGAACAAAGTGGATAATGATGACCCGTTTTAGTGTTCTATAAACATTCTATAAAGGGTTAAGTAGACTCTTTGAGGTGAAATGCACTCTTTCTTCGCATTTTGAATTCAATCAATTAAGTCCTAGAAACCTGAAAAAAAGAGCAATAAAAATTCAAACGTTTTTGAATTAAATTGGGAAGTAAAAATTAATCTAATATCATATAGCAATTTCAAAATTCTAAATTCTAAGTATTGCTAACAATTTTTAAATGAGTAAAAGTGTTTGGGATAAGTATTGATTGATTACACAAAAGAACAGAATCTCGTTTTAGAAGCTTGAATACTTTATTATTAATATCAGACCTGTCTTAATTATGCATTCTAAATGTTTAATTTTCTTTAATTCATTATTTTCTTTCTCAGAAAAAGATACACAATATCAATAATATTTTAGCCTAACATTTAGACATGCACTTAATTGGTTGAGATCTGATCTGCATTTAATTCAAAGAAATTGTAATTAATTAATTCTGTTAATAATTTCAAATATGTTTTACAGCAGATCAAACCCAAAGTTATCAGATTGTTAGAATAAACTAAATACATCATCGTATTCAAGTAAATCACGTGGATCTTTTAAGGAAATTTCACCTGAAACTAGAAGTAAAGCCTCATCAAATATCATAGATATTACTCCTAGCAATCCAAATAGACCATTAACTGCTCGAAATGAGTATACAAATCCATCAAAGGTGAAGCAGTTACTAAATAACTTGATACAGGGTGAATAAAGCAAGACCTCTACGCAATTATTTGGATAAAGCTTATTTCAAAAAAAATAAGTTGATAGCAGATCAAGCAGAGGTGATAGCTTATGTAAATTAAAATTGATTTTCATAGTGTCTAGTAGAATAAGTAATTTTGGAAAACAGAATGTAAAGTCACCTTAAAATAATGAAACTTTTCTAAAGTCAGCCTTCATAATCCCTGATACTAGTCGAGATTAAGACAAGAAACCATATCAAAACTTATACTATTAATCTAATAAACAACATGATAATAATACATCCTAGTAAAAATCTAACAAAAACTCAAAATTGCTGACAATCTCTTAAATTGCTCAACAGTGTAAAAAAAACAGTATTACTCCAACAAGATAAAATACTATTAACAATGAAAATGTCAATAACTAAAATAATATCAATTACAAAACTAATAGCAATTAAAAAAATAAATAATAATAAACTTTCATTGCTTAAGTATGCAGTAATAAAAAAAAGTAATTTGATTTATTAATCCTAGTCCAACAACTTATATGGAAACTTTTAATATCTTAAAATAGAAACTTGATAATAACAACATATAATCAAATTAGACATCAGGAAAAAAATAAAATGAAAAATCAATTAATGTTTCCCCTCTCAAATCTCCAAAATCCAAAATTGAAAACACAAAATACATACCTAACTAAACGATTGATGATGCTACTTAGTAAAATATATATAAATCGCTTTTGCAAAAGGAATAGATATGGAATGATATAATCATTTTGATAGATAATCCTAATCAAATGACTTTGGCTACAAAGTGCACTTAGTTGTAAAAGTTAATCAGAATGATCAGTGAAAAACATCATGTATAAATTATGATTATGTTCTAAGAGTGAATATTTATTTAGAATAGAACCTCAAATACTTGAGATATTTTTGTTTGAATCCTTTGCCTGTTATCTATTAGTTAGCGATTACTTACAGGATCAAACTAATGAAGATCAGAACATCAAGAATTTGATTTAGTATATAATCAATAGCAATCTCTATGTGCTGTAAGTATTGGAGAATGTGACAAACAATTCATTAAATTTGAATTTATTAAAACAGAGAATCGACTTAAGAACCTTCAATATTCGTAAGGTTTGTCCTAAAGGGAAACAGGCTTTACAAAAGAACAATTTTATCATTAAGTCAATTTTGGGATTGATGTACTTTATCTAATCAATATAAAAGTCCAAAAGGATTGACGAAATAACACGCCCCGAAATTTTTATGATTTTGTCCAGAATAACCTCCACTCCAGACTAATACATACTGCAATTGAAAAAAATAAATTCTCAGATCGAACAAATTATGCCACTTGATTTAGAACGGGCTTTGGCTGCTTCAAATAAAGACTACACTTTGGTTCTAGACCTAGATGAGACATTAGTTCATTATCAAGAAGTAAACCAATACACTATTAAAAAGTTTCCAAAAGGAGGAGGACAGTTTCTGGTGAGGCCTTTTGCAGAGGAATTTTTAGATTCATTATCAAAATACTATGAGATATTTATATTTACTGCTGCTCTTCCAGATTATGCCAATTTCATAATTGATATTATTGATAAAAAGGGAGTGGTTAAATAGAGATTATACAGAGATAAAACTATCTTTAAGGATTAAGTTTATATTAAGGTATTTAATAATATTATTATTTTAAGGATCTCTCAATTCTAAATCGAAGTCTAGCCAAGGTTATAATTGTTGATAATATGCCAGAAAACTTTTAGTTACAACCTGAGAATGGAATTTACATTTAAAGTTGGTTTGGGGATACAAAGGACAAGGCATTAAAAGATTTGTAACCTTTGTTAGAATGTATTACTTTAATCAAATATGCTTAGAAATAGCCATTAAAAAATGCAAGGATGTAAGAGTGGCATTGAATTAGTTTAGAGAACAAATGATTGAGAGAGTTTAAATGGGAATTAAAAATCCATATTAATATCTTTAATTAAATTGAATAATAATAAAGAACAATTTTGTTATTAATATCATCATTATAATCCATATTCTAAGCAATCTATTGTTGCAATTACTTCTTGACTTATTTTCTAAGAAAAATAAAACAATATACAGCTATCATGGGAATTACTTATATTCATTCTGCAAAATTAAATTTAGTATCAAATTATTAGTTTAAATATCAAATCAAAAGGAATATTGAATATATATAATTTAATTATAAACTATTTTAATTAATATGGATTTTAAGACATGGATTGAACAAAAGGCAACTAAAACATTTATTATTATCATTGTAATACAAATGACCTATTTGGCTAGTATATTCATAGCAGATGTTATTCTGAGTATATAACAACAAACTAATTTAGATCTAAATTACTCAGGCAATGACAACAATAATCCTTAAGATGAGTGTGATTGGAGTTTGGATGATTATTATAAATGGGCAGTGCTATTTTTATTTCAAATTGGGGATTGCTACTATGTATTTAATGCTGTAATCAATAAGTTTATTATAAGATTTACAAATCAAATGTTTTGGAATTATTTGCATACATCATTATTTCGTTTATAACATTTTTGTGCACTTTTGCAAGGTTTTTTAAACCTACTTCATATTTCAAGAGCTCTAACACAGATGAAGGAGATAAAGTATTAGCAGCTTTTGATTATGTTTACTTATTTTATTCATTTTGTGTCTTCGTTTTAAGCGCAGTCTGTTATAAACCATTTTATGATGTGTTTGTTTACAGAAATATTATGAAGGTGGGGGCATCTCCTAAAATATAAGGTATAATTTATTTATAGACTTTAGATATGTTTAGAAATTATTCAAATTTCAGTATATTTATGCAATTATATCTTTTGATATCATTTAGCACATTTTTAACATTCTTCTTCTTTTTTGATAGATTATATTGGTACCTATATTTAATTGATTCTTTTGTAATTCTATTTTAAATAGCAAGCATTTTTATTGGATATTGGGCTGTAAGTATTATTTTGATTATTCTAGTTAAAGGAAGAAAATATAAAGAAATTCTGGATGTATATTTCCATGATATTGTTGGTCTAACTTTATATACTTACAAAAACTTCTTATTATATGATATACTATTATAACTAAAAAAACTCCAAATTGATTGATGATTGTACCTTGTAAGATACTCCCTATGGAGATTCATACACTGTAGTAATAGTTATTGGAACTACAATTGCATGTTTAGTAATTATGATTTTCGATGGCTATTATGCATATTAATGTAAACTGGGATTTGGAAATGGGTTGAAAGAAGCATTAAAGAGTTAAATATCAGAAACAGGATAGGAGCTTGGAGAAAGTAGTTTTAGTACTTAAAAATGAAAATAAGTTATTTGTATTCTTATTAATTATTAAGTATTCTCATTGAAAGAATATTTAGGCTAAAACTTACTATTTGCATTTAAAATTCATGTCCAAACCATAATACTAATTAATCTTGTGGGTGTAATTGAATTTATGCTTCTAAAATAATGTAACATTTTCAAATTTAGAATATAAATGTATTTAATTGAAAATTAACATTAATAATTGATACGTTATTTTTTTTCAATTGTTTTATGTTAAGTTAACTTCAATGAATGTATTAGTTAAGTTGAGTTATGAGGTATATTAAATTAATATTAATATTAATAATTAAAAAATGTAAACTGTTTTTAAAATATATATATGATCAGGCTAAAGTGTAAATTTTATAAATATTTTGTATTAATTTTTAATATTATCCAAAGCAAATAATTGTTAACTCTTAGAAGTTTCAAATTATTTAATTAAAGTTCATTAAAAATACTTTGAAAGTTTCGATTATAAAAGAGTAAAATAATTTTATTTTTATAAAAAGGTTACTTATTACAATATGCCAGATTATAACAAAACTCATTAAAACACAAATATAAACCTTACTATAATGAAGGTTTAAACTAAATATATTAAAAATTTAATCAATATTGTCTCATTTTTATCAATTAGTTCTAATTCATAATCTATAATTAAATAACGTTATTTAAGTAGTAATCATACTTAATGAAATTTAACAAACAGATGAATTTATAATCTTAATTATTAAATAAAAATGAGATTAATTTTAAGTAGCTTAAAGCAATTGTTTCATAATTTACTGTTTCTTAAGTTATTCTAATTATTTCGAGATTACAAATAGATAGATCGTCCCATCCCTATTTATATGTCATGCAAAAGTGTTATATGAAGCTTTCAAAATTTGTTTGAGTTTCATTAATATTGAATAGAATTAATAGAAACAATATCGCCATTAGTATAATTTATGTATTTAGAAGAATGATTAATTGTTTAGATTTGTTTTGTTATTTTGGTAAAGTTGATGCTGAATTTTGGCAATTTATAGATGATAAAATAGATGAGAGAAGTAGACTCATACAAGCAAATTCAAGCTATAACATAATTGTCAAGATGAAAAGATTAATTCAATAATAATACTTTAATTTATTTTAGCATTTAGAAAGGCTAAATACTTTTATTAAAAATAATAAAAAGAGAATAGATAGTCATATAAATGAGTTCTCAAAAATTTTCAAACCACAAATAATCAATAAATATGCAACACATAATGAGCAATGCTTTGTCTTTTTCACTAGCACTATCTGGAAATTTGATACCATCTACGAGGGAAATTACATAATAATCAATTACATTAATCAGCCTTGGAGCAAAGTTCATTTGACCATCCGTAGAATAGATGCTCGATTTGACCATTAGTGTAGTTTTCGCTAATTAATTATTCTTCGGCAGGTCTCTTATCAATGATGGAGTATTTTATGGAATTGCAAGATTGGAAGGGCAAAAAGCATAGCAATCCCTTTTATTTCAAATTTGCAGTTATCTCATAAATAAGGTATTCATTGCTATCATAAATGAATAATTAATGAAACATGCCCTTCATGAAAGTGCAGCATTATTCTTATACAATTTTACCTGCATACTCGCCATCATATTTAACCTTCATTTCATTTTTTTGAATAAAAGGAATGGCAAATTTTCTTTCTGCTTGAATTGGAATATTGTTGTAAAAGTCCCTGGATGTAATGGTTAAGGGTCTCAAACTGGGGCAACAGATTGTTCTCATCAATTTGTGGTTTTCTTCTTCTTCGATATCCATGATTTTCTGAGTGAAATGAAAAGTATAAATACCATTCCCAATTATGAAAATGCCTCATTTGATTGAAAGAGCTTGAAATTATTGGGAAGTTCACAAGGAAAGAGAGGAATGCCAATATTTGATGGGATGGGAAGAGTACAAACGCAGTATTCGAGTGGATCATTCTCTTGTTGCAAAAGAGCACATTTAACATATTTGAGTCCTTCTGTCATTGTTAATATTATATTTATATGTATTCACATAGAAATTCAATAAAGCAATAATTTGATACAATCTCTGATAATATTTAATTTAGGTCCATAATTCATTAATGTTCGCTAATCTTCCTGGAAAAGTAGCATTGATCACTGGTTCAACAAGTGGCATTGGTTTGTCCGTTGCAAAGAAATTGGCATCTTAAGGTGTGCATATCGGACTCAATGGATTTGCAAAGCCAGAGGAGGTCGCAGCCATTAGGAAAGAAATAGAGGGCTAATACAAAGTAAAGACATTCTATCACGGAGCAGATTTGAAGGAAGGACCATAAGTAGATTTGACAAATATCGATAGGTTAAAAGCATGGTGTAGGAAACAAGCAAGGCTTTAGGAAGTGTTGATATCTTAGTCAACAATGCTGGAATTCAATACATAGAGACAGCAGTAAACTTCCCAGAATAGAAATTCAATGACATTATAGCAATAAATCTCACTGCTGCATTTCTTACAACCAAATATTCATTGCCATAAATGCTTGATAAAAATTGGGGTCGTATCATCAATATCGCAAGTGTTCATGGTATTGAAGTCATTCTCATATGATAGGATTGGTCGCTTCTGTGAATAAGTGTGCATATGTGGCTGCAAAACACGGTATTGTTGGATTAACAAAGGCAACAGCTCTTGAAGTTGCAAAGACAGGAGTCACTATCAATGCAGTTTGTCCTGGATGGGTAATGACCAAGTTGATAGAGACACAAATCTAATAAAGGGCTGATTAATATAAGATATCATTTGAAGAAGCTTAAATAAAATTATTAGAAGAGAAGTAACCCTCTGTCACTCCAGTGCATACTGATTAGTTGGGAGATTTGATTACATTCTTGTGTTCTGATTCAGCTTCTTAAATCAAAGGATCTGCATACACCATGGACGGTGGATGGACAGCATAATGATCTATAAAATAATTATATAAAAGTTAATCAATCATCTTTTTTTCTATGCAATTTGGATTATATTTTGGTTCAAATATCTTTTGGGAGATATTAATAATAATGATGTTTAACAAGTCCCTATTGAATCCACTTACATTTTCAATAATAATCTTCCTAAAATCCAAATGATTGACAATCCCAGCACTCCAACACTCAGGATAAATATCATCAAAGTTTCCTTGTAGATTGACAAAGACTTATCGAATTATTCCTGGGCAGTTGTGACAACTTTATCGTATGCTTCAACTAAGATGTCACTTCCATAATCAATGTAAATGGTGTGTTCTAAACCATCGAAGAAGTCACTCAGATGCTCTTGAGTGCTATTCCCATAATTATTGTAAAAGAACTAAGGATAAGATTCAATAATTTTGTTAATTTGAGTGATCAAATATTTCATCCCATGATGGTAGTATTGAATGATGTTAGGATTATGAAGATAAGTCTATGTTTCATTGCACAGGATTCCCACAGATTACAAACAAATATCATCCTAATTTAAAGCTTCTAGATTTGTCTTTAATTATTGATCACTTATAATTGAGACGAAGTTATTGTTGAACTCTATGAATTGATCTTGTTTATCACTTCTTAATTCTTAAGAATAATTGATAAATTACACTTGACTCATAATGTTTATGAATCTCTCTTAATCATAAGTCTGATAACTTATTAGATCCATATTATGGATTATGTTCATAAAAGAAGATTGAGCCAATTTAAAATTAAATAACAAATCTATGTTAGCTAGTAACTATTAGGAAAGTACGAAAATAACAAAGAAGATAATCAAGAAGTAAGCCAGAATAACAAAGAGTCCTATCAACAAAATAATAATGTATCTGGTTTGATTGATATGCTACCGTTTTAACTTTTCGTATAATTTATATTTATTTTTCTTATTGTTTGTATTCAAAAGCTAGGTTTAACTTTGATCCGTTAGTTGTTGATTATGGTATTGCATATTCTCAACGCTACTCTCAAACATCCTTGTTTCTGAAACGAAATCAATCAACATCCATTCATATAAGGATTTCTTAAAAATTGATTACACTTACTCATATGTCTCGATCTCATCCTGTACTTCATATATTTACAATTTCATAACAACTTTGTATAATCTACGATGATCGTTAGATAATCTTGAGATTAATGGAATTTATAGAAATTGCAATAGCATAACCAGAAAGAAGATTACAACCATATAAATGGTCAATAATTATTGGGTTTATTCTTCATTTGTTATTTTATCATCGTAACAATAGTTAAATGCTAAATGTGGTAATTACCCAATTTCCTCTAAATTAGCAACAGCAATTTGAGTAATACTTGGATTCAGTAACGTATTATTTCTAATTTTATAAAATTGGGCTAAACTCATTTAAATAGTCTCTTATAACGTTGGTTTTTGGATTAATTCATCCTCAACATTGTAAAATTAATTTACACTAAACTCTACCTAGTTGATATCAAATAATTAATTGCTTTGCAAATTGATGAAGTCCTGCAAACCTAAGTCTACCTATTATAAATAGAACAATCTCATCTTTACATCCATTTGGAATTAAGAATCCAATTCTATACGATACAGTCCATGTGTAATTTAGGAGTAGGCTTTTTAGGTAGACAACATCAAATCTATTAGATTGAGACAATCTCCAAAATCATATTTCTGGTACACAGCTATGGTCAGTAGAATGATATAGCCTACAATTAAGAATAAGACAATGTAAAGCAGATATTTTTGTACTCTAAATGTAGTTGGGTTTATGAAATCTTCAATTTTTTATAAGGTCGATTTATAATTAGAATCAAATAATTTTAGGTTTTCTGAATATTTGACTTAGTATTCCTCTTAGATTTATTATTATGATGCTCGACTGTCCATAGCCAATTTGCTGTCATTTTCATTAAAGAAATCTTATTATTTTTTCTTAGCAAATGCTTTGGAATTCATAGTAGTGACTTACTTTTCTGTGTTTTTAATTAAAGATTCTTATGAATTGAGAGTAAACTTTTATTGAATTTCAACTTCATCACTTCGACTAGATAATAATTGAGCATTATCCATTTACTTAAAAGGACTGGATAATTGATCCAACTTTTATGAGTCTATGTAGATGTCTTCAAAGTAATGAGAGGGATGTGATGGAAATAGATAATTGGTCACTTCAGCATCATGATCACTTCTTTATTCACTGATATTTCCCTAGACGCTAATGGAATCTTCAGTTTACAATTGCTATTCTATTAACTACCGTTTAGATTGATAGTTTTAGAAGGTTTGTTTAATCGTGTCTCTCACTTATCTTTTGTATCCCATAGTTGTCAGTAGTAATTATTCATTCACAATTAATTCAATTAAGAACATTTACTATTTCAAATCAATATCATTCTTTTTGTATCTATACTCTTCATAATTAACTGAATAGTAAACTGGTACAGGATTGAAATCCTGAGGAACAATTTTTTCAATGTATTTTGTGTACTTATCCTAATAGATTTTCTCTGCTCTTGTTTTAAGTTATTCACTGTCTTCTTCACTTGGAATGGAAACTTAGGTTTAAGATTGTGGTTTGACTGAAGTCTTCTACATTTCTGATTGTCTAGTTGTTCCAAATTGCAATGCTTGATGTCTTTTCAAATGTTCATCATAGAAAAATGCACACAACTTCTCATTAAAAATGCTAACTGCCTATTAGACACTGACCGAATCACTCTCTTGATCATACTTCTACCCCTTATACTAACTACCACTTGAGAAGTTGTTGGATTAAACGCGAGTATCATCTATAATCTTCTACAAGGCCTTTTCATATTATTACACAAACAAATGCAAGTCCTCTGGAACAAATAAGTAGGTCTCTTTATTACTAACCACATTGTTACTATTCTCTAAATCAATCAAATTTGGATATCTATTTTTTGGAGGTGTCTCACCATCCATCAAATATTCAATCCCTGTTTATTCAATTTCTCTACAAATGAAAGGCAGAAGCATCCATATCAATACCTTATTATAAAAGTCATCAATGGTTAAAATGGAATTCGACCATTGTTAATCATAAACATCATAACTCTCACTTTCTAAAGAAGATATTTCTGATCTGCTCTTCTCTACACTCGGCTATTTAAGCGAAGATAAGTTTTAATTAGCTCTTAATCTTTGCAATCTATCTATCATTTTGAATAGACCCTAAGTCACTCCTAAAATATTTCCATTAACATCAAAAAGAATGTGTTGTACTCCCTTAAATACTACATTCTTCAATTTCTTTGCTTCCTCTACTGATACTTTTGGTTGCTACTCCTCCAATGACTTAAGACACCCTATCATTGTGAAATCATCAGTTAAATCCTTACTAAAATTGTGTGCAAGATACACCTAACATCGAATTAATGTCTAATCGTAAATCTTTGCAAATGTCTAAAAGTACTTACCTATTCTGGCTGTTCCTCCCCTTCTGATATAATTTTGCATTATCTCATCGTGCACAGGTGATAACCAGGCAGGCATCAGAGTATTAATATTCCCTTTAGTGTAATCAAGAAATGCCTCCAATGGATTGTCAAAATGCCCAAATCCAAAAAACTTAGGTATTAATGGTGAAATAACTTCATTCAGCACTTTACCTATATTCGGCCCTTAAGCTATACATACTTTCACGGATATTGCCTCCCCTTTAAAGAAATTGATATTCGTAATTTCAAAGGTATTCATACTTTTCTCTTACTACAAAATCTCTCTCCTCTCTAAATTAATAAGATAAAGTTCTTACCTTTTTCCAACTCAAAGTATTTTCTCACATTGTTAAATAATAACAAATCAATCAAAGCACTATATTTTAGGAATTGTACATTAAAGGTTCTTCCATTGTTATAGAAAATAGGTTGATAGACCTTTAATTAGTATAGAATTTAATGTTTGAGTAGTTGTAGTTTCTAAACTTGCTGCTCAATATCGGAAAAACTAACAAATTTACCTGCCAAATAGCTCTTCCAAAATTGGATCTTAAAATGACTGAGTTACATCAACAAAGGAAGAATGTTCTGTTTTATTTATTCCATTTAGTATAGTGTCTATACTATGCTTCTTTCACTCTTACTGACTTATAACTTTACATTCGACACCCTTGTATCTTTATTTATATTATAGTCTTCGTCCTTTTGCATCTATGCTTAGAGAATGTATTGCAATAGTAGACAAATCTGAATGAAATAAAATGAATAATCTCTCTTCTTTTAAAATAAGATCTTCAATTCTTAATAACTCTTCGGAGCATTATTCCTATACTTGTTAATGAAGGTTAAGAATTTTAGACTATAAATTTCTAGGTTTTTGTAATCGCTCCTATGTTTTTCGAATCCTATCCTAAATAAACACGATGTTAAAATAACCGCATCATCCCACCTTAATATTCCACTGGCTCCAAATCTACGGCATTAACATTTTACAGATTAGCATCGATTAAAATGCAAACTAAATTTCTATATTAATTCTATCGTTCTCTTCTTACTCCTCTGTGTTGCTTATATTATCTCAAAGAAGTCTTCTATGATCAGCAGTTCCTAGTATTAATTCATTGTATTATGGTATGTTTTTAATCTCTTATCTTGCATTAAGACATGAAACAAATATTAAGTAATTGGTTGAGTGACCAGCATTAGGGTAGAGAGACTGTAACGCAATTCTGGATTTTTGTACATGATTGTAGTGAAAATGAATACCAAAATATGCATCACTAACAATCTATTGTAAATGATTGAATATTTGGAAAATCTATGTTTTTAATTAAATTTATACCCAAAAGGTAATTAAAAATAAGCTTCGTAAAACAATATTAGTATGATTATTCCATGTATAGTTCTACTGATGATGTTCATCATTTGATCTTAGCTCTGATTCAAGATGGCCATTGGAATGATTAGTAACTGCGCCACGCAATTATTGTAGGTGAAATGTTTTCTCAGTTGTAGTTCGTTGAATTCGAAATTTATGAAATAGATGTTCGAAATAGTCAGGGATACTACTGAAAAGAGCAAGTTCAGCAATGCCAATATCAAAAGCAATAGATCATTTTAACACATCAGGTTCCAACTTATGTAATGCATTTGAGGAAGGTAGAGAAGCCAAGTGAAATACAGGAAATAGTAATTCACTAACTTTGTGGCAGACTTTTAATTTAAGTGTTTTCTTTTACCTTTAAGATCGATTTTGATATGATATCTACGTTTTAGTTTTCGCTTCTGATTTTTCTATGTAAAATTATAAGATAAGGCAAGACATTTAGAATAGCCAATAGAACCCCCGTCAATATGTTAATTGCGTAAATATCTTAGAATAGGGTTGTCAATATGCTGATTTCTGAAAGCGCTTTAATCAATCTGAAAATATTCTCATCATACTGCTATGTTATAAAATGAGTGAGCTATAAATGATAAATGAGAATCTATAAAGCAGTCAATTTGATATTATTTATGGATGGAGATAGATTGGTCTAAATGATCAAATTCATGTAATCACGAATCCATTACATAATTAATTAATTTAAATTCATTTTCACTCTATCACACTTCCACCTCATCTCCAATTGCACTCATAAACCCTCAGCTTTCAAAACTTCAATCAACATTATCTATCCAATACTAATAATCATAACTATATAATATAAGATATTATCATAATAATTCTTATTAATTCTATTCAAAATCCATATCCACGTTCTTAACATCTCAATCCCTTTATATTTATAAGAATACCCTCAAGAACCTTAATTTGCTGAAGAAATTTGTAAATTAATTTTGATTACACCTAAATATAATAGATAATAGCATATCAATAGCTTTCCTGATTTTTAAGTATAAAATAAATTATTCATTGATTCTAATCTTTAGATTAACAACTGGTACATACACCTACTAAAGAATCATTTAGATGAGTTTATGCTGATATTTAATTTTAAACTTTTATTATTCTTCTTACTTATAATGACCTTTAGCAGATAAATCTAAGTTTAAATTTGATATTAAAGCGCAAGGTTTATTTTATTATATTACAAATGGAAATGATAATGATCCTACCAAGTATATATTATTTCAGTCAACTTTTTATTAATCATATGCACTTTTTCATTTAAATAAAAAATGTACTTATTCTAATGGCTTTCAGTATTTACTTTATTAATATTTCTATTTATTTTCACTTTAGAATTTCCTTTTTTTAATTTAAGTTAGTTAATTAAATATAATTTAGGAATAAAACTTTATAGGCTATATATGCACTTTATATAGCATTATGTTTATTGAAATAAGCTGTCAATGTAGTTTAGTAATTCTTACATTTATTATATTTTAGGTTTTTTTCATTCCAAATAGGGAATATGGAATTTAATTTAATTTTGTTTAAACTAAATTAAATGTTACAAGTAATATAAAAATATGAGCATAAATTTGTACTCTCAGTTTAATTCACATAGAATTAAAATGGAACCAAATAATTCATTAGCCTATACTATTATTATAATATTACATCCATCTAACTGAATATGTATTTCATAATCATATTATACCTCAATAAAAGGTTTGATTTGAATTTATCAATGTATGTAAAATCTTAAGAGACTAATAATCAATCAATATTTCTCCAATAATTATTAAGTGATGATTGGTTGTCAATTCAATAGTTAATATTCTTGTTTTCTTTTTGAAAGGCAATTATTATTGTGAAATATTGTGTATTGAACAAAATTTTTGTGTGCTATAGCATTACTTTGACTATATAATTTAGAGTCTTCTCTCAATAGGGTTTATTATTTAGAGGAATCTAGTTGATCATCATTAGAAGTTTACTCTAGCGATATTATTATTATTTCAAATTAGTCTTGAATTATTAATTGTAAACATAATTCAAATACTTTTATATTTAATATAATACATAGAGTTGTATTGAAATCATATATACAATCATAAAAATAGAGCCATATAAGTGTTTATGAATGCTATGGAAAGGAAAGCAATGCCTCCGAGAAAATTGAAATTTTTTTCAGATACTTAATTTGCAATCAATTTTCCACCATGAACTGCTATAACGGTGCAAAAAAAGTGGGCCATAATGGCACCCAAGAATATATAGAATGGGTTATAGATTGCAGTCAGACTTATGGTGGTAATTTGACTTTTATCGCCCCATTCTCCCAAAAGCGTTAAAGTAAATGCCTACCAAACCACGGATTGGAATTGCACTTATATAAAATCTATTGTTAAATAATGAGGGTGCTTACTTTTGGTCACATTGTCATTCACTTGGTCGGTCTCTGGATCTGGCAGATTCATCAATTTTTTATCCAAGGTGGTCAGCTCCTATTCAACTTCTTGTAGTTCTTCCTTTTCTTTCTGCATGGTGTACCAGGCATAGAGAAACTTAACACCAAAACCATAAAAAACAATTGAAACTAGAACCTAAGCGTAGAGGATTGAAATCAATTCTGGAATGACGAGTCCAAAAATGGTGCTGATGATTGTGATGAGTATTAGTGCCAGAGTAGAGCCGATCAGAACTGCTATTCGGTTATATTTAATAGACATTATAGCAGCTAAGAAGAAGGTCTATTATAGTATGACAATTCACATATTACTTTATCACCCAATTCAGTAACAATAATTGAACAAAATGATTGGGATAAACTAAGTAATATTTTATCATTTCCATCAAAGCATAAGGCTTCTGTAATCAAAATGAAGAATAATGTTATGGTGTGACATTTCATAAAATAAATAATTCTTATTAATAATAGTGTTATTTGACCGGAGCATTCCCTCAGTATATACAGAGCATCCTCAGAAGTAAGGTGGAAATTAAATGTTCCAAATTTAGGAATGATTTGGGGACCAAAGACATATTTGAGGGAGAGGAGAGACCACTCGATATTATTGAATGGGCTTGGGGGGGACTCAATTAATTGTGATTTACGGAATGTGAGAGAGAGTTGAATTGTATAAATTCTTTTAAAATTAATTATTAATTAGAATAGTTAATAAATATTCTAAATATCAGATGAACATGCAATAATTTCCAAATTATTACCCTTATATATTAGAACCTTAGGTAACATTTTAGGGGGAGATTGAACAACAAAGTATGACAATAATGCATTATAAATTCAGAATAGAGCTCCAGTTCAAATTACAATGAGTTTAACTTCATTCATTAGAATTTTTATCCTCCTGCATATTCTCATTATTAATTCGAGTACGTTCAAGAGAACGAAATCCCAAGTTAAATGAAGAATAAAAAAAGCAAAAAAAATAAGTAATTAATTGAATATAGAAAACAGGAATAACGACTAAAAGGGGTTATTGCCAAAGACCATAGAATCGGAGAAACAAATTGTTGAAGATCTGCAATAAATAGCTGTCTCACAATAGTAGGGAGACTAGATGTAAATATACATAAAATTTGATTTAAGAATCAAGCCCATCACTCCTTATACAGTTCTACACTATAAGCAGGGGAGTGCAATGCCCAAACTCCAATCTGATTTGGTTTCAAATTAACAGAACGAAGGGGCAGGATCATAGGAAGGTTCTCAATAAACCCAGAAGCAAAAAGGATAGAATCAACAAATAAAGAAACCGAAGAAGGAGAATATGAATACTGGTCATTGGTCGACTGATGAACACTCGACTTATATTTAATTTTTGCAACAATACGAGAATATCATGGCATCTTCGATGATGAAGAAGACTTCTAAGATATTCAAATAGATGAGTGAATTGATTGGAACCAGGACTCCTAGTTAGTGTCGGAGTCACCATCAGAAATTTAACCCTTATGCGTTGCGAGGGGAAAATGGGAAACGATTGCCAAGGACTGAAAGGAGCAGGGCAGGCAGGAAGAAGAAGAACCAATAATGTGATGTGCCTAAGGCAGGTAATGTTTATAACATGAATAAAAGAGGAAGGAAATTTGATTATGAATTACGAGGCTGCCGATCCTTATTACTACATGATGTTGGAACAACAGAAATACTACTATGCTGGTTTGCATCAGGACTACTGGAACCAAGCATAGGAGGTGGAGTAGAATCAGAGCATCAAGAAAGAGGAAGAGCCTGATCATTTGAATCACGGGTAGATGTAGTAGTCTGAATTTGATGAATATTTGAAATATAGTTCCTAAAGGAATGGAAACTAGCTGGATTACAATTTCGATGTTAGAAATCAAGCAGTAAGCGATTTATTAATGTGATAATTTTATTATGTGACATGATATACAACCATTTAAATTATTCATACACCCCCAGAAACTCCCCTTTATCATCCATTTCTAAATTTTATATAAATCAATTAATACTTCATATGATTAATACTTCTCCTGACAAATAGAGCAAAAGATACAAGCCCATATAGTCTCGCTACATCGAGCAGGTTCGGCCTGATGAATCTCTTTCCTCTAATACTGACATAGATTAAAATGATTAGTAGATCAGACAAAGTAGCCATAAGACTTTGCCGAAGAAGGGATCCATCAGAATCCGCAACCTCGACATTGATAGTGATATCATAAAAGAGGATATAAGTGAAGAAAACAAGAGTGATCAAGAATCCGATGTGGGTTACACATAAAATCGAAACATACAAGTGGCATTCACTCCCAACAATGAGGAGGAGGCTCAGAATCCGTTCAAAACTCCAGGACATCAGTATTCTGACAGTCTGTGGAAAGTAAATATTGTTGGAAACCATCATTTCGATCTTTAGTAAAATGGCACTCCAAAAGAGTCGAAAGATCATGATTCTCTTAAGGCTGAAATTACTATAAAGTCGTATAAAAACCTGAACAGTGCTAATAGTTTGTATTCTCCATAGAAAGGGTCACAAATGCTGATCCAATCAGAGGACACTGTTTACTAGAATTTTAATGCGTTTTAAAGACTTGTTCTTTTGCATGTCTTCAGTTTTATGAGAGAAATGAAACGATTGTTATCGACTTCAGTTCAGAAGATTAATTTTTATCATCTCCCAAAATAGGCAGTAAATGACTCTATTTAATTCAATTTAAAAATCCTGTATCAGCAAATCAAAACTAATGTATATTTCTGAATTATAGTACAATTAGGAATAATCAAATTTGTCAACTCTCACTCTCTTCAAACTATTCTTTTGGCGAATCAACAAGCTGGTGACACTCCTTGTGATATTTCTGGCTATGACTGAAACATACTCAAGATTTGTGATGGCCATTCTTACCGAGACTTTGATTTCAGCAGTTGAAAACTAAAACATCGGAGACGCTTACATCCAAGCATGTGCCCTTGCTTTATTGTCATTAGTAGCTTTGATGAGCAAACATTTTTAATAGTATTTGATTCCTACTAATTTTAGATATCTGATCAGTAATATTGCGACAAAAATGCGCATGATCCTCATCAATCTAATTTACGACAGAGTCATAGAATTGCATTCTTCTTAGATCTCCGAACTGAACATTGGCAAAATTATGAATCTGGTCAGTAGTGATTTCAATGTAATTGAGTATCAGTTGAGCTACGTCTACCAAATTGCAGTTATTCCAGGCTCTTTGCTTCTAACTTCGATCATCTTATGGGTATCAAAGGTTTAAAGTTTAGTTAAGGTTCGATGGTCCAATAGGATTAATTGCAATTCTCTTTTGTGGCATTCTATACCCATTATAAATTTTGATTCAAAAAGCTAATAAGTCCATATTACTGAAGACCAGAAAACTCCAAGATCAAAGAATCTAAGTATTTTCAATCCATCATATCAAGCAAACCAATACCGTAATTGAAGGCATCAAATACATAAAAATGTATGTTTGGGAATCTGTTTTCGAGAAAAAGATCTACTAACTAAGAAGTAAGGAATTTCTCTACTACCTCAATATCCACATCTTGAACTTAATCGATAGATCGTTTAATTTCAGCGTGCACATCTGGGGCTCCTTTTGCTTCATTTTGTTTCTCTACTGCTATGACATCCCACTAAGTATTTCCTCAATCATGGGCACAATCCAACTCATGTCCATGATCAAATACTATTGTATCTTCCAAGTGTCCTATGCCTTTTAAGCTTTGATGAACTTCAGTGTCATATTCTAAAGAGTTTCAGAAATTCTCAAATAATCAAATAATGCCCTCACCACTATTGATCTTTACAATAAAACCACATTTACAGCCTACGACCTTCAACATCAGCCTATTCAACTACTCCAAGAAAGAACAAGAGGATTGAATCGCAAGGGAAGTCTCAACCTCCAATCTGCTACTCTACTGACAGTCTTTTAGTACTACGGCAGATGGCATAAGGATGCAGTTCCCACAATCAGTGGAATCAATTTGGACATCAAATCTGGGGAGATAGTGGCTGTTATAGGGAAGGTTGGATCTGGGAAATCCACCCTGCTTTCAGCCATACTGTAAGATGTCCCCTATTATGAAGGAATGATTAATCAGTAAAGAAAGCTAAAATTAGCATATGTGGAATAAGACCCTTTCATCTATACTGGATCGATACGTGAAAACATAGTATTTGGAAAAGATTATGATTACACCCTGTACTTAAAGGTATTGGAAGTAAGTTGTCTCGACTAAGACATCCTTGCATTTAGGCAAGGTGACAAAACGGAAATCGGGGAAAAAGGGGCCAACCTTTCTGGTGGTTAAAGAGCTAGATTGAGTTTGGCCAGAGCCTTATATTCTATGGCAGATTTGTATCTATTTGATGATCCTTTGTCTGCTGTTGACTCGAAAGTGGCTGGCAAAATCTTTGATAATGCCATTAAGGATTTCATTTTCAAATTTCAACCTAATTATAGACCCTCTTTAATTAGATCTCATCAGGCCTTCATCTCTTAGACTCCCTCTGTTATTCTTGCTACTCATTAGATTTCATTTGCATTAGAATGCGATTATGTAATCATATTGGATTAAGGCAAAATAATTCATTAAGGGCCTAAAAGTAAAATAAAGAAGCACATTCTAGAATAATCAAATATTTAGACTAGTAATAAAAGCTTAGAGAACCCACTAAAGATTAGACAACTCAAAATTAGAAGACCTAGCAGATTAATAAGTAAGGTGGTTAATCAAATGACAAAGACGAATAAAGAAGAAACTCCTTCACTTTATGTAGGCGAAGATTAGAATCAATAAGATGCTTCATCAGCTACTTACAGAAGATATTTCAGTTATTGGAAACCTTGTCTTTTGATTGTCGTAATTCTGTTGCAAAATGTTGCCAGTGAAATTATTAATAACTATTATTATAAGGAAATGGCATCATTTAGATAGGATTAATATTACAATAATGATATTGTTTTTAAGAATGCCAGCATCCTTGTGATTGGTGCTTATATAAATAATGTGATCAAATATTTTCTAAACATTTTTGGTGTCCTTACATCCAATAACATCATACACAATAAAATGTTGAAACGATTGATACGATCCCCCATAGAATATTTTGATAAAAATCCTTCTGGAAGATTGATTAATCGATTTTCAACAGATTTATCTCTTGCCGACTCGTAAATTTAATAAACTATTACTGACATCTTTGAACAGGGTGCTTAATTCCTTGTTTCTTTGATAACCATAGCAATATTGTAACCATACTTTACATTTCCTGCTATTTTCACTGTGGCAAGCACAGTAGCAATATTCAGAGCAACTAGAATTGTGATTTCATAACTCAAGATCTGTGATCTAATATCTAGATCTCCACTCTTCGATTAATTCAAAATATCTGTTTATGGCGTTACCTAGATAAGAATAAATGAAAATTAATCATGGATCAAGGACAAATTTCTAAAATTGTCAAACCAATCAATGCAAGCCAATTTAATGTTTCTTTATTCTTAAAGATGCTTCGGATTTTATATTGACTTGTTCGGTTAATTCGCTAATATAGCAGGGATATTTCTAATCATAGCTATGGTAGATGATCCAACCATCTTTTCTTAAGCGTTACTTTTACTGTCTACTTTCAATACTCAAGCAGGTACACTTCGACAATTCATGGCTTTCGACTCTATGATGAATAGTATAAATAGAATGTTCGAGATCTGTGATATTGAAATCGAAGATTAAAGTAAGCAACAATGTGATTTGGAAGTTTAGATTTGGCCTAGATTAGGAACAATTTAGTTTTAGAATGTGGAAATGTAATACAGAAAGAACACTCCATATGTATTGAAAGGCATGAGTTTTAATATCAAAGATAAGGAGAAGATAGGCATAGTAGGTAGAACTGGATCTGGAAAGTCTTCCATCATTTAAAGTCTCTTTAGATTGTCAGAAATTGAAGAAGAAGGGTAAATATTATTGCACTATTTAAATTAGTCACATTAATATCGATGATTAAGATATTAAAAAGATTGAACTTAACAAGTTAAGACAAGAAATAAGTATCATTCCTTAAGTACCATTCATATTTAAAGGAACTTTAAGAGAAAATCTAGATCCTTTAAAATAGTTTGACGACCAAAAGATTTTAAACACTTTAGCAGAAACAGAATTAGAAAGCTTTTTATAATTACTACCAGATGGATTAAATCATAACATGGATCCAGATCTATTTTCAATAGGATAAAAGCAACTCATATGTTTGAGTAGAGTATTACTGAATAAAAAAAAGATTCTGGTTTTAGATGAAGCTACTGCGAATGTTGATATGATTACAGATTGTTTGATTTAATAAATTATCAAAGATAAGTTTAATGATTGCACCATCCTTACAATTGCTCATAGATTAAATACAATTGCAGATTATGATCGAGTTTTGGTTTTGGAAGATGGAAAGGTTTTGGAATAAGGACATCCATATGAACTATTAGTATAGAATCCAAAGATTTCAACCTATATTAATAGTGATTCAACATTTGCCAAAATGGTTCTCTAAACTGGAAGCAAGAACAGTAGTTAGATTTATGGAATTGCAAGAAAATGTTATCAAAGAACTCATGATATTGGAAGCAGAAGCAACGGTAATAGCAAAATCTTTGAAGTATCTCCCAGTAGTATAAATGAATTTAACTTTTGATACTACTAAGCATTTAATTATAACAATTATATTTGAATATTTAAGTATCATAACAACTCTTCAAATATTTAGTTTATCAAAAATATTTAGTTTATCAAGATGTTCGTACTCTTCATTCAAAGTCACTTTTCTATACATGAATCTTGTGGCTGGTAGGTTATTTCGATCTTCAGCATCTACAAATCATATGAAATCACAAATTACTTTTTTATGCAATTCTATCATTATAATTTTCTCCAATCCAAAAATCTTTGATTTCCTTTTCGAAACTGCTTTGTCTCACTGAATTTCTGGCTAATTCAGCCTAATCAATGGCTGACAAATCAAAAATCTATGATGCTATAGCATATTCTTCTAACAAAGGTTCATTTGTCAAATGTAAAATCAATGGATCATCAGTTGATAAACAAACATTCAAACCAATTTAAAAGTACTTTTAAAACGGAGATTTTTAATAACGACAAAACAATTTATTATTTGAAACTGGTGACATTGCTATTCCAATTTATTTTAAATAAAACAAGTATTCCAAAACTGGAGACTTTTGCAATTCCAACCCATGATTTATACCATCGGATACCAAGTAGGCAGTTGCCAAATGATCAATGTTTCCAGCCTCTCCACAATGAGGTCGAAATTTAAACGTATTTAATCCTCTCTACTTTCTTAAGGCATTTAAAGTATATAAATTTGCATAAATGTAATAAATCCAATAGGTATAAGGTGGATTTCTATCTCCAGCCCAATCCTTAGGACATTATTTCAAGTCTGAAATTGCAAAGTATTCATACAAAGATTCATCATCAACAGTATCAAAGCCTGTTATTTGGAATAAGGCTTGATATAGAAAAGGGTCTATGGTTGGGTTAATTGTAATATCAAAGAGAGGTCTAAAGATGTTATCAATCATATCTTAAAAACAATGAATCATGCCAGACTTTTTATAGACACTATAGAGTCTGGGGATTTGAACCATCCATCTAACCTTGGAAGAGTAGAGTTTGTTCTTTATTAACCACTTTCCTAACTTATGCCATTCTTCCATAGATTTGCCATAGATAGATACTCTCCATTCACACCCTACATATTGTTGTTTATCTAATTGATCCATCAATTCCTTAGTCAAATCTGCAAGGTATTTCCCTTTAATGTAATTATCTGTCTTCAGAAATATCTCCCTTAATTTAGGAGTGCCCATAGGATTATACTTATTATTAAATCTATCAAATCTCTTATAGATTCCTTTGTCTGCTTGCACATCCAGAGTATTCAAGGATAAATCAATGGGATCAACGTTAATACTTTTGAAGATGTCTTTTAAACGAATCTTAGTTCCATCTTTGATGTCAACATGATCATCTCCACACTTTTCATATTTCCTTTAAATGAATTCCAACAAGTGTTTTGCACTCATGGCTGCTGAATGATGAATGTGAGTGTCTACTTTAAAGACATTATAAAAATCTCTTCTTATAATATTCTTTTAATCTAATTATTCATTTTAATGATTGAAACTATTGATGATAATTATTTTACATTTCATGCATTTAAAATTTTTACTCTAGGAATTTGAGTCTATCGTAACAAAAGCTAGCAATTGAATTATTACCTACACATTTCATTAGATTGATTAAATCACTTATAAATTACAACATAGTTGGTACAATGACATCAATATTCTCACCTGACTTCGTAAAAATGATTCCATCTTCTTAGAGAACTTCAGTATTTTCTAAGATTGGTAGGACATCAACTCTTCTATTCCAAATAATATATGGTTCATTTTTAGAGTTATATTAAACAAATTTGCTTGAAATTTCACTTTATTCATGGCCATCGAATGAATAGTAGTCTCTCAATTTCAGTAACTCAAGGATCTTAATGGCAGAATCTTCTGATTCTTTAGATTTTGCTCCTTTGTATTGTTTTCCAGGTTTGATTCTCAAAATGTCAAAATTTAATGCTTCCTTGATTTCTTCTTCTGCTATGTCACTAATTCTCCGAGTGGCTTTGGCAGCATAGCCAAATTAGTTACCAAAAACAGTTTTTTACTATGTTAGGAACTATTCATACATTTTTAGAATCCTCTCTAGCCAACTTTAAATCAAGACATTGTTTTTGCAGATTTTATTCTTCAGCAACATATTACATTGATAGTCCTTGAGCATCAGGTTCTAATGTCAATTACTTATCACTAGATCTCCCTTAGAATTCGAGCATTTAATTATATAAATTATGAAATAGTGTATTTTAAAAGTATGAATAGAGATTGGTATTGAAATTAATGATTCCTATTGTTGTTAAATAATTTCTAATAATATATTATTTGTATTCTTGATTTAAAATATAACGAGAATCTAATTTTTGATAGATATATTATTCTATAAATTACACTAAAACTTTATCAATTTAATCTGAAATATTGAATCTAATGGTATTGTTTTGTATGAACAGATAATTTTAAATCTATGAGATCTTCTGAAATAAATTTCATTGCCAAAGATCCTAAATTATGATTGTAAGTCTATTATACCTTTCAACTTATCCCCTTTGGAGGCAGGTATTTCTTCATTGAAGTAGAGAATGACTGGTTTCCAGAAGGGAGACTTGGATGGACCCATGATGACATCGATTGGTAAGTGGGTGAAGGTGAATGAATATTTCATCCATATAATTACTCCTGTAACGAAGTCTTGTCGATTGATTTGAACTTGATAGGAGTTACTAAAGGACAGATCTTCGAGTGTGCATTTCATCAAGTCGACCTCATAAATTAAGACAGGATCACTATTTAATTAGTCTTATCTAATGCTTTCTAGTAGAGGCTCATGCTTGACCCATCGTTTCATCCACTTCATGTTAACTCCATAGACGGAATCCCTTATTATAGGGGTAGGAAAGCATACCAAAATGTCAATTTTTATTCACGGTATTCTCCATCTTCAATTGACTGAAGTAACAATTAACCTTTGTCTGGCAAGATGAGTCCGTCTTTATTGAGGTATTTGTCTCTGGCTGCGATTAACTCCTGGATGTTTCCTCTGTAGAAGAGCAAGTTGCCCATCCAGGCAGAAATGATGATATCGACCTTGCATTCTAATTCAACTTCCTTGATGGACTTTTTGTGTAGGGTGACGTTGTTGACGTTGTTCTATTCAATGATTTTTTGTGCATGATCGTGTGATTTCATGGCGAATACTTGTTTGGCACCGGATCTACTAAGAATCACAGGGATGAGGCCAAGCCCAGCATTGAGATCCAATATCACTTTGTCTTTGAAGAGATGTTTGTTGCGAGTGATTGCGTTGAGGAATGGCTGGATGCGATTTTAATCCTTGAGGATATCCTCGTCATTGAGAAAATTGTTACAATCCATTTTAATTAAAATGTCTGAATTTCCATGTGATACTTGCGAAAAGCAATTCAAACTAAAAAGAACATTGGAAGCTCACAAAATGATACACACTGGAGAGAAACCCTACGAATGGTATAAAATAACTTATTTAAATATGGAAAAGTGCTCAGTGTCAACAACGCTTTAGACAATATTCCTCCCTACAAAAGCATCAAAGAACACACTCTGGAGCTAAACCATATGAGTGTGAGGAATGCAAATAGGCTTTCTCCCAAGTATATAAGTACCAGATTTTATTAGATCTCCAATTTGAAGAGACACTAACGCAAACATTCCAATGAAAAACCCTTCAAATGCGAGGAATGTGGAAAACAATTCATCACCAGTCAAAATTACTAACAACATAATTCAAAACATCAATAGGATCGAAAATAATATAAATGCGAAAGTGGCTGTGGCAAAACTTATTTTTATATGTGCAGTTTAAAGAAACATGAAAAGGAAATGCATCAGAAAAAAGAAAAACCCATATTCACCACTGAATCCTATAATCAATAAATTAAAAACCTCAAGGATTTCTTCACATGCAACCATCCTCAAGTAATACACAAAAATCATGTTGATGTACTCTTCAATGGATGCCTGTACTATTACAACGAAGGTAATAAAATATCATAACTAGAAAATCAAAAAATTGAATATCACGAGCTTGTTGATGGTGGCAAACTAGAATGCGACCCAGTCAAAGATCATTAGCATTTCCAAAAGAATCAACAATTTGCATAGATCGATTGTTCACAATGTCCCCAAGAAGTCAATTGCTGTTTAGCCACAAACCAAGGCAACATCCAAGAATCAGAATATCCCCAATCCTATGTCTTACATTATCATGGCCCTAACTGCGGACACCCCATAGTCTTGCACAACGGCCACGTCGATTATCTAGTCAATGAGATGCTTCATTACCCTCATGATGGACATTGCGATAACCACGGAATTCTGAATAGAATCACAGTATAATGAGAACATTAATAATTATATAATTCAAAAATGTCATTAAGAAGCGTTGTCGAAATCGTAACTCATGTCGAGAGTTTTAGAAACGTCGATCTCTACTACCAAGGTGTTTATTTCCTCAGAATCACTATCCACAATGATGCCCCCCAAGATGTACACCCATCAATCCA